AATAATGAGGAATGGAATTTTGTATGCATAAAGTACAAGTAGCTGGGAGTATTTTGGTTTTTGAAAATCGAAAAAAGACTATAACGTATTTTCAGAATCAATTTTTAGCGATTTTTACCCATTTATGCCCTTAGTGGCCTTGCAATTTTTTTGTTGTACAATTTTTCTGTCACTTGATATCAGTAATATTAGACGATACTTCATGAATACAATCTTAGCTTGGAATTTTTTAATGCAAACCCCGGAAATTTTATAACAATTGTTAAAATATTGATTTTTTTTAGAAAAAAGATAACGTTCACAAAAATAAACAAATATTTTTTCTTTTGTTTTTGTATCATGCTAAATCCGAAAATATAATTTTTCATGATTTCCGACCCTTTCTTATTTTGTTGACCGCTTTGCCAATGAATGTCCCATATGTGGATTTCTTGAAGCGAGTTGTCGATATAACACCTGATGAATGTGATTTCTACGATGAGTTGTAATTATCAGTATTGCTTGAAAATATGTTCCCACCATTAGGTCAGTTTTGACTAAAACTACGGGGTCGTAAATAAACAGGCACGGATGGTAATGGGAATGGGAAGATTCCAAGCGCAAATGAAAAGACTTGCAGGTATCATATGGATGGCATTTTTTTCCCCCCTCGAATAATATTCTTTAGCTATCTAAGGGTCTGGGTACTGTAGGATGACCTTTCTCCAGAATAGTATGCCATATCTGAGGAGGGTATGTACATTTGCAAAATACACGGAACAAGCTGCATGAAAGCTGACAATTTTGAATGAACTTAGTTTAGTGTTTAATTCAGTTATATGTATATTCCATGTGAGGTTTGAATTGAGACACCCAGCAATTGTTCATTTTCAATAGAGCATGCGATTGCAGATTTGAAATACAAAAATTAATTGAAATAGTTTTTCCTTCGTTAACTATTAATTTGTTATTACGTCAAAACCTTTCGAAAGATCTAAAAACATTCCAATAGATGCTTCATGTTGGTTCACTTCTATAAAAAAAAATTAAGTTTTCGTAGATTTTGATTTTCTAAGACAGTGTTGCGAGTCTGGAAAGGCTTTGTTTTCCCTGGCAAAAGTTTCCATTCGCAAATAGAAAAGTCTAATATTTGAGAAAATTGACAAAAGAGAAATTGATTTGTTATTTGGAATATCATTTTAGTTCCCTTTTTTAAACAGTGGCTTAATTTTTGCTGTATAGAAAATATCTGAAAATATTCCAGTTCGTAAAGAAGCATTGAAAATGTGTATGTATGTATGTATTGAAAATGTATAAAGGTGGGGACACAACATTTAATAAACAATCCGAAAATTTAACCGAACCAGACAAATATTTATTTTTTAGTTTGGTGCCGTACAAGGTATTTCACTGGAAGAAGTTTCGAAAATAAGTCGACGTTTTTTCGAAAGCATATGATGTTAAATTTGGTTTTAATCCCTTTTTGAGATCAGCTGCAATCCTAGAAAAGTGCTTGTTGAAGAGATGTTTTTGCCTGAACAATTATTATTATTCAAATTCTGTATTTCCGGAAGTAGACTTGGAAACCGGGAGATACGTTACGATGTTTAGAAATATAGTGAAGCGTACGTTTGTTTTTACACTTTGTTCTAATTCATTGTGCTATCTAATCACTTCTTTTTTGTGAAATGCTTTCTTCTCTTTTTAAGAGGAAACCATGCGTTTAAGTGAAGTGAAAACTTTGAGAAAAATAAAAAATATAACTTTCAATTGTCAACAGCTTTATAAAAAGAAAAAGAACAAGCAGACGGCAAACACCTGGCAACATTGAGTTTTAGTTAGCCCAACTTTCGTAAACTCAAACTTAATTTTCCACTTGAATAGATCATTTCTAAAAATGTAATAAAATTATTAAAAACGATAAAATAACATTGTAAGCTCTATTTTTTACTTCCTATTATTATTATATTCATCTACCACTGTTACTAATTATTAAGTATAATGATTAAATTATATTATGAATATATAATTATTTCTAAAAAATAGTTGATTTGTAGCGCGTTCCGGGACGTAAAATTTTCTAAAACAAACATTGGTCTAAACACTCCTTCCATAGTAATAAAAGTTTGTTTTTTTTAAACTTCTCTCGTGGTACGAAGTAAGACTTCAACGTTCTCAATTGACGACATGGCAAAGAAAATAATCTTCCGTATGAAAATTGTTGTTTGCAATTTACTCGGCAACATTGCCATTTATAATGTGTACTTTACAAGTTTAACTTTTTGTAATTTTCGAAAATACAGAGTTCGCCAAAAAAGAACCAGATAAAAGAACCAGAAATTTTCCTTTTATACAACGAGAACATTTAAAGAAAAAAATCGGAGCCGCTATTGCGAAAATTACCTAATTTCACACAAAATTACGCAAAAAATACAAATCTTTTCCGAAAATTGAACATGACATTATTTCAAGATCAGACATTGAACAATAGATTTTATTAAAGAAAAAATATCTATACTCGTATACTATTTGTAGGAAGACGCCGAAAAACATGTGAACTTTTGCAATTTTAGAAAAATAAGGAATTTTTCTGGAGTGAGACCTGTCACAATCTTTTAAGCATCCATTATGCTATCCGAGATCAATGTTAAAAAAAATTATAAACTGAGCCATTTTTTGAGAAATTAAAAAAAATTAAGAAGCTTCACATAAAGCACCCCCAAAAATCCGTTTCAAATAAGCAGAGCCCCTAGTTTCTTTAAATCCATGGGATAATATCGATTTGGAAGAAAAACGTCTGAACGTTTTAGGCGCTATTGATCACAGGCAAGACGTTCCGTCGTGAATGGATTGGTCGGTATCAAGGACTCTAAAAACTGATTCTGACTACACAAAGTGTTAAGAGGACGAAATTTATTTCACCTGGGCCAAAATTTATCCATTTGTTCGTTTCAAGGGCCCAACTATATTTTTTCTGTCGGAAAATCGCAGTTTTCCAGCGCACTTCTTACGAAGTAAGAAAAGTAAAAATGCACTCCCAATGTAAACAATTTTTCTTATTCTTTTTAAGTAAATCTTCTTGCAACAAAATCAATCATTTTAACTTTTTAAAAATAAATTATTTTGTGATTAGTGCTTTACATGAAGATTGTACCATCATTTCATTTCTTTTAGTAGACGTTTCACCCTTCACAAATTTCTCTATTTACTTATAAACTATCCAGTTTGTTTTAAGCCTGTATGAATTAAAACCTTTCCTTCTCAATAAAAATTAATTAGATCTGGAGAGTACTGCAGATTAGCATTTTGATTCCAAATTTATTTCTCAAACAGCATTCATCTACCGTGAATTATATTTCCCTAGTCTTAAACTGTCAATGGGAAAATAAGAACCTGTATGGCTCAGCACGCAAATAAAAGTGTCACTTTCTTCAAGAAAGAAAGAAAAAAGAACAGGAGGAAATATCATCACAAAAAACAGAACAATGATATGTTTTCACACATTAAATCATAAATAGAGAACTAAAACAATAATTCAAAAGTAGTATATTTCTCCAATATATCATGCACGCTACACATCTAACCGAATATGTTGCAATTACTAAACATTCGTTCATCTCAAAATTTACATTTAAGAACATTTTTTATTATATCAAGAAATCTGAACAATCGCCAAAAATTACAAGTAACTCCAAAATATTCAGTTCATTCCAAAATATATCATTACTTCTTGGAAAAAACCTCTTTCACGCATTTCCTTCTTTTTAAAATAATAATAATAATAATAATAATAATAATTATTATTATTATTATAATTATTATTATTACACACACAGTGGAAATATTTGAAATGCACTAGGATTAACCAAGATTTTAGTAATCAAAAAGTAATTGGGAATTCATTTCCTTTTTTTTTTTTTTTTTTTTTTTTAATGATCTTTTTTCCTTAAAATCACTTAAGGGAAAGTCTTTTGGGAGAAATTAAGATACAACTGATGCTTTTAAAACTATGGTAGGCACCATTCTCCAACATCAGAATGAAGTTCCAGTTAAAAATGTTGCAAAATATTTTCATCCATTACACACTGAAGCCCGATGTGAACTGTGAAACCCGAAATGAATTCTAGAATATTTATAAGAATAATGATCTAAAGAGTAGATGGAAGATGCATAGTGAAGATATCTAGACAATATCTAGAAAACATCAACAATGTAAAAAGACACGTTTGAAAATCTTCAATTATAAAAAAGCTTAATCAATGATCTATTCTTCCTACACAAAGATTCCATAACCTATATCCTCCTAATAACTTATTAATTAAGCAACAACACTACAATACACCACATGCAAGAAACAAACTACATCAAAACATTTTCAAGAATATCAATCCCTATAAATCTGATTCATAACTCAAGGCAATTTTAAAATCCTTATTACAGAGCGGATAAAAGTTTTGCTCTCAATTTTATACCCATAAAAATTGTCAAAACAATTCCATTACTTGTCATTATGATCATTTCATTTACTAATTTACATTTTCAAAATGATCATGAACACGGCCATATTAACATTCTATTAATTGAAAAGTAATAACTATAAATATTGAAATGCTGTCAAATAAGACTGCTAATAGTAACAGTCCACAGTCGTGTACAAAATTAGCAATAGGTTTTCAGTAATAAAATAGACCAATTTCTCACTTGTACAATATAAAAAATTATTAGTCTAATAAATTATTTTAAAAATAACAAATTTGTTTACCTTACAATATTATACATAGTTAAAAGTAACAGTTTTGCTTTCCAATTCTTTCTTTAAATTAAAAACATGCACGGTTTTGCTATACTAATTGTCACTCATACGTTATCCATTTTCTAATTGGAATTCCTGCATCACTTTAAAGAACTGCATTAATCGGTCCCCCTTACGATCATTCTTCTAATAATATTTTGTTATTATTTAAACAAATTAGAAAACTGAACATGTATAAAAAATAAAGAGTGTACAAAACACAACTTACCCGCTCCAACTTCTGAAAATACTCCCGTAGAAATGAAATAGGATTTTCCGGCCTGCTGACACACAACTGAACAATGCAATCCTTCAACACTTGCTGAATATTGTGTCTTTGGACGTATGCTTCACATTCTCGGAGGCTCTGTTCTTCATCTAAATTTGCAGCCATCTTTGCTATACTAGTTTTCTTCACGGTGACCTAAATGTGTTCTTCGGATTAACCACTGAGGGTTGTCAGCTAGATTCAAAAATTACAAAATAGCAGAAAACTCAATCTCACACCAACCTGACACTCACAATATCACTTAAGCGTATGGCACAATTAATAAGCTCAGAGTACGTTGCAAATCGTACACAACGAAGTAACTTTCAAGGAGTTACCGAGTGCATAGAATAAACAGCAAGCGTTTCATTTCATGACATGTCCACGGATTTTAAAGAACAGCGTGGCCCAATGTTTTTTGACAATAATTGACAATTGTTCCACACGAATAATAAAGGACATTAAAATAATTTGTTAATTTTCCTTTTTCTACCGTCTCCCACGCTTTTACCTTCTTTGATTTTCTCGTTCGCCATGATCTCCTGCTGCGAAATTTGTAAGTTGGATTGGTCAGGACAACACAAAGTTTCTTTAACTATGAATCAATTCAATGTGTTAGGTATAATTCCTTAACATCATTTTGAACATGTTTATTTCTGACCACGAATCTTGATTTTTCCAGTTTATGACTAGATATATCTTACAAATCATGCACATTTGTTGTTAATTTATTATTGACAACAAAAAGTATTACTCAATTGGTATTTTGGAATGAAAGGATTTCACACAATCATTTATTTGTTTATTTCAAGACTAACTTCTAAGTGGTTTACAATCACAGGAAACAAAGTCTTACAAAGTAGCTCTATAATTTCACAGCCACTTGAGTAACTCTGGGTATTGTAAAAGCAATATTAAAAAAAGTCAAAAACATTTACAATCTCAATACTTAAGGTTTCTTAGCCTTGACTAGACTATTTTGACTACATTTCAGGATCTTCCTCAAATTAACACTCCATGAAACCAACACTAATCACATATGAAAATACATGTTAGAATATTCAAGTATGTGGAACATTTTAAGATAAACTATGTGAATACAGTACAACAGTAGGAAATTGAAAGCAATCAAGTACTTAATAGGTGTATTGGCTATATATTTATTATCTTCTTTTATTGTGTATATGAAACAAATTCATTTTAATGAATTTAAAAAAATCACTTCATAGCAATAAGTATTTTTTAATATACACCAATTTGGAGAGTAGTATTCTCTTTTAAAAGTTTACTTCCCCAATATAGTTCAATAAAAGCCTTCACAAATATGATAATTTACAATAAATAAATGGAAATACTGAGCTCTTGCCACAGTACATACATACAGATAAGAGTAAGAAATGTGATAATTTTACATCATTTAATATAGCTCATAGATATTTTAAGAGTCAAACCGTTCATCAGTGTTGTTAACAGCATTCTTGCAATGCCTAAAGGAATTCTCAGCATTCAGAGTTGACCTGATTGCCAAGTTTTGCATAAGCAGCAAATTTTGTAATTACTCAAACATTAAGAAATCTAATAAAGTATGGGTGCACTGAGAATAATGGTATTTCCATGTTTTAACTTTTTATATGAGATTTCAATGTATATATATTAGCATATGAGAGCTAAAAACATGTTTTAACATGAAATTAAAAAGCAAATCTGACAGAAATTGAAAGTAAAAATTACTCTTATTGCCACTGAATACTTTGAGTATAATTTCATAAAAAATGTTAGAGAAGAGAAATAAAACTAATCTTACTTAATAAACTTATGAGAGCAGGTACTTGAAGAATAAGCAGAAAAGGCAGACTAGTGCTGTATTACACAGCACTTACCAAGAATGCATTTCTATTCTATGTAAAAATAAATAATGATGATCATCCTCATTCTTACAATAAATATTCTTAGACATTTTCCAAATTTGTCATAATCACTGACTGAGAGTAGATCAACAGTCAGGGAGTATTGAGAGCTTGTACATGTCAAATCACCAACAACCAATCACTTAATGGTCATCAATGCTCTCAAATAACTTTAACAGCTCAGTCTCCAGTCGAATTACCCTCACCTTGGATTGCAGAGAGAATGGACTCATCAATGAAAATAGAGAATGATCATCACTATTTCCCAAATGTTGTTGCATTGCCCAATTATTTGATTGTGGATCAAAAGTAGTCAAATACGATATTAATTCTTGTGATCCATCTTGGTCTAAATCAGCAATAAGCACTGAAACAAGAAAATAGGAGTGTTATTTACATTTTCTCAATGAAATGGACATCATATGTGAAAAAATAAAATAAAACAATAGAACTACATACTTGATTGCTCCTGAAAACTTATGTCTGGTTGACAACTCACGCGATTAGCATGTTTGTCTCCATGAATACATATCTGCACAATGCTATTCTGGCTTGTGTTAAAAGTTGCAGGCTTTGTGCCATTGAAAATAACTATTACAACAGTCTCATTGAAATGATGATAACTGATGTTTGAAGTCGAACCAAATGTTGTTGCTGGTACAGACCGCTGAGTAATATTATGAAAAGAAGCATCCCAGAAATTCATGTTCCTTTTCCTTCGTTTGAGATGGCTTCTATATAAAGGAAGTGTGGCTGGGTCGTCTTCACTCCTATGCCTCTGATCTGTATTATACTGCCAGAACTTCAAAACAAACCCACTAACAGTAGATCCTTCTACTGATGGGTTGTTTCCTCCTGACTTATTATTCAGTGTAAAGGGCACTGGTAACATAGCATAAGTATTCTGTGCAGTAAAATTCCATATGACATTTTTATTAGGCACTCCAAGCCATTCATAATAAATCTTAGCGTTTATGGTGCAATAACCACGACATTGCCGGCTGATGGTCAGTCGAAATGGATGAGACCTTGAAGTCTCTTCAACTGTTTCAGATCTTTTATATGTTTGATGCTGCTTCAAAGGTGGGTCTATTTTCTGATTATGGGAAAAAGAAGAAGGCAATGACTTTTTGGTAGACTTTGTGTAGAGTTCTTGCAATGGCATCTGGGGAATAGTCGACACTAGAACCAAAAAGAAATGCATTGAATAGAATAGGTTTCACAATCAGAATTCTACAAGCAAATCCATTGAGTTGCTAAGACAATTTTGATGACGGGGAATGTACTGCATTCTATTTGTAATTTCAATATTTCTGAAAAAATTGCAAGTGTTATGATATTGTTGTCAAGAAAATCAAAAAGACACTAGGATCACCACTTGATGGACACCTGAGGTTTATCAATGTTCTTTAGTGTTTTGTGGAAATCAAAAACCCATAGTTTTAAAAGTATTTTTGAAGCAGACTAACATATCTCTCAAATTTTGATTTGCTTGCAGCTAATGTTTATATGATTATTTTGTCTCGTGTCTAGCAAGGCAAATAGCTCACACAGGATTTGTATTTTCTTTGTTCTTTCAAACAAACTAATTGTAAACTAGTAGAGCTACAACACATAATTTCGCATATTGTTAGTTTTGCAATATTTGAAAATTCAGAGAGTTCAATGATATGGGACCTGTACCATTTTCATAATTGTGTTTCACAATATCTCAGAAAAAATGTAAAGAAAACATTTAATGCAATTTTGGAAAAAAGCTTCTACTTAAGATTTATTTTACGGTGGAGAAAATTATGCAAAAACTTATCATATTTTGAATACAATTGTACACGATCTTATTTAAAGATCTATTTTTGAAGAACAAATCTAGTGATGAAAAATTTCCCCGTCTTCAATATTGTAGACATTGAACATTTTTTTAACTTTTTCAATTTTCAAACATTCAGAGGAATCAACAAAAAAAGCATCTTCACCATTTTTATAAGCATTCTTTGCTTATTCAAAGTATATTTTTCTGCAAAAATTTTGAAAATGTCATTGGGACTTCTTGTTAAGTACCCCCCAAAATCAAATTATCCATTTGAAATCCAAGGGGCCATGTCATCAGTCAGATCGATCGTGGAATGTCACTTTTGATGATGATCCTGCCTACGGTTTAGTAGCTAGAGTTCTTGAAGGCTGGATGGATGATTGGATGTTTTCCCATTAACTAATTTTTTTTTATCAAGGACCCACAAAACTTGGAATCCATCTTCACAGCATATTATTGGAAGTTATTTACTAAATAAAAGAGCAAGAACTATCCACTTTTGCAGTCAAGGGCCACAATACATATTTTTCTGTCAAACAAAATCCCCATTTTCCACCTGCAGAATTACATTTTCTATATACTAAGTAGTACTCTTATTCTCATTGGTGTTCATTTTTTTTTACTATGGATCAGATCTTCTTTCTACTTCATCACCTTACTCTTCAGAATACAGATGATTGCACGTTTGGGGGGGGGGGGATGTTATAAAATACAGGGATTTAAAATTACGTTGGTCAACAATGGCAGCACATTAGCACCAAATGACACATATTCATGAACACATTTCAGATTCTGATGCACTAAAAATTCTTTGAAGTACTTTGAACAATCTACTTTTTTAAATACTTTGAAACACACATAAGAGAATCACTAGACTAAATCTATTTTTTAAATTAAAAGTTCTAAAACGAAATTTTACTTTTACTACAACTACTACTATTACTACTACAAAGACATTTTAACCTACCATGTCCATTGTCAGTGATCTGGTCACATGTGAATGTAATAGTCCAAGATGTCTCCAAGCCTAAATTGCTAATCTTTGAGCAATTATTAACAGTAAGAGGTTGCCCAATTACCACACCAGACTTCCCAGACATTAGTATTAAATTATTATGATCAGAAGTAACAGATGTACTTCCATTGTAAGTTGAAATTCGACATGCTGATACTAATTCATTAAAGCCATCTTCATCTAAGTCTGGTAATATCAATGGAAAATCAATATCTACTGCATTACTGTGTTCATCCAGACGCCATATTTCATCACCTACAAAACAAAATTAATTTGTTAACATCAAACAGAAGGAGAAAAATACTTTATATTAAGCACAAGCACATTTTATTTCTTCTAGCAAAATATATATAAATTTTAATAGTAGAAAGAAGTTGCAGCTTAAAATGATCCAATAATTAGTGGAATTTCATAATTATATAGTAATTTACATTGATGTGAAAATGTGTACTATGTGGATTATTAAATAATCCTGCATCATTTATCAATACATTACCCACGACATTTTAGTAATGTTTTGCTTCAACCAGTTTTAGAAGCATTTCCACAATATGAAATGTATTATTCTATAAGCCCTTCAATTTTGAGCAAATTTACAGTCAAAAGTGCACTATTGGGCACCTCCATTATCAATCATTTTTGCATGGAACTGACTGATTTTTCCAAAACACGGGTAAATATGATTCCTAATCAGCCAATGGCCAGGTACATTTTTTAGATTGGCAATTATTAAATGGTCACCTCAAGCAATTTTGAACTGTAGTATAATAAGCAGAAAAGTGGTAGAGATCACCGGTGATTTAATATCTTCTTATGACAGGATGCATTGTCAGATTACTTGAACGTCAGATTACATGACATTCAGAGTTGCCTATGCAGCCAGGATATTCATTTGAGTTTTAGATAACACAGACAATTTCAATAAATATACATTAAGAAACATTTGCTTTGCCCATTCCTTGGCACTTTTAATGGTTTACTAACTTGTGCATCCCTTCTTGTGCAATCTGTTATGGACTCGCTGAGCCCAAAGCACACATGAATCGTCAGTGAGGTCAGAAAGTGAGTTGCTTAACAAAGAGAATGAATGCAAGGCTAAGATGTGTTTTGATACTCGTATTAGGCAAGCTGAAGCAAATGTTTCTAAATAACCTGTTTAAATTGAATTTTGTAATTAATGGTAATTAAAAGTATGTAAGGAAATCCATATCATAGCAGTTAGCACATTTCGATTTCATTTCAGCTTCTAATAAGCTCATAACCTTGATTAAGCAGCCACTTCTATTGTGTGCCAATTAGTGCAGGAACAAATGGTGACCAGTTAAGACAGACTATTATTTGGACTTCAAGTTGAGCCAGATCAATTTAGGAATAATCATTTTAAAAAAGCTGGATGAAGTTTAAGTATACAGAAAAGGGGTTGTTTTTTCTTTTCTCTATGGTTTAAGCATGAAGAAGAAAAAAACGAAGGAGAAGAAATAGGAAAAGAAGAAGAAGCAGATTAAACAGAAGGCAAGAAGCAGAAAAAGTTATAGGAAAAGAACATCTAGGTAAAGAGCAGAAGAGGAAGGATTGGGAGGAGGAGTGAAAATATAGGAAGAACAAGGAGGCGAAGAAAAAGAGGAGAAGAATATGAAAAAGGAGAAGAATATGAAAAAGGAGAAGGAAAAGAAAGAGAAGACGAATACGAAAAAGGAGGAGGAGAAGGAAAACGAGAAGGGGAAGGAGAAGCAAGAAGAAAATTGATTGGCGTTTCCGTATACGTCGACGGCTAAGGTATTTAGTCCGTGAGTGTAGTGCTTTCTTAAATCGCCTGAGGTTGCGGTGATCTCTCACTGGACGATATCCGATGCCGACGTGCACGTCGGCTAGCGGGGTTTCCCCTGGCCAGGTATCTCCCACCAGCTGGGCACTGTCCCGGCCGGGACAAGCTTAATTTCCCGACTACTCTCCCGGCACGTAGTGCATATAAGGGTGTGTGTGCGTGTGTGTGTGTAAGAAAAGGGTAAAGATAAGGCAAGGAAGGGGAAGAAAAGAACGCGTGTGGTCCTTCAACTGTTAACATTTTGCTCATACTTTCGCCAGGTGTTGTTCGGAAAAACCTCGAAAACTACAGATCAAAGCAGCCGGTCGCTACAATTCTCCTCCAGATTACAGCTGGACGCGACCCCGCTATCCAGCTAGATTCGAAAATCCTGCCACCATCATGACTCGATCTCTGATCCTCCCTGCCAGAATAACTACAGTGATAGCAATTTATGGCATGAGCCACTTATGCTGGGGTAACAGGAACAAGATGAATTGTGAGAAGACGAAAACAAAGAAAATGACGAAGACGACGACGACGAAGGAGAACACGACGACGACGACGACGACGAAGGAGAAGACGACAACGACGACGACGACGACGAAGGAGAAGACGACAACGACGACGACGAAGGAGAAGACGACAACGACGACGACGAAGGAGAAGACGACGACGGCGGCAGAAGAAGAAGATGAAGATGAAGAAGAAGATGAAGAAGAAGAAGAAGAAGAAGAAGATGAAGAAGAAGAAGATGAAGAAGAAGAAGATGAAGAAGAAGAACAAGAAGAACAAGAACAAGAAGAAGAAGAAGAAGAAGAAGAAGAAGAAGAAGAAGACACGGAAGAACAAAGACAACAGCAGAAGAAGAGAAAAACTTTTCAAGAACCTTCATTAGCAATCTTTTGAAGCACTTCTACTCCCAAATGCAATAATTGTACAAATAGCTGGTAGTTTAAATATTAACAATGTGAGAGATAATATATAAAAAAGAAATACATTTGATTAATTAAAAAGAACAATAGACAACATCTTATATAATGGATTTGGCACCATCCCTTCAAAAAAATTTAAGAAAAAAAATTTGAGCCATTTTTGAGATCAAAATTTTGAGCTCATTTACACAGAAATGTCATGTGTATGCGAAAAACTTTATGAAAAATCATTTGAATGTATTCACAAATGCAATAATGTAAACAAATCTCCATTACTGTAAATATTAACGGTGTGAGATATATAAAAAAAAATTACATATGTGTAATTTAAGAAACAAAACATAAGAATTCAGAAATACTAACCCACATGGTCTTTTGGAAATTAGGAACATGTGAAATATCTAGCAACTTGCTTTGGATGATGATGATAATCGTCAGTACAAATTCAATCAGTAGGGCCTCAGAAACCAATAAATCATAAATAGAAGTTACAGCATTTCTAACCCAAGAATGACTGGACCAATTTTAATTATCTCTGATTTGTTGGATTCATCTCTGCCCTGAATAGCAGAAGTACTATTAACATTTGGGGAAAATTTACCAGATGGCACTGTGGAGCAAAACTATATATTCATGTCAAATACAACCTGCAACACACTCAGCAGGATGCTTTTAATGTTTATCGTTAAATAACTCCTAAACAAAGCACTCTAGGGCATTAAAAACTAAAATTCAATGAGGTCAAAGGCCTCAAAGAAACATTTGCCATGACATAATCTATAGGATGAGATATTTTTGAACATTCTATTACATTTTTCTGGGGGTGGGGGAGACAAAGGGAAAGGTAGATGAAGGACAGAACAATGTCTGCCAGGTTCTGCTAGTAAATAAAATAAATTTGAAAACTGGCGATGTTAAAAATATCTATACAAAAAGGATTCAAATACGGCATGATATCTATTGTCATACTTCTTATGCATATTTTAAATCTGAGAATTGATGAAATCAATATAGCCACATGCTCTACAATGATATGTTATATAAAACCTATTTTTAAAACAAATGATAACATAGGCATTCACAGCCTACCACAGGAGGAGGGCCACAGCCCCTTTTCCATTTAACTTTACATACAATTTTTTTTATTCTTGTTAAAGAAGCAAATGAAATCCTTAAAGCTTGATGAGTTAGCAACTTGTTAATGGATATTTATTATCTCAATGAAAAATTACAACATAACATTTGGTTTGCAACATGCAGTTTGCGACCCATTTTAAAGTGCTGAAATTGTTGAATATTCAGGGCAGTTTCAGTATATGTTTTATTTAGGATAGTTAACATGAGCATGTGCCCTATTCCACAGCATACTCAGCTATGGCGTTATACCATGTGGTGGAGTTTATTCCTCTAAAACCATACTGCAAAGATTACAAAATAATAGTTGAAATATTATTCTATAATGCAGTAGTTACAGAAAACCAAGCACACAAATAAATCTAATTCTACCAGTAGACAGTTACCTGATATAGGATCAAAAGCCATAAGTAATTTCTCTGCTCCTACAACAATGCAATCATTGACTCCATCTCCATTCACATCAATAAGAGAGCAATCGATATCATGCGGTAGGCTTTGCAGTCTCTTGCACCAAGCAACTTTGCCAGTTGAACCAACCAATGACAATATTCCTCTACTACATATTGGATGCGAGTTCACTGGTTCCTTAAATCCTTTTACTTGACTCAAAATTGAACTCGTAACATCTTCTCTCATCAGAAATATCAAGTTATGTCCACGACCTGGGACGCCAGCAACCACACTGATTCTTCCTTTCAATTCTGAAAATAAATATTTTGTATTTACAGAAATACAATAATAATAATAATCATAATAATATATTATTATATATATTATTATATACATATATTATATACATATATTATATACTACTATATATATTATATTATTATTATTATTATTATTATTATTATCATTAACCAGTCTGTGTAAATGTAGAGACTCAATTATCTTGTATGAAAATAATTTAGAATTGAAATGAGAAATAAATATTGTAGCAAATTATCATAACTTTAATAAGAGCAAAAAATACACAATACTGACTACATTGATTGGGACATTGTTCATTGGGCATAATATCTAATCATAATAAGAGATGAATGTGGGATGTGCAATAAAAATGTTGAAAATGAGGACTGTGTTGCAAAAAAAATTTGTTTGTTGTAAGTTGTTTAATTCAACTTGTGCAATTAATACAACACCAGAAAAGAAATTACTAAAAGAAAAGTAGTGGTGCTCAACAGCACATTCTGCAACTGCAATTTCAGAAAATTCTCTAGAGTTAAATATAAATGAGATTTATGTAATTTTTTAGTTACTTCCTCCATTTGTAGAAAAAATTAAAGCAGAAATTTTGAGCCAAATTTCAATTTTTTTTTTATAAACTGCCTTACTTCAAGCAAATTTTTTTCAAAAAATTGTATAAGACCGTATTTACAAATTAATTTTTTAAATCAGATTTCATTAGGTAAAGGCCTCTCCCATCAATATGGTATATTTGCAATATTACTTTTTTTGTTACAATTTACAATATTACAATTTCCGAAACTCAGAATTTTTTACCCAGTTTCAGCTAAAAATGAGACCTGTACTATTATTTTGTGTCCTTTGATCCATCCTTGTAAAAAATTTAAAGAAAATATTTAGAGTAATTTTTAAAAATTGTTTATTATACATGACTTCTACTTCAAGCAATTATGTGAAAACTACTTGTATTTTCAAAAAATTGTACATGACCTTATTGAAAGATTAATTTTTCAGAACAAATTTCACAAGGGAAAAAATCTCTATCATCAATATTGTAGTTTTCCAATGTTAATTTTTTTGTAATTTTTAGAAATTCAGGAAGTTTCGCGTTAATGAGTTCTACACTTTTTTTTTTTACATTTTTGCTATTCTTTCTCTGTATCCAAGGAAAAAATGTAATCAAAACCTTGGAAGCACTTTTGAGAAAGTTTTGAAAATGCTGTTGCAGTTTTATGTAAAATACACTCCAATCAAAATATATCAATGGGGAATATCAGCTTTTGAGAAAATCATATTAATGGTTCAGGTGTGAGTGTTGATCATGGGTGGGCAGACAGAAGGACAATTGTCAGATGTTTGTTCATCAACCGATTGTGAGGGTATCAAGAAACCACAAAATATAGATTCTTACTGTATGTGCTCAGGATAAATTTACTTCATATTAGAACAAGAGTAATACACTTTTTTGTTGCCCTGTACATCTCATCCTATTGCTACGAACTTATGAAAGTGTTGAATTTATCTATTTCATTGGGAGAAGCTTCAGGTTTTCTGAAGTTCTTAAAAGTTTGCTTAATCACTTTTCTAGGTTGATTTATAATCATTATTAAGTTGAAAGATTCAAGTAAATTTTTGTAGTGTAAATATTTAAATTACCCATACACTATTTTTAAGTAAATAAAATACACACAGATATAAAACAAAGAATGGATGACATATCAATACTTATGTGATAAAACATAATGATTTTATATTTACCTATGGATTCTAAAGTTATTTCCCATGCTTTTGTTCCAGTCTTCAAAGGAGCAGAAGGGCATGTAGCCCAATCACAAGGAATAATCCACAAGAAAATCACTATGGTAAGCCCACATAAAACTATAGAGAGAACGAAGCAAATTTTACGTAATGGTGACATGGGTTCCAAATGTCTTGGAACTGTTCCTTCGGCTTTAATAATTGGAACATTATCAGCAGCTGTTGGTCGAGTTGGAAATCCATTAATGGCAACATCTTGTTCATTGTCGTGATCTAAAGGACGATATTCACCCATTTTCTGACCTGAGAAATGAAATACTATAAATGGTCTCAATAAAGATAATTAATGTTTCACATGAGTAAATATCAAATGTCTACACATACCGTTTCTCTTATCTAGAGATTCTTTTCCAGACACGATAAATTTCCTGCTGTCATTGTGGTGAACTACACTAATTAGTTCTTCCTCTGACGAGTCAGTGTCACTAATTGTTTGAGGGAGGGGAGAATACAAGGCTCCCTGACCAGTGCCTCCTCCGGACATTTAGTTTTGTTTCTAAAAGGGTAATATTTTAATGAAATATATTTACGTGTTTTCTAATCAATAGTTCCCAAACTACTCTAAAACCAATGCTACTTACATCACCTGTCAGTTGGATACTGTCAGACGATAATGTACAACGCTAAAAATGGTCCTTTTGCCATATTTCTAGTGTTCTTTTTAATGTGATTATCACAGTGCTGATCTTAAGGTCAGCGAAATTCCTCAACTATACTACAAAATAGTAAAGTACGTATTAAGTACGTACCAATTACCACAAGCCGGTTACATCAAAAAATTAAAATACCGCAATGACCATCACAGCCTTCTCAGTCAGACTTTACATGAGCTGCGTCGAAATGTAATCTTCAGGTATGTAACATTATTCGGAAGGAAAGAATCGTTGAATTCTTTCCACAAATTCCACAAACTCAGATTTTCTTACGACTCGGAAATTTTAGCAGTAAATACGTCGCATCATTTCCTATCGACTAATTATCGACACTGGTGTGTATACCGAATAAATTCGAGTTAATCGATATAGTATCGATTTTTTACGTTTGGAAATTCGAGACCCTTTTCTCCTTTTTTTGTTGATTTCAGGTTGATATTTTAGTGAGATGGCCTGTATTCATGATAAGGTCACGGCTCGGGAAGTGTTCAACTGACGTTTTTTTTTTTCTTACATGACGGACTGATGTTTGTGTATCGGTATCCGAGGAGAGTGTACTTGTTATACTCGCAATCGATCAGTTTTCTGTTATTTTTCACATTGAATTGTTTGTAAAAAGGAGTGGCACCAGATATGCAGAATTATTTTAATTTACTGAGCTTCTAATGGAAGCAAAAGCGAACAATTTTGGTGTTGAATAATGCTAAAGTAAAGGACATAGACATGGATAAGTTGACATTAATATCAGGAACATTGTTTCTAGCAGCGGATGTGTTTGCCATCGTTAGTTTAGCGATGCCCGACTGGATTATAACAGACGTCGGAGGTACAACATATATGTATCGATGTCATTTTTTTCTTGAGCTCGATAGTAGTTTACAATGCCTTTCTAACCTGTACAGCGCATTGCCCTTGACCCAGAAATTATAAAATTGTGTGAATAATTGTGTGTTTAATATTGTAGTTTTTCAAGTATTTTTTCATAGTTTTTATTATTCACATTGAAATTATTATGATCAATTTCTTTTCTTTTTTTTTTTCTTCAGGTGATACACGTCTAGGTCTTATGTGGACATGTATGACACTGTATAACAGATCACAAATTTGCTACACACCAGACTTGCAACCAGAATGGTTACTTGCACTTGTTTGCATATTTGTTGGTTGCATATGTATTACAACTACCATTATATTATTGGCATCATCTCATTGGGACCGTAATGTAGTGCCATATGCACGATGGGTTGGCTTCACTGCTAGTAAGTTTCACAAGAATTGTATTCTATTATGGTATTCAATTATGCATTCACAATATTTTGAACTTGATAAACTATTGCAGTTCCCATGAATGTAATAAAAAGTTTGCTGCAAAATGATTATCACTGATTTAACTGATGAAAAAAAAAAGTCATACAATTTTAATCACTGTGCCTAATGAGTATTTTTGTTGTTATTGTTACAGTGGTCTTATTTTGTTTGGCAGCTGTTATATTTCCAATGGGATTTCATGTTGACGAAATAGGCGGACAACCATACCAGCTTCCTAACAGTCATCAAGTGGGAGTTTCGTATATATTATTTGTGCTTGCCTTGTGGATAACAGTAATTTCTGAATTGTTTGCAGGAAAAGTATGTCTTCCTCATTTTTGAACATGTTCTATTGAGGGAAAGAAAAAAGAGAGAGTAAATTTCAACTTTCTGTAGGAAATAAGCTTTCCAGCTACATCATCGCCGGAATTGTGATGAAGAGATATTTTATACATTTTTTAAGTTCCTACTATAGAAATTATTTACAAGAGGTTTTGTTATGTATTCTCATCAGAGATTTTAAGTTACCTTATTCTGGACTACAGGACTAAGTACATAGTTTTCTACTGTTTGTACAGTAGAAGTGGTGACCATTAATTCACTTTGTATTTTCAAATGGAATTTTTATTTACATTGAAAATTATTAGTTCAGGTTTATGTTAAGATAAAAGAAAATGCAAATTGCTGTTTATATAGGCTGTACATATGTGCAGGCGCACTCAGTGAAAACAAAGTGAGGCGGTAGCTTGGTGGAGACTTTATTTCAAACAAAAGTTATGCCCCTCTTCCAGTACATCAACAAATTTCATTTCTCCATACAACAGAAATAACTTAGAGAACTGTTAATTTGTATAAATGAAAAAAATTCAAGGCCTGGGGCAAGTTGTCGCTTGCTGTGGGTGTCCCAGCACATTTGTATTTTGTCTTGATAGGAAGTGTCAAAAGACTATGTTCGTACTTGAATGACCTTTCCTTTTTTTACACGGATTATAAAATGGGTCTACTTTGTTTTTGATGATGAGCAATAGCCATGAATATACATTCCAGTTCAACTTGTACCAATAGCAAAAGTTTTACTGTGTTTGCTTCCATGTGTACTTGTGGAATACAAATAAATACATTTATTTTTCTACCAGTTCTGTAAAATTTGTGATTGGATTCCTTAACTTCAGTGAAACTTTTATTTGAACTTGTTAAGAACTTGAATATTTTTGATTTCTGTTTTACTATCCATACATCATATTATGTTTGTTTGTGTAAAAGATTTTGGATTTACATACCAGGAATCAATATCATTTTTGCTCTTCCTCTTTGTCACTATGAACCTTTCGGATTTCAAAAGTGAAGTGTAAAGTGATTTTACGTAACAGAATAATAACATTTTTATAAGCATGTACATTTAATGCCCAGAAGAGGAAAGAGCAGTTGGCAAAACAGTTTCTCAAAACTTTCAATTGTTAGCTTGACAACAGAGGACAACAAATGAAATACATAAGCCTTGTAATTCCCCGTATGAAAACTTTAGCCAAGATGTCTGGGATATCTTTCCTTCAGCATTACAAAAAAGTTAATATGAATACGGGTCTGAGAATTCTTTGTTTCAGAGTTACAGGACTTAAAAAAAAAAAAAAAAAAAAAAAAAAAAGTGTTTCACTTGTGTACAATCAATTTTTTAAGTTAGTTAGTTAGTTACATTTTTTGTTTAGATTTGAGTAGTGAAGTCATTGGAAGTTGTCTCTTTGGATGTACTACATTATCAATTCATTCACTTTTGCTTATTCGTCTTGCTACATGGTAATGTAGTAAAGAGAGAGTATGTAATTCTGCACAGAAAACTGGGTTTATTTATGACAAAACTCGTTGTGGGGCCCTGGTATCGAAAGAATGGATACTGTTTGTTCCTTAATGTAGTATTAACACTTGTCGTCAGATTCCAAGTTGTGGGGTTTCTAATAGAGAAAAATCAATTGACGACATTGTCAGACCACAACCATCTGACACCTACTGTTCAAGCAATTTTCTTCAAAATTGTTATTCTCTGACCATTCTGCCCAAACTTGAGGCCATGTGAGTGAAATGGATATTTTGATTTTTGGGGTCACTTTATATAGTCTCAAAATTGTATTTTTGACAATTGCAAAAGTACAATATTTATGATAGAGATTGTTTCACTGCATGAAGTCTGCTTTAAAAAATTAGATCTTTAAAGGTGGCAATGTACAATTTTTGGGGAGGAGAAAAAAAATGTTACTTGTTTTGCATAATTTTTGCCAGAAGGCAATTATAAAATAAGAATCTCAAGAATGGCTCTAATTTTTTTCTTTAATTTTTTTTTAAGTAAGGTACACTTAAACAAATGAAACTCTGTATATCTTCAAAAAGTGTAAACAAATAATTATCATTTGCAAAAACAATATTGATGATGAGAATATTGTTTCCTTGGTGAAATCTGTTCTTTAAAAGTAGAACTTGAAACAATGTAAATTAGTGTACCCGTGTGAAAACTCTTGCATGTCAAACCCTCTCCCTTCTCTTTCCTATCCTTCCATATACATATTAAGGAGGGAAGTTTTTAACGAAATGAGTTTGTTTAAAAAATGTTTAAAGGTAACTTCCAATGTACTTACAAATTATATTTTGAAATAAATAAAAAAAGAGAGAAGAAAAAACAGCCAATACATATAGTTGATACAAATTTGCAGTAGTCTAATTCAGCATTACAGACAGATGTTCGTGGTAAAAATTGCATGTCCTTAAAAACATTCGAAGTAATTATGCAATCTTCCTGGACAGTTTGCTTGTTACTTTCCTCAATAGTCACAATAATATTAACCTAGATTTCTCATGAGTTAAAGGCTAAGTCCATGCAGAATTATAGGACCGGGCAAGAATACAAACCTACTCTATGCAATGTTTGAAGTTCAAACATAATAAAAAATTGGTGGAAACCATAACAATATTCATAATACATTTTATTGCAAATTTAAATGTAAATGAGGATTTTACATAATTTTAATTAGAAGAATTAGTATATTAATAGACTACAATTTTGACAAACACTTGAGTAAGGGAACAAAATGTATACCCTAAATGAGAAAAATGAAAAGTATTCAACTTGTGTATCTGAGTTTTTTTAAAAACTGCTGTGTATCCCTATGATGAATGTTCTCTTTTCTCCTATATATTAATAAACATAGTTTATGGCAATATTATCAACTAGTTGAGATGTATTTGTAACACTTTAACAACCTCATGTTTGTTCACTGAAGAGTAATTCCCTCAGAACCATGACGGCAAACCTCGAGCTATGTTGCCATGCAATATATGCATTAATGTGAGAGAAACGATGATCCATACACTTGTATTGGTACAAAAAAAAAGCAAGCTAGTGTTTGCAGCATCATTATGCTGCATTACAAAGGGGAAGGGCGAAATTCAGTGTTGTGTTTTAAAATTTTGCAAATTGACTGAAATAATTTTTTTATTCAGTCTTACTCTAGAATGTTAAACTAATGACAAATTGAATAAATAAACAAATATTAATTTAATTCTGAGCCCCTTAATTGTAAATTTTAATTTAAAATGTTACTGTAAAAAACAAATGTTAGATTTTAATTATAATAATAATTAAATTAATGGAAAATAATTGTTGCTGACACCTGAAGGACCAAAATATATTCCTAAAACAGTGAGCCAACAAAGCTGTTTTATTTGACTTTTTTGTACTTGATCACTCGAGGCTCCACTTTGTTTCTTGTATATCTCGGAAAGTATTCGTGTGATTGCAATTTGGTTTGCATCTATGAATTTTTTTAAAAAGGGTTCTACTTGTATACAGAAAATCAGATGGCAGTGCCTAAATTAATATTTTTTGTAATTTGGCACGTAATGGGGGAGTGTTTCGTACATGATCAATAGAGGCTTATTTTTGTTTCTTGTCTACCTCGGAAACTATTCATCTGATTGGAGTTTCGTTTGCACCTATGAATTTCTCTTAAAGTGTTCTATTTGTATACAGAATATTATATGGCAGTGCCTAAATTAATATTATGAAATAATATCCTAAGCAGTTGACACCTCAGTTGTTAGTAATGCTAAAGACTTCAATACACTAGATAAAAAATGACAAAATCAATGGAATCTCTATCTTTCCACTTAGACAAGAATAATTTAGTCTTGTCTAATACAGGAAAAACCAATGTAATTTACTCTATGATCTCAAATAACTGTATTTCTATTGAAGTAAATAACGGGACCCTAAAACAAATTGAATGTCATAATTTTCTCAAAATATATATTAGTGTAAACATAACTTTCGATGAACACATTAAAGAAATAAGTAACAAAATAAGCTCTAATACATTCTTATTAATGTATTTTAGGAAATATGTACCACAGATACACTTAAAACAATGTATTAAGGGATAATGCACTCACAAATTGAATATGAAATTGAAACGTGTGGTAGTACAACCAGTCTAAACAGAATAATGATTCTACAACAAAAAAACCCTTAGATGAGTGTTCAAATTACAAACTTATACAATTATTGAATTACTACAGCACACACGAAATAATGACTGTAATAGCCCTTTACGCATTTAAAATTGTACCTCTTCAGAAAAAATCCAGCTCACATTTCGTGCACATCATTGAATTAGATAATTATGACACTAGAGGCAAAGAACTACCACAGGGTGTTTACTTCTAGAGCCTCACAAATGAAAGCCTCTGTCAGAGCCATCTTCCTGTATAATAATCTTCTCAAAAAAAATTAATTACTAGTTGAAAAAGTATTTAATAAAATGTGGCCTTATGAAACAAAAGAATATAGAATAGAAAATGAATTATGTTGTATGTATGTGTCATAAGTATTTTAACCAAATACAGGATATTAAGGTATTTTACACATTTTCTTATAAATTTTTGAATGCCATTTATTAATTTTGTTTATACTATTTTTAAGTAATTCCACTGTGTTGATGGTTGAAACATAACTGTATGTCTATTGGCAAATACAAAAATTATTATTATTATTATTATTATTATTATTATTATTATTATTATTATTATTATTATATATTTAAATAAAAGTGTCGATGGCAACTTGATATTCATCACTTTTAGGAGGCATCAGTACTTGAAAGTAATGCACAAGCAAAATATTGTATTCAATTTAGTGAAAAAATCTAATATTAGTTGACCTTAATTAATTGAAACACATCAAACTATTTTTTATCATCATTCATAGCCTGTAATAACTCAAAAGATCATGCAGACACATTCTGATAAAACTTATTTACCCAACTGTATATTTGAAACTGAATGAACTGGTAAAAAGTACTTTGATTTCTTTAAAGTTTTAATAACTATGAATAGTGAATTACATAGTTATAACAAGGTTATTATTTAGGTTAAAACTATTTCTATACTACAAATTAAGAAGAAATAGTGGGAGGGCCAGGAACACCCTTAACTAGTGTAGGGGAATACTGGACACAAGGAACCATGTGACTTAACCTTAACACATTGACGACTTACTTTTATATGCTGGTAAAATTTATACTGGAAGCTTTCACAAAACTTCATAAGATTTGGATTATTATAACAGGCATCCACAGGTATTCATTAAATGATTACATATTAAATGAAAGAGAATTTATGTTTTGTAGTATGTGGGAATTTCGGGCATGGCGTCGACCTGACTGATCATCCTACCTTACTTCAGTGCACAAAAATTAATATGAATTATGTTTGTTGAAAATTACTGGAAAAGGAGTTAAAGTTGTAAGTTATTTCTTAACTATGACTTCTGAAGGCAGTTGTTGAAATAAAATAAAAAAAAAAAATTAAGATGTTTCCCGTAAGTATTCTCCATATTTTACACTATATCCCATTATGCTACAATCCTCTGAGAATCATCAAATGTTACACAACTGAGATAAAAAAAATCCACAATGTATATGATTGCGAATATTTATTTCCCAATGTCACATGTTCGTATGCACAATATGAATTACAATACCAAATTTACAAGGAAACAATTCAAAAATTACAAGACTTAAAACGGTACAAAGAAAATTTACATAACATCAAGTACTGAGATACTCAGGAAACATTTTTAGAACTGCAGACTTATAATATATACTCCAAAGCACACTACAGCAAGACTACAAAACCAGATCCAGTATTGAGCAAAAATAGACCTCTGTACTTCTTTTTCCTCCTGGAACTTTTGTCTCTGTTTTTTACGTCCTTGTAATTTCTTCTGGAATCTTTCCATTTCCTCCTGATTCTTACGCGCTTCCTCCTCCTCTTTCTGCATTTTGGCTATAGCACGTGCTTTTTCTTCTTCTTCTTTCTGTTTCAAGCATAATTCATCACATTCCACTTTAGCATTACCTGCCCTCACAAGATCACAAGTAAATTCAACACGCATTCTATGACATTTACAATGTATTTTTACTTTCTTCCGACACAGTGCAGCATCAGGACAATCGCCAACATGACAAATACTTTTACACCGATGTCCACAACTGTAATTTTTAGGGCATTGGTTTCCACAATTTTGTAGAGATGCCTTCTTTTCTGCGCTAGCTCCAGTCCATTCAAAACAATTAATACACATTAAGTTTAATTCACAATGGCATCGTACTTTTATCATTTGCCGACAAGGGGGACATTTACCAGGATGACAAAATTTCAAACAAGAGTGACTACATCCATCTGGACGTGCTTTCGTGCATGAAGATTCACACATGTCACAGTTGGTTCCTGCAATAGTTGCAGTTTCACTTCCTTCAACTGTATGACATGGCTGTTCACATTCATGATTTCCACAAGTTAAAGTACGGCCACATTTTCTTCCGCATGACATCTGCCTTGCAGATGAACATGGCATTGTTATTTCTTCATGTTCACCTAAACATTTTATTAGCACAGGAACTTTACATGGTGGACATGGCACCTTTTCTGGCACATTGTTGGACGGAACATCAGTTTCCCATATCATTCGCTTCACTTGAAGTACTGGTGCAATTGCATGACACTTAGCTTCACATGTATGACCACATATTCCATGCTTCAGGCCACACATTTCACGACAAGGTGGGCACTTTCCAAAATGACATGGATGGACAGACATATTTTTGTGATGACAGTCTACTGGTCTTTTACATGGCTCAGAGCATTTTGGTGGCTTAGTTTTTTTGTGAATTCCACAACGTACCGAGACCGATGTCATTTTACAATAGCAGTTCACTTTCACAGTTTGAACACATGGATAGCATGGTCCTTGATGGCAAATGGCAGCACATTTGTGACTACCACAAGCCAGTGAACGCCCACAGATTTTCTCACAAGGTGGGCAGTCACCATCACAACATTTTCTATTACAAGCATGCCTCCTACAGTTCTTGATTCTTTTACATTTGGTATCACACACATACTCCTTACGGCATGGTTGCTCTTTCACATGCACTCCACAACGGCATGGCTTATTGATTACTTCTAAGCAACTCCCACACTTATCACGATGACAAGGACGAGAACATGAGTGAATTCCACATTCCAAAAGTCTTCCACATGTATCACCACACAATGGAACTTCTGTCGTGCATGGAAGTTCATATGCTGTCTTTCCACAAGGGCATGTTCGTGACTGAGTGAGCGGACAAGGTCCACATTTACCAGAATGACATATCTTCTCACAAACATGAAACCCACAAGAGTACCGTTTGCTACATACTTTGCCACACTGCCATTTTGTAGATGAGCAAGGTCTTAAACATTTCTCTGACCTGCAATCACAGTACTGAATACTTTCATCAAGACATGGCGGGCATTCATTTTCATGACATATCTCACTACACATGTGCTTTCCACATTTCAACAGCTTTCCACACACTGAACCACAAGACCAAAATCTGTTGCTACATCGGTGAACTTGAGGACTTTGCTTCTGGCAATGACATTTAGTTTTCACCATCTTTGGACAAGGAGGACATGGTCCTGGATGGCACAACAATAAACATTTATGACCACAGGCTGGTTGCAAAGGTCTCTCACAAGTTTCACCACAAGAATGAGGTACCAACCAGGGATGAAATGGAGGATCTTCTGATTTATTACAGTAACAATAATAACGTTTGGGGATTACACTCTCCAAGTACATATGTCGGCAGTTTGGACATGACCACTGAATAAGTGGTACTTTTGATCCCTGTGGATACTCTTCAATGGACTGTTTTAAATTAAATATGCTGTCTGTAGCCCATTTGATTGTACAATTTAAATGAAAAAAACAATAACATTCTTCACATGTCCAAATAGCATCAATGCGCTTCATTGTTCCAATACAAATTAGGCAAATCGCTGTCCCTGACGAAAATACCTCTTCTAAAAATCTCCCCGTCCTACCTAAATCCTCTCGCTTCCCACCAGACAATGAATAAGAGTTTAAAACTGAATCCAATATGCCACCGAATTCCAATTCTTCTTCTTCTGATGAATCATCACCATCTGGAACTACATGTTTTTTTATATTTTCTTGAAACTGAGCGTGAGCCTCCATAAATGTTTTTTCAGCACGTGTACCGCGGGAGGACTGCATGTTCCTCTGTCCACCCCGTTGGTTTCGAGGCCTATCTTTACGCCACACTCCTGCCATACTCACTCAATACAACTCAAGACTTCCTTCGCGAAGATCTGAAACCGCGAACAGTATATTATTGAATCACGCAGTTTGAAATTTCTGTTGTATTGATCGCTACTTTTGTTTTTCCACGCGTGCATCGAACTACCTTTCCGCCAATCTACGACAAACAATATGTTCGCAAGCCATTTATTCCTACTCACTCCTTGTAACACCTCTCCAATAACCTGCCAATAACCTTCTTCTGAGCTCTCAGCTGCTCCCGTCCCTTGCGCCACCTGTCAACCACGTCATTATGAAGAATAACACTACCAACTTCAGGAAAAAAAAGATTATCGAGCAATTAGAGAACACATGTTTGCTCAAATATTAGCATACGAAACTACTTTGCATTTTCCAGTGTACAATGTTTTAAACGAATACAGCAGTATTACAGTTTCAACTGCGAAGAACGGCATAGGAATGAAATTTTCTTGTTTTTGTTGGTAGATAAAAAAAAACAAGAGAGGTACGAAAAACGAAATGTTATGAATCAGTGTTGACAAGGTTGATTCCAATCGAAATTTTGTGATTTTATGACAGTGTCTTTGTTATTTGTGCATAAACTCGTCACTTTTGGCCATTAAAACGTAAGAGGATCCAAGTATTCTGATTATTACATTATTAGGTTTTTGAAGGTGTAAACGAATCTTCGAATTGTTAGGGAACAATTGTGCTGGAATTACCAGTATTACCTTGACTGCAAACAGCTACTATCAGCAACACAAATTACTTAGATTTTGTGGTATAACTTACCAAAATGAGTGTGTGGGTATATCTCGACAAACTTAGATTACAGCTTGAAGGGCCTGTGGTTCTCCGTGACCTCAAAATTGAACTTCTTGGTGAAAATGCCCACCATATATATTTTACAAACAACGGGAGGAAACTAGCAGAAAATGCCATTATTAAAGAAGGTGTCGTCCGCGCTTATTCAAGAGTCCTGGGCGGCAAAGGTGGATTTGGATCCATGCTTCGAGCCATAGGTGCGCAAATTGAGAAGACAACAAATCGTGAGGCTTGCAGAGATTTGAGCGGTAGACGGTTAAGAGATATTAATGAAGAAAAAAGGCTTAAAAATTGGATTGCACAACAAGCTGAACGAGAGCGGGAAGCTGCAGAGAAAAGGAAGAAGAAGTTGGAGCGGTTATGTTTTGAGCCAAAACATGACTTCAGTGATCAGAATTATGAAAAAGCACGAACAGAGCTTACAGAGAAGGTTCATGATGCTGTAGAACAAGGTTTCCGTTCTGCATCAACGTCTACCTGCACAACTGAATCAAAGAGAAAGTTGGAATCACAGGGAGGTAGCCAAGTTAAGAAAAAGAAATCATGCCTGTGGGTAGATGATTTTGATGAAGATGACATCAGTTCTAATGACAGTGATTCAGATGAGATTCAAGTTGATAACAAGCAGAATCTCAAGAATTTTGTAGAAGAGAGTAAACTGAAGGAAGAAAAAGACACAGAAGACAATCTATACAATTGTTCTCAGGAACTAAAAGAAAAATTGAAGCAGGAGGGGAACTGTGCCGAACATGAAAATCCCAGAAATAAAGAAGTTTCATCTTGTGATAAGTCTGAGAAAACTTCACCAACAAGTGAAGCATCACTATCTCCTGAAAGTGACAAGAGCGATGTGTGCTGTGACAGCAGTACATCTGAAAGAGATTCTGGTATTGCTTCTAATGCTTCTTGTTAATAAAATGCATTTATCAGGAAATAAAGACGACTGTGTTAAAAAATGTATAAAAAGTTGTAGTACAAAAACGTCAGTAAGATAAATATTGGTACATACTCTCAATGAAGATGGTTTTTATCAGTTCATTAATAAGTAATAATAATATTTTAAATGGTATACTGTTTCCATTGGTTCAATTGGCACAATTTGCAAATGTGATTATCTCATAACTTGCTGAAAAGATGAATTCAATCTTTTGTGTGTGTGTATTTATTCTCACTGGTATATTATTAATTGATGGTTAAAATTTGGAAACTTAACTTATAAAATGGAATAAGACTTTCATTGTATAGGGCTCTTTCACCATTTCAAAATTTGTAATATAGGTAATAGTAGTAATATATAATAAAAAGAATACCAAGGAAGTAAAAGGTTTGGTTTTGGAAATGTGCTGGTGAGCAAAGGCTCTGTTATGTGAAGTATTGTTTTTCAGTAATGACCATGCTTTTTTTTTTTCTGGTTCTTTTATGCCTCTTACTGATGTATAAGATCCTTCCAATTGGGTAATTTGGAAGACGTTTGAAATTTCAAATTTTTTGATCCCTTAAGCATTAAAATATTTTTAACGATTTGTAATATGTTTCTTATACTTTTGAGATGTTACATGAAACACTTTCTAAAAATTTGTATTTGTGGGAAATGCAAAAATAAATTATATGGTATATTGTAAACTACAGGGTTGACATTTTTTTTTTCTCAAGGTTACGAGCTGAAAAGAGAGGGAGACATCTAATCGGAAGTCTCAATACCAAGAATTTTAAGTCGTAACAAAGTTTGCGTCGATGAATGTCCCCTTCCCCTCCAGCTCATGACCTTAAAAGGATTTACCGTTTTAATCTGAATATGTATGGTTGCGGTGGAATAAGGATTTAAAATTGGGAACTTTCCTGGTTAATATGTTGATTTTAACACACACAAACATTGGCATCATTCATTTTTCAGTATTTTTACTGAGTGAAAGTGATAAACTCAGAAGACTACACTAACTGCTATTTCTTGATGGTAGATCAGTGGTCACAATGTTTTGCATATCACAGTATTCGCCGAATATGAACATTTTCATTATCATGACAACGCTGATCAAAAGTGAAGCTCCATCTTTATTCCAATGCTGTTGCAGAATGTAGTTTAACCTCACCAACCATCGCAAGCCATATGTATTGTGTTCACCAAAATTAAAATATTATATGTAAAATGTACATTATTAACAAACAATATCAGAATTTAATATTAATAATTCATTAGCCATGAGTTCGGGAGAGAAAAACTATCATTTAGGTTGTTTTTTTTTCACAAGTAACAAGACCTTACTTTTCTATCAAATCCTGCAGCTAACATTACTCCACTCTTGTAGAAAAAAATTGTATACAACAAAAACTAGAGGCTTGAAAAATGTTTATCAAGAACACCTGGAAATAGAACATTTCCAAGGAGGATTGTTATCCATTTAAAATTGATGGATTTTCTACATGATAATTAAATTTCTATGTTTTTTTTTTTTGGTAATAATTTAATTATAAGTTCAGTTCTCAAGTCTTAAATTAGATACATATGTATTTTCTTAGGACGACTGAACAAGAAATATTAAAACCTTATGGACACACTACATTTTACAACGAAGTTAAAAAAAACATGTCCAATTCACAGAATAAGAATACATTAACAAGCCAGAAAACTGACTTAAAAACTAATTTATAATTTGAACTTACTAAAAGAAAGGAATTATTTAAAGGATGTGCGTGTAGAAAATATGATAAATTTTAATGTAAAACCACACTTGAAGCATACAAGAAAGTTTGAAGAGTGAATTCTGCACCTGGCTATTCAACATTGCCACACAAATACTGAGATCTAGACGAACATACAATGTTAGTAACAAATTAACACACATTCATCCAACAAGGCCACAATAACTGTAGCAGTCAATTTTTTAACTCATAAGTTACTAATGTACAATCTTTCAAAAATCATTCACCCACACTACAGAGTCCTTTTTGCACAGCAATTACAATAGCCACTCTAATTACACAGACTGTATCAAATATATATGTATATGAGACCAAATAAACTACTTTCCTTGAAACAACATACGATCTTAATTTAAGTCTTATATCAAAAATTATTCTTTGCAGTAATAAAATGTGACACTTTCCTGTATATTTGCATGCACGCAACACATATTGCAATAAAATACTGTTGATCACTACAAAAATTCAATACTCTGTCACACCGTTGAAACCAATTAAACTGCCAACACATCAATATATAACTTGCAAATACAAGCATATTTTTAATATACTTATTAAGATTATGCATTATTCTATCATATAATGGAAAATGCTTCGTGCAATTACAAACACAGATGTGAACTCTGGTCCCAGTCTTCCAATAAAAAAATTAACTTGTAAATTTAGTGACCCAACCCGTTAATCAGAGTCAAAGAGAACAATCATTTCCTTTTTATCTTTTGACCAAAATGTGCAGTCATTAGTATTGGTGGTGCAATAAAAACTACAATAATTGGTCGAAAAGATATTGAGCTATCTCATTTTCTCACAAATAGTTCAATTTTACAATGACCGCAAAAGCAGCAAAATGTATAGACTGATTCTCTTGTGAAGTCAATTTTGACTAGCTTCTACTCCAAACTAGAGAAATAATTGACTCGCCATGAAAAAGGCTTAGTAAAATTGACAAAAATACATTCCATTTATAGTTGCTGATACCATAAAATACTACAGTGAATGGAAAATAAGAAAAATTGTAGCAAAAGTAAAATGTTGGACAATGTTTTCATTAACTTTTAGTCTAAATTTGCAGTTTTCTGATGTCACAATAACTTAATTCCGAAGCAGTATCTATTTGTCAATAACTTTTCTAAGGAAATTATCAGCAAAATAAACAGGAAAAGTTTTGTGGAGGATGTATGTTCAATAATTTTGTCTACATCTTTCTGACAATATATATTCATATTTCTAGATTATGCTTAGGTATATTGAAACTGAACACAAGTATTGAAGCCAACTGGATAACATTTAATTTCCACCTGGAACATAAACAAAAATATGGAGAAATACAATTCTGAAATATGTCCCTTAAGGGACACACACAGGTGATTTGTTAACATCTATCAATTTCATTCATTGTAACTTTATAGCTGAAGTAAAACTTAAAAAGGCTCATATATAAAGGAGATGAGAAAAAAATAGTGAAAATGGCTCATGGAGGTCCATGCTTTTGGGCTTGCAAACCTCTTTAAAACAATAAATAAATAAATAAATAAATAAATAAATATATATATAAAATAATATATATAGTTTCCACCTCCATTTTACTGCAACTTTTGACTTCTTTTTTAAGGAAAAATAATAATACTAATAGACTGGCAAAGCTTCATTATATTTAAAAGACTTCTGTCTACGAATCTTCATATCACTCAGTGTCTATGAATTTTTTCAGAATATTTCCAAGCTCAGAAACTCCTTTGGAAAGCTAAAAGATGTTAAAAAATGCAAAATGGTAATGAAAGCATAATATTTATCATGATTAGAACAATTGATAAAAGTTCAGCTAAATAGAAAATAGATAGAAGCCCTGCCATTTTCAAATTATTCCCACAAACCATACAATATTATTTAGGAACTAGGTGTAACCCATCAAAAATTGTGGGACGAAATTGAATTCTCATCCATCATTTATAATGAATAATAGAACAGAAATGATTTTTTATTTAATTCTAAATTTAAGATTTTTCCCTTTTCAAATTTCTTTTCTTATTAGCCTTTTTCTACAAAGTACAGGTCAAAATGACCCCAAGCCATGCAAGTGTGACAGTGTAGTGAAGGGTATTTGTTTGGAGAAAATGAGAATTTATCATTCACTGAAATGATGAAAAGGATGCATTTTGAAAATGAAAGAATTTTGTTCCCTTAATGTGAAATGTGTTTGACCCAATAGACAAAAATATGTGAATTGGGTCAAAAAGACCCGACGTAGTATATGTCCTGGCGGTTCACGTTGTAGAACAAAGGCGAGAAACAGGTTCTCAAACTGGGATTCTCTAAGGACTACAAAGCAATATTAGGGAGGCCCTGAAAGGACCACCAGGAAAAATTTTGGGCAATTTGTGATAGTTACCACGTACCTTGGAAGAATTCAAGGGACCTTGATATTTGATTTCTTTTGATATTTGTTTTAGTTGTTTAGGGACACTGCACTTTCAGAATCTAACAGCATGTAAATTAAAGTTAGAGGTCCACTGTCATCTTAATAGTCTTAAATTTTGTCAACAATCTGTTTCCTTTCAGTAACATGATCCTTTATCTATCTATGGAATGTGTTATGTATACATTTATATCTCAGTTATCGAATGGTTTATTTTTCAAAAACATTTTACAAAAAGAAGTCTATTTCAAGCACCTATCCACCAGGAAGGAAATCCCCCCGTCCAACCCCCACAAGAATTTTCAGGAACTATTAATTTTAACTCGTCATGGAACTTTCAAGCAATTATATTTTTAGATAATCATTAATATGAATAAAATTATATTGCAGCATGAGCTGAATTTGGTCCGCATCTTCCCCAAATTTTCCAATAGATAAATATATCCTGTATTTACCTGAATAAGTGGATAAGTGGACTCTGAATACAAGGCAACCCCCTAATTTTGTGAAGATGCCTCCTCAAATTATTTTAAATATTTAACTAATTCATACTATTATATCAAAATAAAATAGTAAATTGTCTTATTAACTAGAAAATTGCCTTGTTTCTGAGCATGTTAAGACTTATTGCTGAACTATCAATTTCTTGTTTTGTAAAATCATTATAATCATGGTTTTTGTCACTACCTTCATTATCTTTCATATGTATCAATGTTTCTTTCTTTTTAGTCCTTCTTCCACGCTGCGACTTCTTCTGACTTTATAGACCTGACTGTTTTGCACACTGAATTTCATCAGACGTCACCCAAAAACATTCCCTTCTGTGTCAACAGATTTTCTCTGTCCTGCACTTGTTGATGCCCTCCGTTTCTTTAACAGTTAAAAACTCACATTTGCTGTCCCCGTGTGTAAAACAGATTTTGTGCGGCCTCCTCGAACTCCAGAGAAATTTTGTCCTCATTACCTCATCTATCACCTATATACATCCTAATCATACTCTAAATTCTCTTGCACTAACCAGTAACTGTGTGAGTGATCTATGTAATATCTTACTGATTGAGAAACTGTCTCCGTTCACCCACAATAATGGTAAAAGCAACAGAATGGTCACAAATATAAAGGTACAGGAGGACGGAGATGCTATAAGATTTACTTTGGTATGATGTTCGGGAACCATGATAGGGCTCCTCATTGGGAATAGTTCTCAAGGAAACGGAAGAGAGAACAGGAGTCCCTGATAGGCCTCAAGCACTGATAGCAGCGGGAATCTGGATACCTCAGTCCATATTTTGACTTCATAACACTATAGTACAACTTGACCTATCAAAAAGTTACATTATGATTATTATTTTATGTCATTCTGGGATGTTTAATTTTTATAAATGAGAAGCCACAACCAAATTTTTTCACCAAAAACTAAATTAATTGTTTTTTGACCTGTTGCATGCAAAACACTAAACAAATATATTTGGTTTCCATGAAATGATTTGAAATTGGGAGGTCTTTTTTTTATTGAATCTAACTTTTCTGTTCGTTCTAATCTTGTTTATTATCATAATTTTACCACTTTTTGCAACATTAATATTTTTTTTAACTTTCTTCAATTGAGTTTTTGAAGTTAGGAAAAATTTCAGGAGACTTTCTAAACTGTTGAAAGCATAATGAAGTCATGCCTATTGATTAATAATATTATTTTCCTGCAGAAAATAAAATGATCTCAAAGAAAACAAAACTTTTTATTTTCTCCATTTTTACAGGTAAAAGTTAGTAGTCAAGAGGAAGTAAAAAGTGTATACAATTTTTTTAAAAATTGTTTTGACCTACCAGCCCTGAAAAGCATGTATCCTCTGAGACTAATTTCACTATCTAAGCCCGCTACCCACTTTCTCCTCAATATTTTCCAACCAACAAGTACACAGTTTTAAATCTACATTCAACAAACATTAATTTGTCGTCGAGCAGTTTAGAATATTAGTGTTTGGAATTTTGTAAAATTAAATATTGAATCAATAGAATTTATTTTACAGGATGTTCCAGAAAAACGTCCTCAAGCACAATGATGCCCGTTGGTGAATTCTACTGTTATATGTTTGACCGTAAATTCTTCTTTTCCCCTCTCAACTACTCTGAACAACTCGTGTGTGCATTTATTCACTGACCATGTGGGGGTCAGATGTGTTTTCCTACCCAGCCTATTGGCAAGTTTGGTCTCACAGTTTATTGACAAAAAAGCTTCACTTGACCCCCTTTGTATTCACAAGATTTGAGCCCCATTTTCCAGAAACACCTTATATATTTCAATGTGAATATATCAGGAATTTTTGTATTATACACATGCCAATGACAACAGGTCTTTTCCATATGAAACAAATTTTTAACTACATGTATTCTTAACTTAATACCTTGTAGTATGTAATCTTAACTTAATATATAAAAATTACAAATGTTGTGGGGAGGTTTGTTACAAAAAAACTTTTGGACCACTGGAGATATTGCTTTCCAATTTCTAATGAACACTTACGAGAGAGAAGAATATAAGGGACTCGTGATCCAAAAATATCAAACTTTGCCACGGTACGTCAGATTCCCTCTGTCAATGGCTGGGCTTTCACCAAATGGCTTTGTGATAACTGCTCATTCAAATGATTGTTTTGCAACTCAGCTTTTTAAAACAACAACAACTTGTTGAGAAAATTATCTCACTTGTATTTTTTGTTTTCTTTACTTTTTGAAATAAATATGAATGAATTATAATGTAAGGCAATGATGAACAAAAATAAAATATGAATATTGATATTTAGAAAAAATTTATTTAGCAATAATAAATCATTTTTATATTTACACCTGTTTTCCCCTCACAACAGATGTTATTCAAACTTAATGAGCCTGGCACCATCAGTATTTAGATATCCATCAAATGTGACTATTTTATTTTACTTTAAGAAAATATTCAAAATTTTCTTATTTTATGATTTATACATTCACGAGTACATATATTTTCCTTATAAACATGAATGTGGAACATTTTCCAGCAACAAACCTTATTTAGTTATAAATTCATAATTAGGAACAAAACTGAAGTGTCATACCTGTACTATTTACCAAAGATGAGATCCTGTACAAATTAAGTCATATTAGATGTAATATCCCATGGTAATGTAAATAAATTATTTGGTAATGGTGTGCAATGTCCAGCACGAAAATCAGTCAAGTATTTTGATGCCTGCAATCCCAATAAATAATGTGTTTACTACAAATAAATTTATATCAGCTTTAGTGAACATTCATGCAATTACTTACCAGAAACAATGCCATTTGGGCTTTCATTTTTTCACTGAACCCATCACCCAATCTCATTGGAAAAGAATTAGAATGCTCTGTTATGTATGATAAAATAGTTGAGGAACATAATTCATCATCCACTTCCAATTTGTCCCATAATCTTGCTGTAATAGCACAAAAAATTGGTGGTTGAATAAATTTCAAATAAAATAACTAGGTGCTAAAACAGCATGTTCTTTCTTGCCCTTAGCTATGCTTATGTAATTCTATTTATACAAAAAAATCTCTCTTGTATTAACAAATCCCAGTCATAATTTTTTGTAAAACTCATTAAAACCGTGGAACATTTGGTGCGAATAGGGTAGCCACCTCTCTGGGTTTGACCCGAGTTTCCAGGTTTCACAAAGGTACGAAACAAGGGGATACCCTAAACCCACAATTGTTTATTACATGCATGGATCAAATAATTAAACAGAACCAGGAAATTGGCAGATGAGGCAGGTATGGATACAGTCAATGATTTATGCAGATAATATTCTGCTCATTGCCAAATACCCAAGGGAACTACAGGAGATGGTCAGGGAGCGGAGACATACATTGAAAGAAAAAGGAATGAAAATGAAAACTAGCAAGAGTAAAATAAGGTGTATAGGCAATAAAAGAGAGGAAATTGAAGAATTGGAACAGGTTCAGAGTCCAGAGAACAGCAGGTATGAGGATGAAATGAATAACAGAGTTAAGAATGCAAATTCTATCTTTCATCAAAAAAGTTACAATTCATTACCCATGAAAGTTGGTACTAAAACTAAAATACAAATGTACAAGTCAGTGTATGTATCAACTTTTATTTATGGAATGGAAAGTCTACCATGAAATTCAAAAACTAAGTAGAACAGCAGCTCCAGAAATGAAGTTTCTAGCAGAATCGGGGGCACAACTAGAAGAGACAAAGTAAGAAATAGCATTAAAAGGGATGTACTAAAACTTGCACCACTTATGAAAACTACTGAAAATAATGCACTAAAATGGTTCAGACATGTGAATACAATGAAAGAGGACAGGAAACTGAAGCAGATTCACAATGGCTGACATTACACTATCCGAGCGAAGAAATCGCATAGGCTATGGAGTAAATTTGTGAAGAACATTTATTGCATCTCGTAATTATTATTTGAAGTACCATTAAAATTATATTAAAATTGATGAAATCGAAGAGAGGTCAGAAGGGAAAAGACTTCCTGAAAGACCCAGGGGAACCTGGGAAGGCTATATAGCACATCTCTGTCATAGGAATGAGACACCTCCTTTTACACCTCCTATGGGGTGTACAACGCACAAAATGGAAGTAAATACACAAGTAAGGCACAATATAAGGAGGAATATGTTAAATAGCTATCCCGCTATAAAAAGCTGCTGAAAGTCACAAAGAAGGGGGGGAGAACAAGAGGGAGATGATTCATTCTCCTTCATGAAAATTATTAGGGGGTGAAATGGCAGAATTGGGCTAGGCATGGGTTAACCTATGTCCTCCTGTAACAGGAATACCTAATTTGGGTCAAAAGACAGCAAGTCCTGCTCTCTCCTCCCCGTTGCGGCCCCTGGGTGCTCTCTAAGGTAAGAGGTTGGAGAGCTGCTAATGAGAGCAGGGCAAGGGCGAGCATTGGGAAAAGAGAAGGAAACCCTGAGAGAAAACCAACCTGCTGTCTTGCAGGGAGAGGGATCTACAAGGCTAGGGGAGAAAACCCAGAACAAAGGCCCAGAGGCAGAAAGGGGACTGGGCAGAGAGACGTAGGGCCTATCACCCACTCTCTCTTATGGCGTATTCACACAAACTTAAATACTCTCCGACAAGAAAAGCAATTATAGGAGGATAGTGCAAGGAATTGGACATGAATATAGGCATGTGGAATATTACATCAGTAATAAGAAAAGAAGAGGGAATAGTAGAAGATATGGAAAAGTATAATTGAAAGATTTGGGGGATTAGTGAAGTTAAAAAGGGAGTAGGAGAGGAGAGAGGAGGAAGTGCATAAAGGGTATGTAATGAAATATAGCAGAGGGGACATTAAAACAGAGGCTGTTGGAGGAATAGGCATTATTGTGAACCCTGAAATTAATAAGAGTAATAAATTGAGAACCAGTAAGTACAAGAATTATGAGAGTGGACATATAATTAAAGAAAAAAGTGGCACTGGTGAGTCTATATTCACCACCTGAAGATAAAGATATAATAGAAAAGAAGTAGAGTAACAGAACCAACACAAGGAACGAATGATCATGTGGTGATAATTGGAGGCTGGAATGCCCTAATAGGATTGGATGTGCAGAAAGAAAAGGGTAATATGGGGAAATGTGGAGTGAAGAACACAAGGAATGATAATGGGGAGCGGATGCTAGAATGTATAGATAATACAAGTAAATTGCTAATAGGAAATATGTATATTCCACACAAGAAAATACACAAATACACTTTTCAAATAAGAAACCAGATGATAATTAAAAGTATGACTGATTACTTTGCATGCACAGTCATTGTGATATGCAGTAATGGATATTCTGTGTATAGAAGTACAGAATTAATCATGTGAGCAGGGGAGGATTTTATTAACATAAATTGGGGATGAAAACCCATATTAAATATTCACCAACAGAACAATTTAAGAAATATTTTAAAATTTAAAGTGAAAAATTGAGAATGAAGGAAAATAGGAAAAGATATGAACAAGCAATTGAAGAAAGACAAAACGACATGGTGAGGAAGGGATGGAATCAACGAAGAATGGAAGAAGCTGAAGGAAACTATGCGGCAATAGAGATGTGTGATAGGAATAGTAAATATACATTTTAAAAGAACTAGATGGTGGAACGAGGTGCTAAAGAAATGGGTAAAGAAGAAAGAGAAAGTGTACAACGTGCAGAAAGCAAGTAAGTTGGGAAAAGTATGTACAAAATAAAAATAGAACAAAACTAGAAGAAGGCAAAGGTGGAGACACGAGAAATGTTTGCAACAGAATTGGAGAAAAAGTACCATAAGAACCGAAAGGCATCTGGCAGGTAGTAAATGGATTAAGAGAGAAACAAAAGGGATCCAAATAACTTAAAAGACAGAACTGTCAGAGGTATTAGAAACCTGGGGGCAGTATTATGAGAACATCTTTGAAGATAATAACATGACAGCCACTGGTGATAAGAGGGAGTTGAACGAGTCAAGAACTCCATGAGCCATTGGGAATGGGAATGAGGGGGAAAGTGAATCGAACATGGTAAGTGAGAGAAACCAAGAGGGAACAGCAGAAATGGATGAGGATTCCATAACAGAAAGATGAGGAAGAGGCAAAGAGAAGTATTTCAGTTGGAAAGGCAGCTGGTCCAAACGATATATCACCAGACGTTGTCGTTTTGGTTGTCTCATGTCCTACACCATTCTTTAAATTTTTCTTCGGACTAATAACCAGTAAAATTTCATCAAAATCGATGGCGTCATTTTCTTGAATATTCTGAAAATGTCTCAGGAGCTTCATGTAAAGTATCCGCCAAAATTAAAATATACATTTCAACTTCCAAACATCAGCCATATCAGTCGGGGAATATTAATTTGGGAGAAAATTGGTTGAAGCCGCTACAGTTATGCATGGATGGACGAACAGAGACGAGCTGGCGAACGGACGAACCGACGGACGGCCAGACGGACCGACGGACGGACGAACCGACCGACATCGCGCTTCCGGAACAAATGTAAAGAACTCAATGGATAACACACATTCCGATGTGTGTATTCACAAGTACGTTAGCACAGAAGGGAAATGATGATGCTTCTGATTCAATGGCTCGTCCGATCGACGACAATCGCCCGTGGTTGTTACTCGCGCTGACTATGCGGAATCTGGTCAAGAGGAGAGGGCACAAGAGGTAGTTTTATTTTCCCTGTTCACACCTGTCATTGCAACAAAACGCCAGTGGCCGCGAACGGTCCCGGCCCAAAGAGAGCCAAGTGGCCCACCTCGTCCGCTCGTTCGACAGAGATGAATGTTTTCGGCCTTATTTACAACGGGATACTGTTGAATGAATCTAGGTTGTCCTAACTGCCAAAACGTCTCAGAGACACGTTCTTGTATTCCGAACCGAAAGCAAAGGAAAGAAAATGAACAAACATACCACAAGGAGGTCGGACACAACTAGAACGTTCGAAACCTCACGAAACTTCAGAATACACATTTCCGGCTAATGCAGTGAAAATAATCTTTACTATTTGATAGCAATTAATCTACAAGTAACTATGACGAACGCATTCCTTTTCGCATTTATATTAACGTTTTACGAATAAAATTTGATTCACGTAAGCATTTCATCAGCTCTTTCCGCTGTAATGACATTTTAAAACTATTTGTTTAGTAAAGTGTCAATGCAAACTAGAACTCTCGCGACGTCATGCAATCACATTATTTATCTACTGTGCATGATATTCAAAACTTGGATCTGGCCACACCCGTATGGCAGCGCTGTCAAAAAGAGAAGATATAGTGGAATATGATGAAATGTCACCTCTATCAACAGGCATTTATTTCGTGGAATCAATTGATTTCCCCAAAGATAGTGCAAATATCTTCTCTTTGAAGCAGTCACCCGTCCTCGCAAGCAGTGGCCTAGTATCTCTAACTCGTTGCCTAGTACACTCATAACCTGTATAATATGGTCACATGTTCCTGACTCATTTACGATTTTGAGCCGTACCGCTAGTATGGTAGAGGGGCCGCTGGATATTCCTTTTAGCTTTCTGGTCCCTTCAGGACCTTCTTGCAATAACGCAATACCAGATTACGTAGAACAGTTGTAGTTAAATTATTGTTGGAATTGTAGTTGTAGTTAAGTAGTTTTATTAAGGAAAGAATACCATTCTAATAATTTCGTATTTTTTCTTAACAATAGGTATCTTCCTTTCTCCTCCCCTTCCTCCAAACGAACATTTCTATTTTTTGTTACTCACAATTTTGTTCCCAAGGAGGATAGCGCGAAAGTTGTTTTAAAAAATTCCAACCAGGCACATAATTCACAATTACATGGATTCTTTAACGTCGGTACATTTCCTTTAGGAATTCAGTGTTAATCACTGCCATTTGATTCCCGGTGCCTCCAGCCACCTGCGCCCCGGCGTCGAGGACCCAGGGACCCAGGGGCTGCGCATGCGCTTCCCTCTCCCTGTTCGCAGGGGTGCCAACAATTCCAAACATCGCCCTACCTTCTTATCAGAGATGGGAAGGCACTGAAAGGATTAGTTTTTAAGGTGAAATGTAGTGGTTTAGAAAAGCTTCCATGCCACTTCACAGAAACTAACAACCTTGCCCGAGGAGAGATTCAAACTCTCGACCCTTCTGGTAGATTGCTACGACGATCTCGATTACTCAGGTCGAATCCTTTGAATTACAAATAACCCCTAAGGTGAAAATTACCTGAAATGATGTGACATTCTTTTTGGTATTGTGCACAGGAAGAAAAATCTAGTTAAGAGATCAGTAGATATTTCTTTCTCGTTGTTCGTTTGAATCCTTTCACTAGATCATAAATAGTGACTAAACAATTATCTCCTGTAAGTTTCAGGGAAAAGAAAGTCACGTGCTTTGTGAAATCTACAAGAAAAAGTATTTTTGTTACCACAAATCTACTTGAAGAAAAACGAGTGTTCTAGTTCGGCAAAAAATATATCAATTTTCTCACTAAGATGAAAAATTATTTCTACTGTGTTCTAACAAACCTTGCAGTGGGGAATATCCGAGAACCTACTCACTTTCAATGTTAGAAAGAAATATCCTAAATGGAGAGTGTACTAGGTTTGCGACCTATTGTAATTTACTGACTTCATAGCATCTGTCGTAAAATTAGCCAGTGGAGAATCATTCGTTTCTGCATTCCAATTCCCCGAACAGCTTTACAGAATAATTCCTAGCAAGCCTCGTGCCTCACACAATGCGTTTGGCCTTAGTACTAACACCGTCGAGATTTTCCCTGAGTGCACAAGATTTCTTCATATTTTGAAAACATTTCTTCATTCGTAATATTTTCCAAGTATCCAAGCTATACTTGGAAAACTTCATAATCATTTCACACTTTGAAATATTGGCTGCTTAACTGAATTGAGAATCTTAAGGGAAAATGTAAACGCAGCTATCCGTTAAAGCTCGTCTAATATTAACGTATCATTAATAATTAAAATTTAAAAAGACGAGGCCTCGTGGGCTGAGCTCGCCACAAATAATGACAGGCATTTATTTATTAGTTATTTTTAATTTATGTATGTGGAAAATCTGAAATTTTGCATTTTTTGCTGCACCAACCTAAATTGCTACGCGAAACACATCCATTCGCGAACGTAAGTTGGGAGCTTTGCGCTACGCCATCTACGCCGATTCTCAAAAATAATATTCCCAAATTACTCGTGCAAAAATGAGAAACCGACCGCGCACTCTGGCGCCCTGCCCTACTGCGCTCTTCCTCGTGGAGGCGGTCGGATGACTGGCGCTTCGCGGGTTCGAGGGCGAAGCAACGGTGTCGCTCGCCTCACCGCGAACCGCTCCAGCGCGACGAGAAGAAAGGGGGCCGGCGCCAGTCACTTCCTCCTCCTCGGGGCGGCGGCGCCACGGCGCAGCTTATATAAAGGGGGCCGAGCGCCGCTTCCCCGCCTATAGGGGCGGAGCCGCCAACGGAGGCCACCATGGACACGCGAGCGCCTGCCCGAGAAGAAGGCGGCGGCGGTGGCGCGAGGGGGCTCTTCCTAATGGCGGCGGTCGCCGGCCTCCTGGCCGTGGCGCTCGCCGGCCCCGCCCACCAAAAGCACGACAGAGACGCAGGTAAGGGCACGGCGGCACTCCGCCTAACTCGCTCCAGTTGAAAAACATTTAATGCTTCTATGAGCTCCCAGGGAAATACTGTTTAGAATAATTTGAGTAAAATGGGAAAACTACTGGTTTTGAAGGGGGGAAACACGCACCGGGCCATTCCCCCTGAATCCACACCCTCTTCCGCCAAAATCGCTGGTTTTTTAAATGTCATAACTATGACATGTGGAGAAGGGTAGGCGAAAAGCCACATTCCCACATTTAGTGTGTACCAAGCTAAGCCAGAGACAATCACAGCAATTGAACTATGAATCAATGGAAACTAATTCGAGGTAAAGTGGAGTTACCCTTTTCTGATTGTCATGAAAGACATTTCCCAAAAGCTTCGACTATGTGTTTGCATATGGAGAAACGTCCCCACGATAACTGCATGTAGCCTAAAAAGTTAATGAACGTCACAAACAAAATCGGTTACTTATGTGATCATTTTCTCACAAATAATTCGTCACAACACCCAACATAATGTCAGTATTATATCACAAGAAAAATTGTGACGGTTAATGATTATCCAACAGAACACAATTCACTCTCTCAAAACATACGTGTAAACGCTGACAGCAAAGACCCAATATCATGAAAAAAGCTAAAAAAAACTGATGTTTCTGAGTTTTTATTCGTTGTGTTTTTAACGCATCACGTCTCTTTAGCCCTATTTGAGCATTGAGCGTCAATATATAGAGTAATCTTATGTTAACATATTTGTCATGTGCTTCGCAACACTGCAGTCTCTTGAATTGCGTAACATCTAAGTCTTCGGGGAGCATAGTTAAGCGACTTTGCTATCAACGCCGAATTCATCCTCCAATTGTAAAACTCATTAATTTTAAAGCTAATAATTCACCACTAACTCGGGCAATCGGGAGGGGGGGGGGGGTCGGAAGGCCTCTGTCACGTGGACACGAGCCACATTGATAGACGAGAAAGCGCTTGTTGGCACCTACCACCTTAGGAAATACTGAATTAAACAGATATTCCAGAGGAATTAAATTTCTATACGGCGCACAAATAAGTAGAGCAATGAACACACATTTGCATTTAGCAATGTATCAACCGCAATTTCTAAGATACAAGGGCGATCGGAAGAGTGAGCTTTCGTTACAGAGGCTTTGGACCGAAAATTCCAAGTGTCTCAATTCGATTTTAATAATTTTGCGGCGTGTTGCTGACAAACTTTTACGGGACAAACGTTTTGTCTTCAATCGGTTTTTCGGTACCAAGGATCCACCAAGCGTGGATTCTGAGTACACATGTTAAGAGGAAGCAATTTACTACATATATGTATTTATCCACGTTTTTCATTACCAGGGCCCGCAATAAGAGTAATCTGTCGAAAATCCGTGTTTCTATCTCGCAGCATTACAATGCTTTCACTATAATGCGTAAGCAGCAAGTGAGAAAACGACAGTACTTAACCAGCAGCAAAATACCAACGTTTCCTTCGTGGCTGCACTCTCAAGCTGCATTGCTTCATTCTTCCGCAACAAGGGAATTGCCGACGTGTTGTAAAATCCGAAATAGCCTTTTTTGTCAACAAAAAAACTAATTTGGGGTGAGTAAGAATGTTAACGCGAAATCGTGCTTCGACTAAAAAGCGTAAAAAACGGACAAACCTCTGGAAAGTGAAATAGAAAAAAAGGGCAATCGCTTCGCATCAGAGCGAAGTGGAACAAATGTTTTCCGTTGGGGACTCTGCCATAGCTAAAAATCCACAGTATTAAAAACGACTTGCGAAGAACGGCCTATAGCAATTACAGTAGACTTTGCAGGTGATGTCACCTCCGAACAATTTAGAATACAAAAGAATTCTCAAATTGCTTGATTTCTTAAATCTACATTTTCTTTCTATAATCTAGCTCCAGACAGGTATTCCCACCAATTAGGATATTCTAAATGCAAATATTTTCAAAACGTGAGGATAAACGAAAATAAAATTAAAAATTATCAACCAATATATCTTATGTCCGTTTCTTCAAAAATATTAAAGATGCAAAAATTATGAATGGAAACTTTCCTCAGTAAATACGACGCGATTTCAAATTGGCGACATCGGTATCTATCTACGAAAACAGCTGTATTACTTTATTTCCTTCAAGATGTAGCTTTATCAGAGGATGAAAACGACGCAACTATTGGAATATTTTTAGAAGTTTCAAACACGTTTACCGTGATCATAACTAGGGGTGGATTTTAATGAAATGCCATTTTTATTCTTTTTGCTTTAGAAAAATGCCGTTTAGTATAGAAATTAATTGTCTGGTATACTAGCATTATAAAACGACCTTTCCTGTTGCAAAGAATCGTTTATAATTGGGCATTCTACGGCACAAATGATGTATTAGATTTTACGGCACGGAAGATTGAGTCATCACGCATTCAGCCAATCGCAGCAAATTAATAATGGGGGGGGGGAGGTTAACGGAACATAGTAATAATAATAATAATAATAATAATAATAATAATAATAATAATAATAATAATAATAATAATGTCTTTATTAATGACGAGGCTCAGGCCATAGGGCCTGCTCTTCCGCCTAACCACTGACGAACAGACGACCACCGTTTTCGAGCACAATGTCAAATATCCGACACGTTACAAGAAAGTTGCTTGGCAAAAGCGTTTGATTTTCTTATAATTTTACAATTAAAACAAATTTTACAAAAAAAATAGGATACACAACTATTTCGTAATGCTGCTATGCCTCAAGTATAACGTGGGGTTCGAACCCACAGCCTGAGCGTCCACGTACTTCGGTTCGCCTGTCTCAACCATCTCAATAGGCCGATTCTCTTGACCAAACTGTTCGTAAATCTGTAATAATTACGTAGCGTAATAATTTGTTAAAACTAAAGTATAACTAGTGGTGCTACAGAATAACACGGCACGTTTTTAATAACAGATCCGAAGTATTACTTTAAGAATATTAAAGAAAAGTAAAACCTGGTCATAAATGGCAATTTTCATTGAAAATTTTGGAGCCTTTTTCAAGAAAACTGCGTTTACGGGTTACTGTAAACGTGAAATTTGAAGCTTTTTCATAGAAAAGTTTTGGGTTTCAAGAAACTACATTTCATTCTGTTTGAGGCACTTCAACTCACAAATACAATAAGTGTTTACATATTGCTGGATATGTACGTATTAACAGCGTGAGAAATCTTTCACAAAAATTACATTGTGTAATTTTTGAAAACCAAAATAGACTTTACGTCTTATTAAAGAGCGCAATTAGCACTATCCGTTCACTATCCAAGTTTTCAACAAACTTCATTACAAATAATTTGAAGCACTTGGGCTCACACAATGCAATATTGTATCAAAATGCCAGTTATGTAAATATTTATGATGTGAGATACTTCAAAAAAATTAAATTTGGATAATTAGTACATAATTAAAGTAATGTGAGTACATTACAATAACGTTTATGTCATGCTATTCAGTTTATTCTCGTCTATCCCTACAAAAGGTTCAAAGAAAGAATGTAATTTGTTTATGAACAATTCTGATATAAAATTTATCTATATTTCACACATAATTATATGAAAACTACTTAATATTTTCAAAGACAATGAACATGACATTAATTAACAAACTAACTAACTACAATTAATAAATTTCATTTGAATAGAAAATCTTCATCTTTAATGATGTAGTTGTATCAAATATTAATGCAGTTGCACGTAAAAATTCAAACTTTTGTAATTTACAAATATTCTGAGTTAAATTGGACCTATCCAATCTTATAAGTGTCACTTTATTCTGGTAAGAAATATAAATAAAACATTTGGAACTATTTTTGGGTAAACTTTGGAAATATTTCAAAGGGATCTTAAGAAGTACCTCCAACGTTTAAAGAATTATTTTCAAAATTGCAAAGCTGTAAGTTGAACCAGATTAATTTTTGAAAAAATTCTGCAAATAGTTTAAGTACTAGTCTTGTTTTCAGGCAGATATTTTCAGAGGAGAAAAACAACAACACACTTTTTCGCTATTAAGAGACCCCAAAACATATTTCTATTCTCAGCAGCATTACATAACTCTCTTTCTACTATGCATATTACTTTGTTTATACACAAGAGGTGACAAAAGTCATGTGATACCTCCTAATATGTTTCACCTCAAAGTGCAGCAACTCGTTCTGGCATAGACTCAATGTTATTGGAAATCCTCTGCAGAAATATTATGCAATGTTGCCTCTATAGCTGTCTAGAACTTCAAATGTGGTGCAGGACTTAGCACACAAACTGACCTCTCAATTATGTCTCATAAATGTTCAATGGGATTCATGTCGGACGATTGAGGTGGCCAAATAATTTGCTCGAATTGTGCAGAATGTTCTTCAAACAATTGTGGTCTGGTGGCATAGTGGCTTGTCATCCATAAAACTCTATGAATGGTTGCAAATGTTCTCCAAGTAGCTGAACATAACAGTTTCTAGTCAATGATCATTTCAGTTGGGCCAGGGAACCCAGTCCATTGCATGTAAACATAGCACACAGCATTGTGAAGCTGCTGCCTTCAATGCATCACACTAACTCTACCATCAGCTCTCAACAATTGAAAATGAAGTCCCATCTGTTTTAGTACAATTCATATGACCACAAGCCCAGGAGAGGTGCTGCAAGCGATATCTTGCCATTAGCAAAGGCTCACCAGTTGATCTGCTGCCTAGCCCCTTGAAGCCAAATAACTAACAGATACATTTGTTCTATGTCCCACATTGATTTATGCATGTGTTTTACGTTTGTCTGTTGGCACTAACAACCCTATGCAAACGCAGCTGCTCTCAATAATTTAGTGAAGGCCGTCAGCCACAGTGTTACCTGTGGTGAGAAGTTATACCTGGAATTAGGAATTGACACCCTTGACACAGTGAATTTCACAATATTGAATTCTCTTAACAATTTCCGAAATGGAGTGTCCCATGTCCCAACTACCATTTCATATTCAAAGTCTGTTAATTCCTGTTGTACCATGATCGCATCAGAAACCTTTTCATATGAATCTCTCAAGTTCAAATTAAAATTCTGCAATGCACTTTATTCTGGTATAAGATACTACTGTCATATGTACATTTGCATATTGCTATCTCATGACTTGTCCCCTCAGTGTATGTACATATATGAGAAAGTAATAGTAAGCTAAAAATTAAATTATAGATAACCTCACTCCATTAGAACTAGAAAGCAGCAGTAAGTAAATCCAACAAGATACAAAATCTAAAGATTATAATATAGATAATATGTAGGTTAAATTTAACATGAAGTAAAAATTTCATTTAATGTAATGATATGTTATGTATATTGTCTGTCTATTGGCAAAACTAACCACTATTCAACTAATATTCATAATTTTTTTCATTGTTTAACAGCACGTGTCATGCGGGTAGGAGCATCATCAAGCAACAATGTCAATAACAACAATAATGATCAAGATGCTAATAACAACTATTCTGTGTCTTTTGTTCCATTGTTTAGCTTAATTGCAAATTTTCTTCCAAAACTCCTGCAACGATTTGCCATTAAGCAAACCAACAGCAGAAGTAAGTACAAATAAACTTTTTTTATTTTTCAGAGCAAACATTTTTTTCATTTATTTGATTTTTAAGAATAGAAAAAAACGCTACTAGTTGTATTAATTTTCTTGAAACTTTGTAGGTTTAGGAACATTAAATGATAAGAAGGATTTACTTGAAAATAAGGGAATCTTCTGTGGACCTGAAAGTATTGGACGTTGGAAAGATATAACAGATTGCCATCAATACTATGAATGCAGAGTTAATCAAGATTCTCCACCTGGTTGCCAGACTGTTCTCTCTCGAAACAATCCAACCCAAAAGACAGCGAATAAAGATATCACAAAGGTATTTGTAACAATAATTATGTTCTGGAAATGTTGTGTTGGTTCAGATTGTCCTGCATATATTGGACTACACATAACTGGTTATTGTTTTAACAATGCTTATACACCTATACTTCCTAATAAGTTTGGTTACTATACTTTAAAAATGGTCTTTATTTCAGGATATCATATCAACTGAAAACAATATAGTTCCCATATTAATGGACCACTACCAAAATTCATGCATAACAGTGATTACATACAAATGTCCAAATAGGATGATATATAATGATTCTCTGAATCAGTGTGTTTCTAGTAATGAAGATAACTCTTGTTAATAATAATGAAACTAAACCTTGGAAGAGATTCTTCTCAAAGAACATGCAAAACACCTTACAAAAATTTGCTTTCATCTGCAGCACAAGTAAAATTGAATTAAACCCAGAGAAATAAAAGGGTAAAAAATTCACCCAAAGAAGAAGTAAATTAGGAAAATGCTACGAAAAACTTGCTATGTCACAGTTTCAAGGAATCAAAGGGTTATCTGTATACCTCACCACACTTATTTTATGGTTTAGACTTAATGTTCGTCACTGATTACCATTATACATAAGCATGTGGGAGGCAATAATGACATTAATTGGAGTCATAGTGATCTTTCTTTGGTATTACAATATGAGGTAAAATATAACTTACAATGATTTAAAAAAAGGTTATGTCAAGAGAGCACAAACTGATTTGGTGTCTTCAATGAGAGCAATGATTTCAATGACACATTTACTTTCTAGCACTACAGTTTCATCTATACAATAAATGTCCTAGACCAAAGATGGAACATACACGAGTATGAAGTCCCATTTAATAATGTGCACAAACGTGCAACATAGTTGGTATTAAACTCGAGACTATTCCTGATGTTGTAACTATTAAAAAAATGAATGTTAAGAGAAAAATAAATAAAATTCCACTTACTTTGTTGCAAAACATCACTACTCAACCATTCGTACACATACATCAAACTGCTATCATCCATTATAATAGGATATCTGTACTTCAGTATCTTCACTAACAAATTATTTCCTCGATTGGATGCTATTTTATTATCTCTGGAAATTATCCCATTTTGCAATAAATAATCCCAATTCTACAACGAATTAAAAAAAAATAATGGTAAACTTTACTCCAGAAAACAGCACTTACTCTGTGCAAATCACATCATCTTCTGTCCGCCTTATTATACGAATTGGGCCAGGGTACTTCAATAACTGCTCAGCATTGTTTAAGTTCATGTACTCTCTGATTGTTCTTCTAATAATAGGTTCCAAGACATTAGGCATACGAGTTATAGCCAATGGCATTACGTCATCAAAAGTGGCATCCAGAATCTGAAGGAAAAATATATTAACGAAATATATATCAGATGTGTGGAAACCACTAACAATTGAAATTTTAAAGGGACCTTTTGGCAGTTCTGCCCAAAACGTCTTTCAAGTTAAATTAAGCTTAGCTGGTAATAAGTAAAGGATTATTAGGATTTGACAAGTCATTCAAATTCATAGCATATACACTAAGTGTACTTACGACTCCCTTCACGTCAGGGTAGTTCATTGCTGCCCAAGAAGTGGGAAAGCCACCTATACTCCACCCAAACAACACAATATTCTCTGGGAGAAATCCCAAGTTATGAATGGCAAACTGCATAACACAATCTACTGCATTTAATTCTTGGGGGGGGAAAGGCCGTCCCTAAAAAAAAAAAAAATAATAAAAAATAAAAAAAAAAAAAAAGAACAACAGGAAATAAAACAGCTTTTATTTAACTTTTAAGATCATCATCAAAAATATCTATTCCCAAATTTAGCCCCATGTACTTTTTGACAGTGAAAATAAATTTTCAGAACAATTGTTTACATATAAAAGAAATTAGGTTTTAAAAAATAAATCTTCTAAATTTATGTACACTATCCTTCTGATAATTCCGTTTGATTGGGATTAAATTTGTAAATAAATACAACAGCTGCAGCAGAATATATAACTAGTTATTCTGCTTGTAATGTCCTCTAAAAAATTAAAATGAATAGTTTATATAGTTTTGTAATTGAGTTTTGGAACCAAGATCTTTTCCATCCAAGAGGCTACAATGGTGTATATAAATTTCTTATTGTTGTAGGTAAACACCTGAAGTCAATAAGACCCCAACAGTTGTGAATACTTTCTACACAGAACTTTCATTTTGTAATCTTAATAAATACTAAAGTCAAGACTTACAGTGCTTCCTGCAAACCCTGGATGATTCCAACCCAAAACAGAATAACCAGTTTCAATAGGTGTTGCCATTATTCCTATTTCATAAAATCCAGCATTGCCTTCAGAACATATAACAAGAACATCACCATGAGGATGCCTAAAAAATGCATTTATAGTAAAACAATGACATTAAGGGAACAAAATAATCTTAACACCATTATGAAACTTACTTTTTCCTTCTGTCAATGAACATTGTATCTATTTCATTACCATCTCTTGTAAATAATTTGTACCTGTCACCTTCATTTTCTGTGATTAATTTACTACGGCCCTGAAGTAACACTGGAACTGAGGAACAGTAATTGTTTGTATCAATACCTTGTTATTTCTAAAAACTCAAAAACTGACAGAAAAAATTAAAGATACAAAATTCCTTACAAAACATATAATTCCATACAGTCATTGAGCCAGGATACATCAATTTCAGGCCAAAAGTGTTAGCTACAATATATGTGATTAAGCTACAGGGAGCTGCAAACAGAAGATCCAGAGTGGTGCGCCGAAATGATGGTCTTTCTATAAATTGGCGCTGTTTCTTCTCCTCTCTGGAAAGAAAATAATGCTTAACTAAACAAAACAAACTGGTAAAAACAAATATCAAAATCATTGGTATTTCTGCTTCATAATCATTGACCTAAAATTTTGGAAGAAAACAGGAAAACCTGCTGAAATGGCCGCCTTCATTACGAACATTGTTTTGCTGAATATTTTTATAATCTTACAATGTATTTTTTCTGAGCAAGAGGACTACAGTGTAAGTAATTTTTCTTTTTTAACCCCTCATTACGTCAGCTGATGCAACCCTAAGCACTTACGATATTTTTCTACTCGAGGTCCCATTGGATTAACAGACATATTACACAGAATATTTAATGAAACATAATCAACTTACAACAATTATTATTTTCTAAACAAATTATCATTTATTAAAAATGCTTAAAACAATTTATAATACCGAACTACAACAAATTTACTCTGAACAGAAAAATAACATGATAAACATCCCAAAATTTTTTTAGCTCTTATTTTCTTCTTGATGATATGAAAATCATGGAAACATTTTTCACGCCATGCAACATAGCATTTAATACCATTTTCCATAGCTGTTGATTCACATATTATGCATTTTGTTTTGTTCTGTGGAGAAATGAGCATTACCAAATGGAGAACTTAAGAGATATTATGCATGCTATAAGTGTTTTTAGAAGAGCACATTTTCTTTTCAGAAAACTATTTCTCTCCAGCATTTTCAGATACCCTTCTTCAAAATTCCAATACATCTAAAATAACAGATTTTGATTTCAGATAACAGATCTGAAAATGCATAGACTGACACATTCCACCTGTCCTACCAATGATCAAATGGTACAATTTCACTGAACATGGCTGAGAGATGTACTAACAACTGATTACATCAGGACTGTACAGCATTTTGCATGCTGTCTGATCTTGAGAGGCAAGCACAAGTCACTCAAGAGCAAATGTGGAGAAATTTGAAGGGTGGGGATGATGCAAATTCCAGGAGTGGGACCACCAATCAGAATGCACATTTTGGATCATAGAGCGTAAATTGAAATAGCAATCGATGAGACCATGACGGTCACATACAGTTCAAGTAATAATGCATTTTGTTTTATATTAGTCATGTTTCTGGTCGATATATCGCAAAATGAAATATGGAACTACAACAAATGATATATATTTGATTTGAACACCATATATTATAATTTCTTTGCAGGGCTGATAATGTAATACACTTTGCTACAATGTAATAACACATATAGTGTTTTGCCAAGCACAAAATATGATACCGAGTTGTTTTTGTTTGATGATCACAGAAGTAAACTATTTTTTCATAAACCATGTTTAATTGAAAAAGACTGATCTCTCACAGCTAAAACATATTATTCTTAAACAAATGATAATTTTCTGCTCTAATTTCTGATAAGAGTATAGTATTATATATTTTAATATCAAATCAAAGAGTACTATTTATTCAACTTTTATGACATCGTATTAATATATAAGTCCTTTGCATTCTATTTAACAAAATCCATGCTAATCTAATGATTGCCCATAACATAACATTAGATGCTCATTGATATCTTTTATTCAGATTCGTAATTGGGGCAATGGTTACAAATATATGTGCTGCTAATTATTACCCTTCTTGCAATTACCTATATTGCAAGTTTTGTGTACATTTTGATGTGGCATATTGCTCTCATAAGTTTTTTCATTTTTCTGTTATTTAGAGATTATAACATTCCTGGTGAGCAATTAATTATTGAATGATAAATTTTTGTTGGTTACAATTAAATAATCAAGTTTTAAAAAAGGCCACTGCTTTAAAATATTTCTTAAGAGCACCAATTAAAAAAAAAAAATACATACAGTGGTGAATATAAAGATGGATATGCAGCAGTGCACAGAAAAACTAATCAGTGAATTATGGTCCTTGTAGCTTAAAATACAGGGTATCAGCCATTTGAATAAGTGGGAAAATGATTTCATAGATCATTGCATTAGATGCCCCAGTATTCAATCTACACACTGCATGGGGCGAAGTCAGTAAACTCAACGTCAATCAAACAATTATGTTAACCTTGTTCTGCATTTTAAGAAAATATATCTGTTAAGAGTATCATACACAAAAAGATTCAATCGGATCAAATTCAGATACAATATAAACAAATTACATTACTTACATCAGTATCAACAATATCAGTAATATTATAGTCCAACACTATATTACCATTCACAATCATATTCAATTTCAAATAATTCATGATTTCGCTGTTGCCAAATTGAAAATACATCTCCAATTAACAATTGTGTGTATTAACAATCAAAATATTTTTAATATAACTAATAATTAAGTAATTATATTGTGACATCAAGTTTGATGTATCAAACAATGGGCTGAAATGGGTTAAGGTAATTATTCTCTTAAAACTGCTCTTGAAACACGTTTTACAGCAATGGCAAGCATTTGATGTTTGTTTCCACAATTTTTCTCAGCACCAGAAGGAAACCATTTAATGTTATCATCTAACTCAGTTGAAAAGCTCATACACTAGGCTTAACAGAAATCACATTCAGGAAAGACAGAAGATTAAATGAATGGGGACTGAACTCAAATTAGAGTCAGTCTCATTGCACACCTATTTGTATTTTAAATTAATTTAATTACATAATTAATAATATCAGAACATACATTTTATATTTGAGTCAACTGTAACAATGTTGGCTGTCAATTAAAGGAAATAGATGAAATGAATGTTATTAAGAAGTCTCTTAAGTAAATTTTGTTAGTGCAGACTTACCCTCCAACATCATTCCACTTGAATTCAACAGGCCATCCATCAAAATCAAAATCATATTGAGACAGTGCTCTCTGAAAACAAGCACAAACTAAATATATAGTAATTTCTTAAGAAAATATTACACATTCGAGCATTGCACTCATGCTGTCTCATATTTTTCTAATTATTTCAAACAAAATATAAACAATACACGAGTTTTTACAGTAATCTAAACAAATTTTGACTACCAACTTACCTTGGAACTTTTGTTCAGATTCTTTTTTGCTTCATCTAATGTGCGCAAAAATTGAATGTACTGAGGGGCACTGGCTCTTCCAAGGCCTCTCACAAAATATGAAAATGCAAGAACAATGCCCACTCCAGTCACACATTTCCCTATAGTCAAAGCACCATCCCACAACATATATCCTTTTCTATACATAACAGTCGCTATAATGGGAGAAGCATACAATCCTACATTCCAGAAGAAACAAACCTATAAAAATGAGACCAATGTCTAAAAATGAAGAAATGCAAACGTATATGTAATATCATGCATTATTGGCTGTTGTAACTCACAATATTAATAATCTGATCACCCCATCGTTCAAGGTGTCCGGGTTCATACAATCCCTGCAACGATTGGTGTCAACTGTTAGAACTAATATTCGTTTCATGTCATGCCAAGTTACAAACACATATATTCCGTAAACTTACTTCTGCTCGTCCGTCACCATATACTTTGTATAACCTGGGTCCAAACATGCACTGGTATATCAATTTAATCGTAGACATGATTGAAGAATCAAATTATTATTGTGTAGCAAGACGAGAAAACATAAAACTGATAATCTTACAAACTCATACAAAAATCAATAATACCCTTACACTCACAAAACCGTTTCATTTGCAGGCTTCTTCACAATAAACAATTGTACAGAATTGACCTCAGTGCAATACACTTACAAGATTTGTTCCTTAGATGTTCCAATGACTTTAATGTTTGACTGCCGCTGTCAAAGAACGTGTAACGTCAACAGTTCTAATTTTTTTCATTTCTGCCAATTCACTAACATTGAGAAATTGTAATAAACCGAAATTCGAAATGTAGTCATTTTTTACGCATCGAAAGCCAAAGTCTATAATCAGTACAATTATAATATCATGAACGACAAATACAATAATAAAATCAGAGGGAAAGAGGGTATGTAAGCAAAACTAATAGATAAAAGGCTAAGTAGGTCCCCATTTCACTGTTTATCCACTGTTGGCAACACACTTCCTTGCTTTGGTACTGACTGCTCCGGACAGGTGACCACAGGTGACCGAGGGGAAAGAAAGGAAGTTGCTAAAAACTGGCGTGTGGGGTTATGTGTGAATAGAGCATTATGTCTGACATTAATCTCAGCTTAATTGACATTAATAAATTCGTTCCGTGAATTCAGAATATTTCGTTTGAGAGTGAATGTAAATGCTTGAGACACAATGGGTGATGTAGGGCATTCTGTTCGCCTAAAGAATTTGGCAAAAAAGACAGGTTTACCTAGACATGTTAAGGATATGAGGTAAATTACTAATGTAAATTTCACAATATGATAAAAGGATAGTACGAAGTTATTGTAGAAATGTAATGCGAATAATATATTTTTATTTATTTAACTGCTTTACTGGCCAAGCCTTTTAATAAATCTATAAAACGTAGTTTTATAGTTTTTGCTCAAATATATTTTAAATTCTTTTCAGCAAAGAACAACTTCAAGCAACAATTCAGAAGAAAAGAGAATGTAATGCTAAAGCATTGACAATAGTAGAACATATGCTTGAAGTTAATATTGATGAAGAATGGTTTTTGCAGCAGGTTGTACCTGGACATAATATTAGTTAGTGCATGTGCATTGCATGTAGTGAGGAGATAATTAGCAATGGTCATTTTTTCTTTCAGCAAACACTTTATCAGATTATCATATTAGTTTAATTGATACATTCAAACCCATTCACCTCATTGTTTCAATTTAATTTTATAATACAAATTTCATGATATAATGTAGCTTTTGTTGAATCACAAGTAATGAATATTTTTTTGTTTCCAAAAAGTTTTTATGAACTTCTCTTTCTCCCGAATTTCATTCAAAGAAGTTTTATGTCTTATCAGACATCCTCAAGTTATTAGCAAACATTTTTGAAACGCAACAGAATGTTTTTTGGGCCAAATTCATACACAAAACAAATACATTGTGTTTTAACCTCTCATAGCCATATGTTTATATACCATATGTTTATTGATCTATCTTATTTCAACTGTATATTTTGCATTGAATGAAACATTCAAATCTATATTTGCTAAAGAATATCACAGAAAATTATACTTATCAGTTCAGGTTATTCATATTAGTTTTTCAGTATTTTTAGTATTATTGCTAATGCAGAATAACAGATTCCATCACTTGGAATTTATGGAATTGTCCTGCTTTACAGTTGAAATTCATTGATGTGGGACATTTTCAAGATATCATTGAAGAAAGAGCATTGAGTAAACAGTGTGGTTACCCACTCTGTGGAGAAACTTTAAAGAGCACTCCAAACCAACAGTTTCGTATATCAACAAAATACAATAAAGTATACGACATTACTGAGCGAAAGGTATTTGACGTTTATACTAAATTAAAAATCAATCAATTTTTAAAAGTATGATTTTCTGCAATTGTATATTCTTTGATTCAGAATTTTTGTAGTAACCAGTGTTACAAAGCTGGCAAATATGTTAAAGACCAACTTTTGACCAGTCCTTTATGGTTACGGGAAAAAGATGATGTTCCTGCCTTCAAGTTACTGCCTTTAGGTTCCCAAGGGTAACTAAAAAAGTTACTAAAATTATTAACAAAAAGGATGCATGAAAGCAACATAATATTACAAAATGGGAATGGCCATGTTTCTAGAATTTTTCTTATAATTTAGATGTCAAGTGTGGCATTTTATGAATCAAACGGCATAAAAATCAAATTACTTCCAACAAAGAAATAAACTTACAAAACTGGAAAGATTACAACATAAGTAAAACTGGATTCATATAAAAGAAGTTTCTATGAATAATTTTCAGAATGTTGCAAATCATGATTTGTCCCTGGAGTCAAAAAAGACCCCGAACAGAGTCTTAAGGGTTATTATTATAACAGAGGTATATTAATTGTCAGTTCATGAAAGGCCTTAGCATGATTTCCTTCTACGTTTTCTCATAGATTTTGTGCGAATTTCCAGTCCTGTACAGTAGGCAAATTAATGTATTTTGTTTGATGTTAATATTTATGTTGTACTGTGATCAATCATATTCCTCAATACAATATTTCCATCCTTTTTGTTTACATAAATATTTTATATTTTTTAAATTTAAAATGCGAGTGTAAGAAATATTATATAAGAGAAATTTATTTTTTGTAGAATCGGTGATGGGGAAGAAGTTGACTTTGGGCAAACCAGTGATCTGAAGTCTGAAGTCACTAGATTAAGTAATGATGAAAAATTTATTTCTGTAGCAGATTATACACAAGATTCAATTTCTCAGTTATCAAGAAGAATCAGTGATGTAGAAATTAAGGAAAACGGTAAACCAGTGAACTCTAGTGCAAATGTTAAAGAAAGTGCTGGGGGAAAATTAGAAACAGAGTTGGAAAGTAAAGCACAAGAAAAATGTACATCTGCTCCTGAAGAACAGAGAGAACAGGTAATCAAAGAAAAGACAGATGCTGAAAATGCTAATGCAACATTACAAAACAAAGAGAAAAATAGAATTAAAAAGAATTATAATAGACAACAAGGCACCATTAATCTAAAAGGAGAATCATCTAAGGACAAGGCTATTGATAAAGAATGCAAAAATGAAAGTAAAAATCATATAGATGAAAAAATAAAATACCCTCAAGAAAATGAAAATAATCAAAGTAAATCCATGAAAACCGATGAATACCCTGAAGTTACAAGTTCTATTATTCATGTAGAGAAATGTTTACACGAGTGGTTTACAATTGAAACAATGTGCTTTTTGTTTGGTGATGAAAAGGTTAAAGAATTAATAAGTGATAAAGGTGAATGCATTAAGGAATATTACAAAGCTGTAGGAAAGTCATCATGGGATCCAATTATTCAAGAACGTTATGAAGCCCTTTGTAGAAAACTAAATATAATGGAAATAAAAGAACAGCAGTTGGAAAAGGAAGATAGGCAATTGAAGCCACTACCTGACTACTCTGTATTAAAAGAAGAAAATCTTAAAATGGAGATAAAAATCAAAGCTTTTTACCAAGGTAAACTGGACTATGAAATACCAGAATCGGTCAATAAAGAAGAAAAGGAATCTTTCACTCCCAGTTGTGTCTTACCTCTGGTTGACATTCATGCCCAGAATGCTTTACGCCGCAGAATGGTTTTTGATAATCTGAAAAGAGTGTAAGTTCCCAGAGCACATTTTATTTTATGGCAATTTTATTGAACGTGAACAATGAATTTTTATTGTTCTGTAGAAAAACACTGAAATCAATTTTTCAACTCCTGAGACATTTTAGGTTTCGTAGAATTAAGATATTTCTGAAATTTAAATTTTTGGTCGCTGTTAAGAAATTATCAAATTCAAAAATCATGTTTTCTGGTGTGGTGGTGTGTGTGTGGGGGGGGAGGGGATGTCAAGAAAAGTTCTCCCACATATTTTGTACTATTAAACTTAGGTTTTTTGGAATTCACCATGTTATGTCTAATGCATTGGCTATTGCATTTTGTCATGAATTTGATGTCTTTCAAGACATCAAATGCTAAAACAATTTAATGAGCTATAATGTGTTTGTTTAATAATTGAATATTGTATGTGTGTACTGGGCACAACAGCTCTTTACGAGCTAAGGTACCAATAATTGAATATTTTACCTTTTGAGAATTTCAAAATCTAATTACATTATCCGTTAACTCAGGAATGGGAAGGGAGGATCAAAACGGAAGTGTTGCAAGTTATTACAAAAGGAGGGATAGTTAAACAGCTTAATTTTGTAAAAAAATGTTTACTGGTCTTCTAAGATCAAATTCTGTCACAGATTGCCTGACCTATTTTGCACCTTTGGTATGTCATCTCAAGATATTAGTTCTGAAGTGCGTGGTTTAGTGGGTTCCTTCCGTCTCAGTGCTCATAACATCACCTTTAGTCCACCTGAGTGGAATCTGCTTGGATTGATCATTATTAAAATGTAAGTATTGAAATGTCTGACAAGTTTGGTCAGACTTTTGTAAATCTGCATAAAAATGAATACATAAAGATTTGTCGGGTGTATTGGTAAAAAAGTAATAGTTTTATCCGTATTATATTCAGACATTAACTGTGTGTGAGATGTATTACCTCAATCTTTATAATTAATACATATTTGTAAATTTGTATAAAAAATCAATTTGGGAAATTTTGATAACAGGAATCTTTTTATTAAATATAGTACAAAGACGTTATTGAAACTATGCAACACAAATTTGATATATGTTCAAACATCTGCTTTATCTGGATTTCAATGTCAGATAAGTTCTAAGTTCAACGTCATTGTTGTTAATAATTAATAATAATAAATAATTAATAATAATAAATAATTAATAATAATAAATAATTATAATAAATAATTAATAATAATAAATAATTATAAATAATTATAATAAATAATTATTAATAATAATGACATAAGAATTTAGTAATGATTATAATACAATTCCATTTTATTATTGTATTTTTATTTTAAGTAAATGAATATTTCATTTAAAATCAATGAAATGAAGGGTGTCTAGAATACCAGTACCACAATTATGTTGATTTTACCAACGATAAAACAGTAAGCCCAAAGTGTTCCAATTAGTAACAAAAAAATTGCATCTTGCAGGTTGTCCATCAAGGACATGCGCCTAAAAATGATTTTGGAGATACCCCAAGGTGTCAAATATCAAACAATGCTGCTAATGACCTTCCAACAAGATGGAGGTTACTTGGATCGTCTGATGGTGTGGCTTACTGATATGGACAATATAATGAAGAAATTTTGAGCTAAATGCTTGTTAGCTATAGGAGAAATAACCCTAAAATATTTATAATTGTGTTTGTACATATTGTAATAAATACTCAATTTTCTGGTAAAACCCAGAGATTTTATGAGTTGTTCTTTCTTTTGAGAATCCATTCAAAAATAGAAGAATGTGTATAAGATTTCGATTATTTCTAGGGGTGCTCTAGGTGAAGTGTCTGGCTGATGACATTTCCTTCGAAATAAAGAAATTTAAATATAAGTTGTTTCCTTTTTTTATTTGTGCATTTACAATTATCTCCAATGCAAGATATTGAACTCAATAAAGAATTTTTAATACCTTGCTTTTCACTGGAGACATACATTACAATGAATCAATTTGAAATTCAAATAAAATTGTAAATCTATTTTTAGTTGGAGAGCTTATTTCATTCTTCATATGTCACTATTTTTGCCATCTTAACAAATGTACATATTCCTGGGCTGTTCTGCCAACCTTCGTAATGTAAGTAGATATTAGTATTCAGTGTTGTCAACATTAATATTACACGCATATCTGTACTAATAGCAGAACATGAACTGGACAAGTTTATAGAATATTGTGGGAAATGAAGCATCCAGTGTGCACTGGTGTCGTAAACAACGGCTCGTTCCCACTCAAATGCCATGTCTGGATTGTCACTATTGGGAACAGAGGAAAGGGATTTGGTGACATCTTGTGCCAAAAGAATTGTCAAAGGGTGAAAATTGTAGCAACAAGAAGTACGATTTTTGCAGATGTGAAATTAACTGTGGAACAAGCTCTTTGGATAATGTATTGCTTCACATATAAATATTCCTACGAAGATACTGTGATTCAGTGTTCCGACAAATGGAAAACATTGTCACACAAGACTGTTGCGGAGTGGTAATCATTTCTGCGTGATGGCTATGGATGCTATGGACCGAAGATATTTGTAAACCCAGAGAATAGGTGGACCTAACTTGGTCATAGAAATTGACAAGTGTAAAATCGTCCCTCGAAAGAATAAGAGGTCGTGAAGGGTAGAGTATCTGGGTGCTTGGCATCATTGAAGCGAGATTGCAGATTTGCCCTGTAAATAGAAGGGATTCTAATACGTTTTTGTCCATGATTCAACATCATGTGCAACCTCACACAACTGTTATCACCGATATGAGGAGGGCATACCAAGGTCTGGGTTCATAGGCTTCCGCAGCCGGAGTCAATGCATTCTTGGCTATCCGGGATGAGTGCTCAGCAGTATAGCTCTGAAGAAGGCCACAGCAAAATGGCCGAAACTATTGACCGAGACGCTGCTCATTCCGGATAGCCAAGAATGTCTGATTCAACATAATTTTATTCACATGAAAGTAAATCATTTCCTTGATTTTGTGGACCCAGTGATAGGTGCTGCCGCAAACACAATCGAAAGCAAGTGGCGTAGATTTTGACCAAACCACCGCCTTTCGGGCCATCGACGGTTTACACCAGAATGATTTGGACAGCCATCTCGTGGAATATTTGAGGTGAAAAGATTGCAAGAAGATGGGTAGAGATTAATTAGTGTTTCTAGTCGAACATTGCAATATATGATTTTGAAACTTGTCATTTTTTAAAATAGTGTTTTTGAAATTTGTAACTCCCTTTTGTGAACATCATGTTTGCTTTGGGTTTGAGAAAATAATGTTATATTAATAGGTTAGTTTACTTTCATGTGAATACAAGTATATGTATGTTTCCCTAAGTTGGTAGATTGGCATGATTCAGAACTACATGTTTGTAGGTTGGTTGGTTGACGACAAATGCAATTTGCTGCATCCCCCAACAGGTTAACAGAATTATAAATTATTAATGAAAAAGAACCAGAAAATAATAAATTTTCATTAATTTTATTTTTAAATTAGTAACAATTATTGGTGGATTTGTGCTATTGTTTTCAGGATGGTTGGGTGCAAACACCTCATTAGCCAAGCTTTTGCCGCCCAATGCACCACTGTTAATTTAATTTTCGGTTTCATATCACATTTAGAAATTTATTAATAACTTGCTAATCATCTCAGTGAATGAATTTTAACTAGTTTTGTTTGAGCTTAAAAAGAATTCTCACCTAATTTTCTGTGATTTGTAGTGTTTTACAAGTGAATCCAATTGTGAAGTGTGTTAATATGGATAGAAATTGTGGTATAATAATATTACGTAATGGTTACTAAGTGTGACAAAGTATTTGCTGTTGTAGCACCATCAGTTTTGAAAACTGAAATGCGTGACATCTTTAAAGACCTAAAATTAAGGGTTAAATTGCACAGAAAAAAAATCTGTAGCTCAATGTCAACAGCATGGGTTCAAAACTGAGTTTGAACTTCAGCTCGAAAGCTTCTAATCTGAGAGAGTTATGCACGACACAAACTTTCAACCATTTATCGGTCTAGACATTCTGATCGTAGGTTCCATATTGCATGTATCTCCACATCCCCTGAAACAATTTTAAATCTTTGTTGGAACAGCACTAGAAGACCTTGATCTTCACATCTATGTGAAGTTACATCTCGAAAGAACCTTAAACATAAATTTTACAATTCAAAATCACATTGTTGAAAAGATTCCAATATTTTTTCCTAGTGCTATAGTATGAGGAATATAAAGGGAAGAAAAGTAAAATTAGTGATGCTATAGAATGGCACAAACTTTCTGGTACTACTTATTTTCTAATTTCTTTTGTCTGGTCTAGCTTTTCAATCTTGCCTAATTTTTCGGTCTCTTATTGGTAGAAATGAGAACTGATGACTTTCAGAATATTATAACCTTGTCCTATATGGGTAAAACGTAGTATAGAATAAGAGAGTGAAACCTCATCCCATATGGAAATTTTTGTTGAAACATTTAGAGGAGTTTTTAAGAAAATGTTATTTCAGCATTCCTGAAAATGCAAAATTTGAAAACCTTTTTCTAGAAAATTACTAATTGCATAATGGGTATGAATTTCCATAATATTTTTCACAGAAAATTTGAGTTTTTCAAAAACTTCATAGAAATTAGTTGAAGCACTTAAGAGACACAAGCAACTACAGGAAAATGGCTTTCATGTCCATATGTAGTGCGTACAGCACTATCCATATGAAATTTTTGAGAAAATGTCGTTTGAGCGTTTCTGAAAATGTGGAATTTTGATTTCCTTCCCAGAGAAAACTTTTGAGTCTTCAAGAAACTTTATAAGCTATCATTTGAAACACTTGTTTTAACAAATTCAATAATGTGTTCAATAAATTGCCAGTAGTGTAAATATTAATGAGAAGTCAAAAATTACAATTGTGTAATTTTTTAATACAAAAGAGCAAAATTGTGTATGCCATCTTATGTAGACCATTTAGCAATACCCCTACCAAAAATATAAAGGAAAAGTTTAAGAAATTTGTTTTTGATACTTTTATTTTTTTAAATTGCACATATTTCAGTCAATACCGCGCAAAAACTACTAGAATTTTCAAGAAAATGTACATGATCTTAATGAAAGAACTAATTATGGAGAGCAAATTTCATATCCTGCAAAAATCTTTATCAACTTTAAAAGCAAAAGCATTTATATTCTTTTAGCAAAAATCTTTCTTGTAGCTGTTAGATAAGGAAACAATTCTGAACTTTGAACATATTAAATTCAGAATTAACAGTGAAAATCAGACCAATGCCACCATTATAAATGTATTTCACTATTTTCTTACAAGACATTTGGAGCCGTTTTTGAGAAAATTTTTAAAATGTCCCAGGGGCTTCATATAAAAATACCCAAAAGAATTTATGTATGTTATTCAAAATCGCAGATCTTTGAATGAGGCCGAATCGACCCAACAATATTCATTTTTAAAAAAATGCTATGAATGGTTTTTATGCACTAGTGTCATTTACAGACCGAGGGGGATCAGGACATTTGGTATCAGGGGACTCCCAAACATGTATTTCCGTTGAAATCTTGAAATTGATTTTTGGCAGCATTGCATAACTTTCTTTATAATACATATATGAGAGAGTCAAAAATGAATCAATTAAGGACTTAACAAGATCAAGATTACTCTGGTCTTCCATTTGAAGTAAATGTTTTTGTAGTTTAACTTTCACGTATTTTGTTTTGATCACTTTCATAAATTAAAGATGTAGAATGTCAGAATGCAAAATAAAATGTTCAATAAAGGAAGAAAAATGTTTGAATTGGGCAAGAACACAAAACTCTTGAGAAACAATTTACAAAATAAGGTACTATTGCACTGCTTTGTCACCCATTTTAAAATCCACAAGTTTGAAAAGTCATGCATATGAAATATATAATGCTTTTCAAATTAATAACATTTTATTGTAAAATAGTACATCTTGAACATAATATATAAAGCCACAACAATAATATTTTTCTCTCCTAAAACTATATATTGAAAGCTTCAAATTTAGGTTCCCTGGAACTTAAGTTTTACTCATCATAAAATGTTACTTTGAAATACAAATGAAACAATGAAATATATTTTGCTCAGGTATTTCCAATCTAAATGGCTTAATACTGGCAATTTAAAATATAAAAACAACATTGAACATTACCCTGCAGAAATGATGCAAGGAAGATTACTTGATAGAAGGAAACTTAATAATAAAACCTTTCAAGAGTAAAAATTTCCGTTTCAAACAGTGATATTTCAAAGAACTGAATGAGTGAAGTTATTAATTCATGAAGCTTTCATATTTAATTTCATGAGTATTATTTCACCACTAAATTTTTGTAAAGATTTCTAATAAAATAAAAATGCGCACATAACACTTTCAAATTCAAAAATGTGAATAGCCTGCACATAACAAAAAGAAAACATTTTCCACTATACTGTACATTGACATACTTTTCTTTTAAATGAAACATTTGTAAAGCCCTGATATGAAGAATCTTCAGAAAATTTCTACTCAATAATTGAGAAAAGAATCTAAGGAAAGGGGAATCATTTTCCAAAACAATGTATGCAGCACCATCAAATTACAAAGGAGAGCTCAAGCCAACAAACAAGAACGCTGACATATGAAAAATAGTACACTCATCTCCTTGTATTTTAAATATATATCATACAAACAACAAATCTTTCGGAAGAGTAATACTCTTGACTACAAGAATGCACTAATTATGTTCCCACTTTTCTATTGAGTAGGCGGCTGCCAGAAGGGCCAATTGGCACAACTAAGTGAACTTGACAATTCATACTGCTCAAAATAGCAACTTAGCCTTAATAGTTTCAGTGAAGGGCTAAGATCATCATGATCTGTGCTGATACAAGCAGTGTAAATTGGTAACTGCAGCCTAAAAAAAAGGCAAATGCAACTGTAACAGTACCTCATATATAGTGAGCATTCAGCCTTCTTCCCCCATTTGCCCACTGCCTTTTCCTGGTGGCTCTGTCCCTGGAGATTGCATTGTTGAACTCTGCTCCTGCGACTGACCTCCAGCAAAAGTGTTGGTTGGTATCCTCACAGTCCGTTCTGGCTGGTCCACAATTACCTGCGAATTTTAGTCTTATTAGAATGAGGCAACCAAAAAAACAGAAAAGTTGGTAACCAGTTCCAAAAATTATCTTCATTTAATACTTGTCTAAATCTAATAAAAATGCAAAATAATTACTTTAAAAAAAATCCAAAATATATCAACTCAAGCTATTTCATAATGAAAAGTGATTGTTATTTCCCAGTTACTTGAAAGAATTGCAAAAATATGGAAGTTGATCAGTGATCAATTTTGGATCAGACTGCCAGAGCAGAGGTTAAAATATATTTTAGACTAAGACCAAAGGTAATTGTTTTTGAGAATATTCTTATTTTATGAAGGTGGTTGTAGGAATATTTGTGATAGCTTCATAGCTGACAAGAAGTAATTAACCATTGTATGCAGTACTTACATGCTCATTATGTCAGGGCAACTCACCTGTAAATTTTTCATTTCCACACAATCTCTTCCAAGTATGCCAGACACTGAAAGGCCACCTGGAGAACTCAGAGACTGAGAAAGAGGTGAATTATGAGGACTGAAGCTTGATGGTCCTGTATGGCGATCAGCCGAATCAACAGAACCTACAATGGCTTCCTGACAACCGCCACTACTATCAGGAGAGTGCTGTTCTTTTCTCTTGCTGTCTTCTGCTAGGTCTAATCGATGAAAAAGCTCAAGCATATGTTCTTCCATTTTTTTGTTCAGAGCTCGCTGAGCAATGTATTTGTTTTCTACAGCCTGAAAGGCACAAATAGTCATGACTGTAATACAAACATAGAAACACATACTAAAAATGTTTAATGAAAAAAGAGCTCAATAAAACATATGCCTTTCTGTACTACACAGTAGAATTATAATGCAAGCAATTACTTTTTCAAGCAAACATTGTGCACAAAACAATGTTCATTTACCAATTATTGGATCTGAGAAAATACTTCAATTAAACCTAATATCAATTAAAGTGTTTCGTTTTATGAAGGGCAATGTACCAAGAACTATATTTATGGGAAACACGAATAAAATCCAATTAATGAGCTGCTGGGTTACTGGCACTAATGTGGCTTTCAGTTACTCATAGAACTTTCAGAAACTTATTCTGAAGGCTGGGCGCATCCACCCATTTAAAAATATAAGCTGCAACTTATTTTTCCTTCACTAGTATCAGTCTTTCCTCCAGTAGTAGTATCTTTTCACTGGTAGTCAAGTCACCAATAATTCTATTGAACAACCTACACAGATGTGATTAAACTAATTCCATTGAATGGGTTACTGAGTCAAACATTCTCGAAACTTCAGCAAAAGGTTAGTTCTTTCTCAAGATGCTGTTACTCCATATAACTCAGTACTAGGATAAAATATCATAGGATGTTGGACCTCCTTCTTCCCTTGACAGTGACAGATAAATTCACAAAATTACAATGCTAAGAATTTTCTATCTTTTAGCTAGCGAATTTAATTTCAAATCGTGAATAGATGAAATGATATGGGTTGATACACAACATTAACTGGTTTCACTTCTGTTTATCTCATTAAGACTCCAAACTTGAGATAACACCAATTACGAAAATAGACTTGTTTACTTCTTAGTTCTTTTAAGCCGGCAGTGCATGCAGGTGGGCTGAGAGACCCAGGATTCCTTTACTTTAATATTGCGATTGCAGTTGGGGCACCCGTTACCACTGCTGCCATGTCCTTTTCCTTCCAATGATACGAGTCATACCTCTTTTGAGAAAGTGAGTACTGTTATCCTTTCTAGTAGTGAGACATTCCAATTCATTGTACAGGCCTCAGAGACCACCTGCATGCACTTGTACAACTGCTTTCATTCAGTACTTTACATCAATTAACAAAATATTAGCAACAAATAAAAAGTTTATTTGTTTGGAACATTCACTAATAGTGTGTAAAGCATGCAATGAAAGAAAATTGTCAGATATGTAAAATATACCAAAATACCATGAAAATAATATTTCAGTCTTCATTTTTTCAGTTGTGTTAATTTGCCTAAAAAACACTAAATGTAGTAATCAAGTATTTAAAAATATATTGCTTTATTGAAAATAATATCCATCATTTTTCTAGTACACTCCTTTTATTGAAATTATTAGGAGAAATTGAATTAAGGGAACTGCAAGCGGAAGGGTCTGTGGGACCAGGCGCGGGCACTGATGCTACAGAAAGAGGCGCATGTGCTGCTGAGTTAACTTCCATACAAAAAGCTTATGTGAAAAACAACACCAAGCTTGATGGTTAATCAATATTTTTGCTTAGTAAATGTGTTTGGTGTATTTCACATTAAACATCAAAAATGAATTGCACTGCCATAAAATGTAACATTGACAAAACTTCAGCAAAATTTCTAGATTGTCTTTGTTTACCTCTAATCTATCATCATATTCTTCCTCCAATGACCTAAGAACCCGTTTCTGTTCAGCAATTAGTTGATCTTTTCGACAAAGTGAAGTTTCCAACTCAGCTATTCTAGTTTTTGCTGCTTCTAAAGATGAACTGCGAATTTCCAACATCTCTTGCAGACCTGTACAAAACAGTTTCATAATAGGAATAATGCTCTTCATCATTGTGTTAAATACTTCCACCTACAGAAAGCAAAGTGAAAAACTATCTTACTTTGCACTTCTGAAATATATGAATCTTGCAGGACGGTCACTTCTTCATCTGGGCATTTCAAAAGAGAAAGTTGGGAAAATCTATCACGGTATCTTTGCTGAAGTTCACCCATTAAAAGTAGTTTCTTTTGCAACTGTTCAACACTTTCTTTCAGTTGTTCACCAACAACAACTTGTGCAATTGCCTGTTTCATTTCTGTGCCTAAATCAAATAGTTTTGCCTCTGCAATTTGCATCTCCTGAAAGAATAAAAACCACCAAACACGTTGCTGAACAATATACAACAATACTACTTAAAAAGAAAACTTTTATCAATTTTATTTACTCATAAAAAAAAAGTAATTTGTAAGCTCTAAAACACTTTAGGGTCATAAACAAAGAAAAATGAATGAATTCTTCCACCTTCAACAAAATTACAGAACGTTCTAGATGACATGAAACAATTATCATCAAAACACACATTTAAGAGCCAAGTAAAATATTATCAGCACCATAACTAGAGCCCAGGTTTGTATGCAAATGCATAAATTTTTACTTTCAATCTCTATGAATATGACCAAGTAGAGCATTTCTAATTAATATTATTCTGCATGTTTTATAATTACTGCACATTTTTGTCTATTCAGTATAATTTTTGGAAAAATGGGGGAAAATTGTAATAATTTATTATAATCAAACTTCTTAAAATTGGTGAATTACTGAGTGGTATGTGTGTGAGAAAAAAAAAATCGGAAAAAATTTGGAGACTTTTTCACAAAACATTTCACACAAAATTATGTCTGAAGAACAATTCCATGAAGAAAAAACTTCTATCTTCAATAGTAGTAGTGGTAGTAGTAAAATGCTAAAAAATATTTAACGTTTGCAATTTTCAAAAGTTTTGAGAGTTAAGAAAATGAGACTTGTTTTGCTCTATCCAAGATAAAAATTTAATTAACAGTTTAGAGAAAATGTAGCCATATTTGGGAAAATTTTGTAAATCTTTTTTAATTTTAAGGTTTCATTAAAGTAGCCTCAAAAATCAAAATATGCATTTCAAATTCACTGGGCCTCAAGTTTGGCCAGATTGATATAAATTTTGGAATAAATAGTAGAACAATTTAGTAGTACTGCACACATACATTTTGTCAGTCAATTTTTGGGTTTCAAGAATCCATAAAACATGGATTCTGATAACAATTTATTAAAGAAAGAAATTTACTACATACAGAAATCAGATTTATCCACTGTTTGTTATCAGAACCTCAGAATATGAACAGTTTTTCAGTGAAAATATGTGTTATTAGCTACAGCATTTCAATACTTTCTCTACGAAAGTAATAAGCCAGAATGTTGGGAGAAACATTTCTACCAACAATTACTACTCAACAGTCCTAAAGAAGAATGCTATACTATTTGCAGAAAAGAAACCAGCTAAGGAGAAAAAAAATTATAGTGAAAGCACCCTTAAATAAGTTGTCCAGCAAAAAATATTAATAATGAATCCTTTCCGTTCTCACAATAAGGATCAGTAAAGGCAATTTGTGTTATGTAATGCATTTTCAAAGCTCACGTCTTTTTTTTAAGATTCAAGGAGTGAAATATTCCATTCTCATTTTGCAATACACTTAAAATGTAAAATTGGAATTCAATGTAATAAACATTAAAGGTAAATTCATGTGAGGTCACCAGCATCCATTTAATTGTCAGAATGTGGCTCTAATAGGATTGACATTTTTGCATTAGGGTATAAAAAAGCAAGGTTGAAATACAAATAAACTCAGAATATTTATCCTATTATGTTTTGCCCACTTTTACCTACTTCTGCTAAAATAATTATAATGGAGATTGTAATTTAACTTGAAATAAATTATTACATACAACAAATGCCTGGATAATAAAGAAAAACAAATTAGAAACCCGCCAGAGAAAAAGTAAAAACACCTGTGATAATTTCATGCAATTTATGTACTATCATAACCACCTTCAATAAAGATGAATGTTTTGTCACTTCAGTTTTCAACTCTTGCTGAAGCAGCTGAAATCGAGTCTTCAATTCCAACAACTCCTTTTGCTCTGCAATGCACTGGGAGAAAAAAAACTCATAGTAACAGCAACTACAAATGTATTATGTTGTCTTGTAAATAATACTGAGCCCCCAAAAATTACCTGATTTTGCCAATATGTAATCGATTCTTGCATCTGTTGCTCTTTTAATTTTGTTTCCTTCTTCCCTTTATCTAATTCACCATGCAACTTCTCAATGTCTTTTTGAAGGAGTGATAATTGATCTCTCTATACACAAAAATTTAGAAATGTGTCAGTTTATGCCAAAAGAAAAATCAAAGCAATTACATGAACAAGCAAATGAATAAATAATTAATTAAAAAATTACACATAATAGCATTTCTCTTACCAGGGCCAAATTGTGTTCATCAAGTGCACGATTAGATCTTGATTTGCCCAATAATCTCCTATTTCTCTCAGCATGAACCTCTCGCCTTTGCCTTTCAAAGTGAAGTTGAATATTTAACAAAACCAATTGTTCCTTTAATATCTTAATTTCAGTCTCAGTTCCTAGAAAACCAAATACACTTTCAATTATGACCCATGTCAATAAGCCAACACTGCACTTAATTTTATCAATATTCCTGTGATGGAGCTGCTATCTACAGGCAAATTAAGTATAAACAAGAGTCAAAACAAACAATTTAAAAATATCACGCTTTGAGACAAGCAAGTTGTAAAAAGGAGAGCATTTTGTGAGTTTTAAAAAATCCACCTGGACTCCAGACAAAAGTACAAAATGGAGGACACATCCAGATAAAATAGACACTTGGCCACCCTACATTTGACATTAACCTGCCATTACTCGCGCATATTTCTATAATGCGATTACTTGTGTGTTGGATTTTATCTAACAACAGTTTATGTTGTATTTATTGTTTTATTATTTATCAAATTCATGCATTAATATTCCAAGATATTTGTTATTGAGTTCTACAACTTGTAACTATATACGTTGTAGAACTCGATAACAAAGTGATTTGGGGAGCAACCAAGAGAGAAAAAAGTGCTTCTTGCTTGCAATGAATGAAGTTCTGAGAAAGCTTATTCTAGTCCTTAAATGTCTCTATATATTTCAATGTGGCAAAGTTATATTGTTTATTGCATTAATTGTATTCTATGATTTGCCTTTTTTAAATAAATTTGCTCTATGTTATACTTCACTTCATGACTGTGATTTTAATTAGTGTTTATTATAAACATATTATGAGTCTGCATGTAATATTTTAGCATGTGGGGCTTGGAGACACGTTGCGTCTAAGTTGACCCGAAAAAAGAAAAAAAGGGGCAAGTCTATTTATATTCTCCTGTCGGCTGTTGTGAGTACTACGTAATCTAAGGTTCCTGTGGTGCCTATTGGCGCCATTGTCAGTTTGGCCAATTTCACGATAAATAAAGGCAGAAATTTCTTTTAAAGAATAGTCCAAATCAAAAGTTTGCACACTGAGTGTGAATGACACTCCTCACTGATGGCAATAATTAAAATATTATAATAAAGATTCTAAATTTCTTTCTATTCTTAAGCCTTGGTGCCAACTGGGAATGTATTTGCCACAGGATATATATTTGTGAGGTTATCATGTTCAATTTTCTTAAGTTGCAAGCTCACAAATACTCAATTCACTTACCTGCATACTTTGGTTTCTTGACTTCTTGTCCTTGAACAACAGTTTCTATGTATTTATCCACCATAGCATATGGAGACAGTCTTGGAAGAGGTGGATCTGTTTGGTGATGCATTGGTGCAGGGCTTGGTGCAGAACTGGACTTCATATCACAGCTTTGAAGGATAGGAGGAAAAACACTAAGAAATAAATGTTCATATGGAAGAGGTACCCAGTCAACTGTCTGAGTACTTGCTGACAGGAGTCGTCTGCATGTTTCTTCACAATTTCTTGCATAATCTGTTTTTCCATTAGGAATTCTAAAATTTTGGTTATTATGAGCAGAGGGTCCTTCACTTTCTTCAAATTCTTCAGTTTCATCAAGAGGTCTACTGATATTAACTTCTGCAGTTGGTAGTCCAGGGCCTTTTTTCATTTCGGGACAAGAATTGGCTCGTCTGACTTTGTCCTGAAGAGGAAAATTTGATCCTTGGCCAGGACTGCTTCCCGTACTCAGGCCCACTACACCTTCGTTGCCTGACTCTGGCAAACACTGACTGTAAAACCTTTGCCTATGGTGGACACGTCTTGCAAAATCAAGCATTGAACGGCTATTTGGCATGTGCAATCCTCCTGAGGTGCATGGCGACCCTGTTTCTTGTTCACACTCTTCATAATCCCCCACATGAGGAGGATGAACCTCCTGAAGAACACTGTCACACTGCCTCACCTCATTACTTACTCCCTGCGAAATGATTACAGGTTTAATTTATAACTGGCTGGAACATTATTAAATAAATAATAGACAACAACATTCACAAATTTAAATGTATGCACTTGTAAACACGAAGAGAGCAAACATTACAGGCTGGATATAGTATTGGCAAAAACACCAGAAATTCTGAGGAAGGTAGGAGACATAAATGCAACATTAAAAAACGAATTTTAAAATGAGAGAAACCTTTAAAGATAAATATTTTCTACTGTAAAATGAAAATTCAATACGTACAATTTATATCTCCTTTTTCCCTCCCACCAACAACAATCTTCATATTAATTATTAATATAAATTCCTTGTTTAAATAAGCATTGGTTACTTGACTAAGCGAATAGCAAGAATCGTAACACAGCAAAATCTAGAGCTTATTTTTGATACACTTATCCTCATCATCTTATTTACATTATTTGCCAGCTACGTTGAGTATTAAGCAAAATTATGATATTGCATAGCACTGTATAATTTCACAAGCAGAGAAAGCAACCCACAACATATTCATTTTCACATGCATTTACGAGTATTTGGACAGGATTAATTAATTATCTGGATGTCATGAATTAATTCACTCAGTCATTTTCAACATTTCCTAGAGTACATATAATGAGAGTAAATGAAAATCTCAATATTTTATGAAGGAATAATGATAGAATAAAGTACAGAATGTTGTTTACTATATGGAGATATTTTGACCTATGTGTAACTGAATGAGCCACATGTATTTGTATCTAAATCTAAAGCAAAACATTCAATTTTCTTTTTAGGATTACTTTCAGAAGAAACTGATTCATGATTGGTTTTCAAAAACTTCTTTCCCAGCACAATTATCAAATACATTTTCCTCTTAAAAACAAAGGTAGCAATTAATCAAAACTAAATATCATCCAGATAATTCCAGTAATTTTAAGCAATTATCCCTACAACATGCTTTAGTTATATTAATAAAATGAAATATATTCACTCTAAATAGTTTCAAATATGGATAACTAGGCATAGAAAAGTGTTATGAGATTTCTCTGCATTTGAGCTTATGAATATAAACAATGACCTTTCTTGAACAAAATAATATTTTAGCATAGCACATAATATGAACACACAATTAAAAGACAAATAATGAACATTTTTGGATAATGTTTTTATTGCACAGTTGCACAGCACAGTTATTGCACAGCACACACACATACTTTTTCATACACTCACCTCATCATGGAACAAGTTTTAGCATTCCTGCCTCTTACACCTCTGCCTCCAGAACGTAGAAGAAAGTAGTGACAATTTTCTTGAGGTCTTACATGAAATCTTTCACTTTACAAATATTCTTAGCATATAGCATAATTAGCAATAGCATAACTGGATGGAGCCAAATCATTTACTGCTGCCTGATTTCATGCCTTGAGAAGCATTGTTACAGAAGATGTGAAAAACTGAAGAAATTGCAATGAGAAATTTGAATTAATAGTGAGGATTGTTGTTGTCAGGCACCCTGTTCCTTCACAACAAAGCCAGACCTCATATTGCAGCAAACGCACATTTTCAAATATTTGTCCGAGTCAATCTCGAATTCCCATCATACACAGCTCAGATCTGGCCCCAGCTTAATATCACACTTACAGACTTTTTGGACTGAAAGCTTTTAAAGTGACTTCAAAAAAGTTGTCACTTCTTTCTTTCATGAACCAACAGTACAGGTGCACGAGGTACATGTAAAATCTAATTCCACAATATGACAAATGTTTGCTGGGAAAAAGTAATGGGTATACATACGTGATTGTAAAATAAAAATATAGTAAACATTAACAGCAGGTGTCAATGTTGAAATTGTTTTATTCGATCAAGGCTTGGAACATGATTCAATAAAATTAACTTTTCTTCTACTAGTATGAAGGACCCACAAATTGTAGATTCTAACTACAGAACGTATTAGAGGAAGTAATTTACTACATATTGAAACAAGATTTCTCCTCTTTTCCTGTATCAGAACTTTAGAATTGAAGTTTTTCTGTTGAAAAGTAGCTTTTTATCCCACAGCAAAAATTAACTTTCTCTAGACTACAAACCTTCTCGTACAGTTAGTTTCCTTTTCTCTAGTTTTGGCTGGCTTTTCGGTTTTGCCTCACCCTCTTCTCAACTGTCTATAAGTTCTAACAGGGCTTCTCGCAATACTTATCACTTCTCTAGGCACATTCTAAGTGAAGAGCACCTTTGCGCTTCCCGAACATCGAATAGGTCTATCTCAACCCTTTATCTAAACACTTGCCCGTAGTATCCCTTCACCCCATCTTGGTACTTGTACCATTGTTCTAGGTGTATGAATCCATATCCCCATTTATACACACAGTTGCCTGTCATGCCAAGAGATTTGGGAAGGAAGAAGGTATATGTGTAATATACAAGGGAGTTGGAATGGTCACCATGACATGAATACAAATTAAAACATTCAGGCGTATGAAGGCTTCCAAACCCTCACTACCTTTCTCTCCAGACACAAGTGGCTTACTGACATAACCCTTGTCTCATAAGGCTGAATATTTGCAAACATGTCACAGTCATGTAATTTGAAAAAAATAGTAATATAATTAAAACTGTCATTTCATACTTAATAACATTAAAATTCTTTATTTTTTTTGCAGGATGAATCTATGTATTTTACAGAACAACCCATGATTTAACGTTAAGAGCACATTAGTGATTTACAAATTGGTGGAAATATGCATATTAACGTAATGACATATCTCCCCCCCCCCCAATCACATTCGTCAACTTTTAGAGCAAAAAATCCCAAAATGAACTTTACATCATATTAAACAGTACAATTAGCACTATCCCTTAAGAAAGTTTCAAGACCAAATTTGACCGTTTTTGAGAAAATTACCTTTGAGCATTTCTGAAAATGTGAAATTTTTAACAAATTTTGACAGAAAATAGTGCGAATTTTCGAGAAACTTTATATGATATTATTTTAAACACTTGTATTCACAAATTCAATAATGTGAAACAATCGCCGCTAATATAAACATTAAAAAGGTGAGACTCTCATCAAAAAATTACATATTTGTAATTTTTAAGAAAACTAGAGAATACAGCAATAAGCCTTTTATGTCATCTCAAAGTGCATTTAGTACTATCCCTACCAACAGTTAAAAGATCCTACTAAAAGTTCCTACTCACCCGCCACTTAAGGCTTAACACATCAAAATTCCCACCCACACCCGTTCGTCTACTACCACCATGCATAACAACTCTTTTCTTCCCTTCCTCTTCTCACCCTCCCTTCCCATCCTCCCTCTCCGAACAACAGCTTGTCTGGGGTGCGAGAGGTTCCCCCCCTCCCGCTTTTTCCATAGCAACTCACGCCAGTGATTACACTCGAGTCGGGAAGAGCACTTGTGCAGGCCCGCTAAATCATGACTCCAAACAAGACGAACAGTTAAAAGAAAAAAATTCGAACACAGCACCGCTGGCGGTCGGACTGGCGGGCCACAGAGCCATCGAGCGGGTAGGCGGAAGCCTGGTCTCTCGTCGCCAGTTGGTGCAGCACGAATAAACGGCAGAAACGACTGATTTCCACTGAATTATTAAAACATTCATGATTTTGACACCAGGCACAACGAATAAAAACTTCATTGTCACATTTTTCTTCACGTTGTTTTTTCGTAGTTTCAAGACAATACTTGACGGGCACAACAAATTCAGGAGGCCGCTCTGTTATGTACCTTGCAGCAAACCAAGAATACTTTATCATATTCCGGAAACGAGAAGAAAATTGAAAATGAACGAAGGATTGCAATTGAAGAATTATGTCTTTTTAGTTTATACTCTTCAAAGACTTTTTTTTTGTATGTGGTGATACATATCTTTCCACTGTCGGAAGATGAACTTATCAAGTGGTAGCATTTTTCCTGTAGTTCCGGGAGGTATCTGAAGAATTCAATTGTCTTACCTGGAGGAATATCTTCAATATGAGTTTTGTCATTGCACACGGTCTATGTATCAAATGGCAGAGCAAAAATTTCGCTTACGCATGGGTAGAAACCTTCTTTAAACCAATTTTAACTCTTAACTTTCCCATTTTTCGTAATTCTGTAGCAGTAATAATTAGGTTTTCGGCTCGAAACGTTCTTTTGGAGACCACCGACGAGAAATTATTTTGGTTCATGCAGCACTACAAATAGAGGTAACAAAGATCCATTCACATTTCAGTGTACGAATGTGATAAAGCACTAACTGATTGAGTAACTGTCTGGATGTGTTTTTCACCAACAACGACTATGTTCGCAATGAACGCATTTCGAGTTCAAAGCCACTTTGGTCTGTACTGTACATAGTAGAAGACTGAGTTTTGTAAAAATCTCTCAGCTCTCTCAGCAGAAAGGGCTGCCCAAATGGACCGGTAGACGCCCCTATCCCTTTCCTAGTTATTATACGCATTTTTCAATTATTTATTTGGAAGCCTTGCAGAAAGAACTGGCAACAAATATCTTGGATATGGGATTCTGATAGTGCACGCGTCAAAACTCGACGGGTGTTTCAACATGAATGATCTATCACTTCCCTTGTAAGTAAAAGCTGCCACTGGTTTACATACCACCGATGTTAATTTTGAACTTTCGCAATTTTTCGAATATTTAGGGATTTATCAAAAAGGAGTTCTGCGTTGTTTAAAGCGTTCTTTACTCTACCTAACGAAAAAAGTGAATCAAAAAATGATGAAGCATTATTGAAAAAATATTGAAAATTATGGGGCTTCAAACACACGTAAAAACTACTGCTAAAACAGCACGTACTTTTGAAAATGTCCCAGGAGCTTCATGTATAGTAACTCTCCCCCTTCCCCCCAAAAAATATCGGCTTCAAATTCAAGAGTCGCGACAACAGCAAGATCGATTACGGAAAATCAATTTTGAAAAAAATTGCTGAAAGGTTTAGCCGCTAGCGTTTTTCAGACGGATGAACGTTTTGTCGTCAGTCGATTTTTCGGTAACAAGGACCCACAAATCATAGATTTTTTCGGTAACAGTACCCCATAATAAAGAGTTTCTCTCCTGAAAATTCGCTGTTCTTTCGCGCAACTTTCTCTCTTTCTCTCTCCGTAGCGAGTAATAAAAATTCGTTTCAAAGTCACAGGGCCGGGAGTTCGGCCGATTGGGCAGATACATTTTGGAGAAAATTATCTGAACAGTTTGGGCTCTAGCTTTGGTCACTGTGGGGCAGACCGAGAGAAGTTTTGTTGTCAACCAATTTTGCGGCATCAAGGAGTCACAAACCGTGGATTCTGACTTCACAACTCGTTAGAGCAAGTAATTGACTAAATTTAAGAAATAGATTTATTCATTCTTTCGATTCCAGTGCTCGACGTTACGATCGATATTATAATACGAGTTTTCTGTCTAAAAATTGTCAATTTTTGCATTACAATACTTTCTCTTTACTAAGTACATATGTATGTAATATAGGTGAGAAAGTATAAATTGGAGGCCCCCAAAAGTGTGTTTTCATTAAAATCTCGACATCGATTTTCTGCAGCACTTCATAACTCTCTCTTCTACTCCCTTCTACTCTTATACTGATATGATAATGAATTATTCCATATATACATGCATACACGAAAAAGAGAAATGGGCAATACTATAATTCCATGATGCAGATGAGAAGTTTGAACAAACGATACCTAGAAATTTGACAGAAATAAATACTGTATTTTAAGATAACTGATACTGAATTTCAGTTATATTTCTTTAAAAAATTGGGATAAATTAAATTCATGCTATTGAACATGCTTTCCAATACACTACTTCCATGCACATACATAACGTAATATTTAAATAATGACTTTTAAACCAAATAAACATTGTCAATGAATGAATGAAAGAATGAATGAATGTATGCGTGTATGCATTTTTACATGTTCAGTACTAATATATATTTTGAACCACTACAGAGATTGTTCCCAAATTTGCACGAATACTTTTGAGCAACCAAGCATTAGCAATAGTTGAATTGTGATTCAATATTATACCCTATAAGTGTAGTTTATTTTAATTTTATTTTTTAATTTCCCCACCCATTTTTTTCTACAATAGAAATGCACATGGACAGCCAGAAGACTGTGCATGTTCTCTAGCAGTGAACCTAGCGGCTGCATTACATCACATACTCAAGCAGCAGCAGCAGCAGCAGATTTCCGTTTGCATAGAATGCATTCACTCTCTTTCTGTTAAAGAGGATTAATACTTCATACCCTTTGAAAGAGTAAGTTTATACTTATTTTGACTTATGGTGAATGAGAGAGAAAATGGTAAAGAAAGCCTATAGCAAATACAAGATCAAACCCAAATAAACCAGTGCATTATAATGAATTATAGAGAAAGAAAGAAAGAAAGAAAGAAAGAAAGAAAGAAAGAAAAAAATGAATCCAGAAAAAGGCACGAGAATCAATTCATTTATGTTCAGAGAGTGAAATTACACTGTTGATTTGTGTATTTTACTGAACAAACAAGTTTATTTGTCAACAAGTGTGAGAACCATTTGTTTTAAATTTAATTTACAAACGATAAGCATGCCAGCCATCTACCAGATGATAGCGATAAATTAACACCTGTGCCAAACGGAGTTCTCTAGTTCTCTTCAACTAGTTCATTGTAGATTTGAAGTTTCACAGAAAATCATTATTATCGATTATGTTTTTATTTGTCACAGTTATACTCAATTAATAAAAAAAGATATGTGTTTTACACATGCACTGCAAGAAAAACTGAAATGGAAAAACAGTAGTCTTGATAGACTATTAAACAGACTTCAGTATCATCGAAGTAAAAATTCCCCAAAGAAACAGATTCTAACTGGCTTAACCTTAATCAAGAACAAAGTTGCTGTTCTAATTTAGAAAAGCAAATTAACAAACCAACTTGAGGCACATATTCTCCCCATAATCTCTGCTTTGGCACCCTCTTATTATTATGTGTGCGTGTGCCTTTCAATTTTTAAACTCACTCACAAACTAATACATATACACTTCTGCAATTCTCCTAGAAAATCCTTGTCTCTATGGTAGTTGATGAATGAGAGACTCACTACATGCTTGGGCTGTGTGTCTATCCTCAGCTGCTCGCCCAGTTTCACTATCTCCAGCACCTCCTGGTCCTCCTGGCTTGCTCCACCCTCGCCATGCATTTGAGCAGGCACAGGCACAGGCTCGCTGCTCTCCAAGCGGAAGCCATTCTTCTCAACCAGCGGTTTGGTTATGACCCCGCCAGGCAAAGGAATAATAGTGTCCACAGGAACAGGGCTATTGGGAATGCTGTAGTCGTTTTGAGTGATAATGCGAAGAGGACTGGTAGGCTGGCCAGGGGTTTTGGGCCTCAAGCTCAAAGTAGGCCTGCTATCAGCCATATGCATGTCAGATATCACCTGCGTAATATAAAATCTACTAATTATCACACTGAAGACAAATGCACATTGGTGTCATTTGACAAAATTCTTATATTGACTGATGTAATTAGAATAGTTTGAGAAAAGTAATTCAAGCCAAAAGTTGTCCATTTATTTCTCAATAGATATTTCCAAAAGAGAACTAAACAGAGAACTTTTGTGAGACAAAAATCAAAGGGTACGAAGAATAAGAAACATACAGAAACAATGTACATGCCTTAATATACATAGTTAAATACCACTAAAAGATTTTGAAGTTGGCATTGAAACAACCTGGGGGTCTCTTGAGCTCACCTGCCTGTCCATATGAACATTGTTCAATTTTTGAGCAATAACTGAAGATACAGAATCCCGACGAGGCTGTTCAAATGCAGTGTTGTCTGGGAAACGGAAGGGAGAGAGCTCCTTCTTCATGGGAGACGATGGCTGGGACTGGGGGGTGGAACTGCCAGAAGTTATACCCTGCCACTTGCCACTGCTAAAGGTAGTCAGTGCACGCACCGCACTAGAAGTGACTGGCGGATGACGTGGAGTCAAGTGCCTGATATCCTGTTAAATATTATTTCATGAGCTTCTACAACACCAGCATGCTATCACAGTTATGACAATTCAATAATGCTCAGTGAACTGATAAGTATAAGCAGAAATGCACCACATTGTTAGAAAAATGTGTAATTGTCCATTAATAAATTAACCTTACCCTGAAAGGTAAAAATTGAGGTTTTCACCATTGCAACTGATTAGTAGTGTGCTGTAGTTCGATAAGCATAATGAAAAGTGATGCAATAGTTATGTGTGTTCCAATCAAAAACAGGCCACAGTACCTTGACAGGAGTAGTTTCAGGAGTAGCTTCTATAGCAGCTTCAGGGGGAGAAGTGCCTTCCTGATGTGGTAATGAAGTACTCACAATGAAATTCTAAACAACGAAGCATTATATGAAATTGAAGCATGAGTGCCTTGTGTGCATGTTTAACACGCCCTACCTGGTTTTGAGCAAAATGATTACTTTTAATTAGTTTTAAATTAAATCATCAATATCAAAACAAAGCTTTTTAGTGCAACTCAGCAGCAAGTAGCCTACTGCAAAGATAAGAGCTGTATAATCTAATTTCAGCCAAAGCTTAAATGCACTACAACTAAATATTTGATTTCAGACTCAATTGTAATCAAATATAAGTAAAAATTAAAAAGCAAGAAATTAACCTGAGAATTTGGTGTTTGTGGAATGGAAGTGGGAGCCGATTCTTCAACAGGAGGAGTTGAAAGTCCTGAAAAGATACTAGGGCTCCATAAGTCTTGGTCAATGGGTAGATGAGAACTTAAGAAGCTAGATGCAGCACTAGTAGGTAGACTGCTTTTCAAATGATGCACATAAGAGAGATCTGAAACCAAACAAATAATTCCCTCAACTATATTCTTTATCTTTTTATTTATGAATGCAACATTCCAAAGTTTTCAATTTTTACAGTTCTTGAAATTCAAGGGATTGAAATCCTGACTTCAGCTTCTTGAAATCATTCGATCCAATATTAAAAATTTAGTATGCATGTGTGAATTCCTGTTGTAAGTCTTGACCTGTAAGTTTTGTGCCTACTCTTTGACTGGTATTGTTTCCTGTAGTTGCAGCCACACACCATCGGCCTTACCATCCACTGAGTCAACATGGCTCATGAGCCCAGAACACTTAGTCCTTTATCAGAGAAATGGCCCATATGGCATATCCCTCAATGCTCACACTGGGAAGGGAAAGGAATTAATCAGAGGTGATATATAGTGTGCTAGGAATGCTCACCATACCAATGTCAATGTCTTACATGGTATTCAACCTACATCCTGAATGGAACATGTATTTCGTCACGTGTATGGAAGGATGAATTAAAAAGTAACGCATGGTAATTGAGAGAGACCTACCACGCCACAACACACAAGAATACATCACTGTCTGAGGCCAAATTTCAAACTGATAACCTTTGAACAGAGTCTCCTAAGGAACATTCACCTTAGCAATCCCCACAGTAATACAATTTTGATTGTTTTATAACTACTTTTTGTTTCTCAAAAAAAACTTCTACCTCTCCACTTGTGTTTTGAAATATATTTTAAATAATTGATGCAAATATGAAATTATGTACAAATTAATTTTGAAAAACAATTATTATTATTATTTAATACTACAATTAAAATAAATGGGTAGTTCAATCAAGACTCTTTCCAGCAAAAGTACTGTTGTTCTCAACAACTCCAGTTGATGGAATGACCATCTTCCCTAGCAACAGTTTACAACTCCCCCCACCCCTTCCCCTTCTTGCACTGCCATAACGGCAGTTCCTTATCAGTATTGTGTGGAGTTGAGCTGCAGCTCACACTCTCTTCGCATTGGTTTTTGCTCAGAGTTCCATTCTCATGCAATATTTACACTTATGCAGTGTTGAAAGTCAAGTCTACGTTGTTCAGATAGTGACCCAAGTTGGTATCATTCATGAAAAATTAGTTAAAAATTTCAGTCTGCTTCAGCAACAATTCTCTACCATGTGTCTCCTGCAAGTCATGGCTAAGGTGGTCCCCTAGCAGATGGTATCCATTTACATCTTAATCTATGCAGCATGCATCTTGCATTAGTGTCACCTGTGGCATCACACTGTAAGTACTATACACATTTACATTCCTGTCCTGAAGACCCCCTCCCCTCCCAATATTTGTGTGTGCAACGACAATTCTGCAACAGAATCTGGTCTGGGCTGCGCAATCAACAGACTAATTGTTGTAAAAATTGTCATTGAATTTGTGGCTGCAAATTGAATAATTTATGTTAAATTTGGAAGAAAGAATGATTAACTCTAAAGAAATTGCAATTTCACATTTAAATCTATTATATAACAGAATCGTGGGCTTTTTCAAGATTTGATTGAATGAAAGGCATACTAATTTTAATTTTCCATTCAAACCTATTTAGATAAGTATTGTAGACTTTGACATGTTCTTAACTCCCTCTGGATTGTAATGAGAAAATTTTGTCCAAATCGTCAATCATCTAAATATTTTTTAATTATATATTTCATACATTATTCCATTAATAGTCTTTATGTTTTTCTTTTTCTTTTTTCCCCGAGAGTTAAATTTTATATTCTCAGATTTACTGCTGCTTTGTAAGTTGTATGAGTTCCTAGTTATTAAAAAAATCAGTAACTTCCTTGGTTTCTCTTGTGCCAACCATCACACACACTTTTCTCCCAAATTTACTAACCTAGCTGCTACATTATCGAAATTTATGGTACCTCAAAAAGAACCTTTGAGAATGTCACCTCAACTGCAAACAATCATTTTAATCCTTTCAAATTTGATATCAACTTTAAAACAAAGTACTATAACCACAAAAATACAATGAACTCTTATTTCCTAATAATTTTAAATTGTTTAAAGGATTTAATTAAATCATTTGTTTTGGGAAATTCCTGAAACAACAAACTATTTAGTTTTCTGATCTTAAAATGATGCTTGTAACAAATTTGTATTCATTTGATTTGAATATCAAAAAGTCAACATTTGCAATGCATTGCAACATTGAACATAGTACCTCAGAACAAACCATAACAATATTCCATTAAACTTACAGGTCATTCCACGCAATATTTTCTGTTCTACTAAACATAGAGCAAAAATGTTTATCTCCATAGAAAGCTGACATATTATTCCATATGAAGACTTATGAATTATTAATTTATTTTATTATAGTGTTAACCACTGTGCTGATGAATTTTTCTCTAAAAGTTTACAAAAAATGTGTTTTTTAATTTTTATTTTGAAAAAAATATCTATTGAAGTGCAATATGTATTTCTTCATTGGTGAAAATTTTAATTTGCAATGGTAACGCAGCAAGAAGTTATGATACAAAATTCTTAGCAAGTCCCGTGAAGGCGCTAGCTGGCTACCATGAACAGAAGTACTGTTCCCAGGCGCCTGAGTTGACTGATCCCACTAGGTTCCGGTGGCACAAATATTGATGTTTTGATCACTCTGGGGACAAAACAGACTGTGTTGGCAACTACTTCCAAGGATCAGCCTGGGCTCAGTTGTCTTTTGCAAACCGTAGTCTGTAGAAATCTTTTGATATAGCGCAACATGGAAGAATGGTTACAATATTCAGTGTGCTGTAATCCACTAACTAATATTGAACATTCTTATCATAAAAAAACCCTTTGAAGTGTTCTTCCTTGGATGGTCAGTGTATATCAGAATTTTCCAACTCAACAAAAAATATGCAATGATGCAGGAGAGAAATGAAAGGGAAGATTGATTCGTGCGTTGCATCCACAGGTTCTTCGGATTCACCAGAAGATGCAGATAATGAAGCGTTCGTTGAAGGTGCATCTATGGAACTTTTAAACAGTAGTCTTGTAAGTATACGTGAAACGTATACTTACATATTACAGTACTAACATTTTAAAAAAGCCAGTAAAAAGAGACAAAATATATTAAAATTTAAGAGGTTTTATAGGAGAATTTTTTTCCTTTTTCTAATGACCCACAATCTGGATGGTTGACAAGTTAGGACAATGAAATAATAAATCAGTTAAAAGAGAAATTTCAAACCTGTAACAGAAATGAAAAAATTACTACTACTCCCGTATAGCTGAAGCATTAATAAAATTAAAAGTGGATTTGCTGCCTATGAATACATGGTGCGGAGAGCCAAAAAGTATGTTAAAGAGCTCGGCATATTGCCTTCTGCGAACCCAAAACCAGGCAAAAATTTATCCCAAGAGACCATCAAAAAAGAATATTATTATTTAAAATTCTATTGGTAGAATAATGTCCAGAAAAGTGATTATAACATTAAGGATTTCGGGAAGAAAATATCAAGAATGAAAGAGAAACTCATTCTTGCACATTAAAATGAAGTATATACAGATTTCAAATCTTATCTGTATCTCAAAATTGGCTTTTCGAAGTTTGCATCTCTTTGGTCAAAAGCCTTCATTTTTGCTAGTGCAAGTGGAATACTCAGTTTATGTTTGTGTTATTCATCAGAACATAAAACTTATGCTTGATACTCGTGTTACTAACATTCTAACTAAAATGTGTCTTCTTACAAAAACATGCTTGCGTATATATAGTATAGTATGCAATCCACTCCAAATTAATTGCTTTTTTAGTGAGTACTCTGAATGTCCTGAGATTTTGACGATTAAAATTATTTTAGAAGAAACAATGGAAGAAAACTTCAAAGAAACAAAATAGTTCAGTGGGTGAGACCCTACAGATCAAATTTAGAAACAATCATGAACTCCAAAGAAGATTTTATTGATTGTTTAAGAGCAAAACTTAGTGAATTGCTGATACATCCATTCACCTTTTCTGAACAAAGCAAATACCTACGAGGTCGTAAAATATCACTTCAACCTGGAGTATGCATAACTTCGTAATCTCATCTATTTTTCTGAAAACTTTACCTTTGTTTTCCAAGATGAAGTACAAGGATTTTATTGGAATAATACCCAGGCATCCTTTGTTGTCTACTTCAGATTACCTTATTCAAATGAATTGTTCACTGACAACTTAATTATTGTTTCAGACTGCTTATTACACGACAGTTTCTGTGCATCTTTTCCAGTGACACAGGATTCCCTTTTTGAAACAAAGAATTGGAAATTTCCTCCATAGAATTGTGTATTTTTCTGACAGGTCTTCTGCCCAATATAAAACAACAAAATTTTGTAAATATTACATTTTATCCCGAGGACTTTGAAATAAATACGGAATGGCACTTTTTTGCATCATCTCATGAAAAATTAAAGCTTGTAATGGATTAGGCGGGACTCTTGAAAGGCTTCTTGCTCTTGCTTGCAGATACCAAGTGCAGGTCAGATCACTATTTCCAGAGAACTATTTTCTTGGGCAAAGGAAAATTTGGAAAATATAAGTGTTGCTTACACAACAAGAAAAATATGAACAAGAAAAAAGAAGGAAGATTTTCAGGAGTGCTGCCCCTATTAGGCACATGTAAATTTCATTGTTTTCTCCCTCTGGAAAAAGGCAACATGCTTGCAAAGACTCTCTCAAGTAGTGAAAACTCATAACAGTGCCACATTTTGAGATCTGAACTTTGGAAATAGAAATGTCGAGTGTGTGTACCAAATTTTTAATTAAATTTCCTTTCCAAAAATGCTTACTATTATTATAATTCTTTGACAACTGTACATTAAACCTCTCTTTTGAGGTTTGATTTACCTTATATTATAGATATTGGATGACAGTTCAGACACATTCATGTAATTTCAGTGTACATTAGACCTTGATTATTGGAAGTAGGAGGAGCAGGTGTTCAAGATTTCCATTATGATAATGAGATGCATGAAATATTCCAATAATTAGTAACTCCTGTTCCCATTCCCATTCTCAGATCCAAACTTTTTATACAGTTTTTATATAAGTAGAACTACAAAGTATATTTTCTTTGTTAATTTTAAAAATATGAGTTTTCTTTAAATAAATTTTAAAATATGTATTCCTTAATTTTGAAACCTTCTGAAAATATATTTTTGATTCTTGTACATGTGTCAGAAAGCCTCATTTATAAGCTTTAAAATGACATATGAACAAATTTTTAATCTTTGAAATTGAATGAGATAATGTAGTTTTTGTTTAGTAATGCACGCAGTTATTTCGCTATTCTTCTGAACTTCAAATCATTATAAATGGAAAACTATAATTGCTACAGCCTTCATAAGCGGTCATTTTTATATATTTTAAGAGGTACTTCAGAAACGCAAAGTTTGGAAAGAATTTGAAATTGTCAGGGTTGGAACCCTTATTGATTTTAGGTGGAATGACCCTTAAATAATTATACAATTTCACAAACCATTAAAAATATTTCAAAACAAAGAATTACATGATCATTATGTTAAAATGAACATCGCAGGACAACTACTTACCTAAAGCAACTCCATGTTCTATACTCCCTCTGGATCGAAATGAGGTGTTTATACTCTGAAATGATCCTTCTTCTCGTGACTTCTCCATTGAATCAATAGCATATTTGGCACATTCCACAATGACATCATGATCTTCCATTTTCTTCCATCTAAAAAACAATTGAACTTCAATTTTTCAGTCTTACAATATTACAAATGTTTCTTTTCTTCAAAGGAACATATTTGTAAACTACTGAAATGGGTTTAAACTTAACAGTTTTGTTTTCCTTTAACAATGATAATGTACCATTTCTCTTTTTTATTTACACAGTAAAGCACAACAAGTAGTCGTTTAACATGTATTTTGCCATTACACAAACAAAATTTGGGTCCCACCAAGAAAACAAATAAATTAATCAAATAACATGAATTTTTATGCTGAACACTAATTATTTCGGACCCTTGGAATTAGTGTTAATGAGGATTTTGTGTGTATTTTAGCTTTCGACTGAAAAAAAGAGCTGTTTAATCCTAGCCCCGACACACGTGTTTCAATCAAAAACAAGAATATATCATTTTGTTTCAAAACATTATTTAATAAATGTACTATCTGTGATTTATAATTGTCATTTAATTATAACATTGTTACTCTATGAAAGTGATTTATTATATAATTTTATTACACCATTTGTAAGATATACGTGCAACAGCTTGTTGTTACCACCATTAAAAAATAAATAAATAAAAAACTTTGGAATTAATTTTTTTCTCAACTACTGATGATATAGTGTCCTGCTTTTCTATGCAAGATAACATTTGCATTTCAATTATAAGTTGTAGAGGCATGTAACATGCCAGAATATTCTCACCTTGTAGTGGCTGTCTCTGCGTCCTTAGAAGCTGTTACCAGCAGAGGGTGCATCCTGACCGTCTCCAGCATTGGCTACAAATTGTAAAAGTCTTTACAAGGCCAAACAATACTTTTCCATTTCTAATTTCAGTTTTCTTTTCTACAATGCAATCTCAAGATACACAATTACCATCAATTGAAAAAAGTTTACCTTGATGGTATGACTGAATATTCCCAGGTGTTCACGCATGCCATACTCATTACGAAGGAAGGATATGAAGTTACATGGATACATTCCATACAGCCGGTGAAACAAAGCATAGAGGCTCACTTGAAGATGCAACAGATGCTCCTCAGGAAGCTTAGTTGGATTGTTGGTATTCCAGGAGGCCAAGCGACTACAAATTGAATGTCAATATAACAATTACAAAGAATAGTCTACACATATTTCTTAACCCCACAGAACTTGAAGGAAAATCAGTCTTGTGATTTACAAGCATTTCTAATTCAAACTGAGACAAAGTAGTTATCTTTTGACCAAGTATTAAACCTTGCATACAATGTGTTCAAATCAGTTATCACAACAGATTAAGTGCTTATTAATGTCAATAAGTTATATGTGAAATAAGTAAATTATAAAAAGTATGAGATATGATAAACTCTTGGAATGAACAATTGCAACAAGAGGAAAAGCTAAGAACACTTTAAAAGGAAACCATGTAAATTAGAGGAGTAATAACTGTACATACTTATTTATATTACTGGTAATGGTTAAATTGGAACATCTGTCCCACCAACATGTCAGCCATTATTTGAAAATCTCAAATAATACAAATCAAAATTATAAAAACACTACTCATATTTTGAAAAAGTTGTAAATGAAATTATTCACATGTCTAATACTGAGGAGTAGATTGCATGCAGAAAAATCTCCATCTTTAATAATAGTGTATTTGTAGGAGGGTGTTGCAATTTTTGAAATTCTAAAGAATTTAATGAAAATAGGACCTATGCTGTATTACAAGTGAACTATTTTCTTTTTGAGAAAAAAGTATTAAAGAAAAGATTTGGAGTCATTTCTGAGAAAATCTTGCTCATAATTCTTTTTTTAATTCTTACGATATTACTCAAAATTTTGTGAAAATGTTTGGGAAATATTTGGAAAAATTATACACAACATTAATTAAAGATCTAATTCTGAAAAATAGATTTCATCAAGAAAAAAATCCATCTTCTATAATGTAGTTTTAAGAAGGGATCCAAAAAATTATAAACTATTGCAACTTTTGAAACTTCTGAGCTTTTAATGAAATCAAAAATGCAACATTTTTGTAAGCACACTTTGCTCTATTAGGTCAAAAAAGTTAAATCAAAAGATTGGTGTCATTTTAGAGTAGATTTCCTAAATGTCCTAGGGGTTTTATATAATGTACCCCAAAAGACTGATCAGGTAATCATCATTTTGGGAAATTCTGTCAATGGTTAAGACACAGACAAATTTTAAAAAACAACTTCTTCTTTAGGCCCCCAAAATGTAAATTTCGTCAAAACCTCGCCATTGATTTTTTTTTGCAGCCTTACCTGCCTGTTTCTGTACCAAATATTTAAGAAAGTATAAAGGTGATTATGCAATACAAGACTTTTAGCATTTCCAATCCCATTTTTATGGGTTTCATCTTTTCAATGTTGGAGTTGAGAGATGTCAATATACTACAAAAATGAAATGCATCCCACACAATTACAATCAATAGAAAGAACATCAATACCTACCTAAACACTTCGAAAACATCTTGAAGATAAGGGCCCATTAAAGCAGGTATCATAGGAAGAAGAACAATCAAAACTAAGACAGCACTCATAAGACAAAGAATATCACTCTCAGCCTGAAAGAGAAGCAAAGAAAATTTCAATACAGAGAAAGTTACTATTACAAAACTATTAAAATTACAGTTGAAAATTTTAAATATTTTGATGAGGAAACATTTGATGAGTCATATTGAGAAAGTTATTTCAACATTTGCTTGTTTTATTTCCCAAGAAGGCCGCCATAGAAATTTTTCCATCACACTACTTGTACCAAACCATTTTGTGAATATTGCAACATGAACATTGAAATGATACCCAGTAATATTTATGCTTTTGAAACAGTTAATTTTTAAGCAGGTTGCTCATAACTTTTTTCTATCACAACCTTCTTCAAAAGATTTAAAATAAATTAATACAATTTTTACCGATTTCCAAAGCATACAAAATAAATCGATACAATTTTTTCACTCTTAGCTCCCAAACAATTCAAATTATTCCATTTTCACTGAATTGTGATGTACAAAAACCACAATACATTAAACAAACACATCCACACAATTTTTTTTACATACTTCATCAAGCTCAATCCTCTTCTCACTTCAGTAACTACAGGCTTACTAAGAGCCACTGTTATTAAACATTGCATGAATATGATGTACCATGTATAGTGTTGCGTCTGGAATGGCACTGGCCTCCTAATGCCTTTCTACAGGGGACTACTGGGTTGCTAATTGCAATAACAGCTGTGAGTCAACCACATAATTAAATGAGCACATACACCTGGGGTTGAACCACTCTCAGGTACAATATGACCATTCCCACAATTTTTGTTGATGGAGGTGAAGATAAACATATTTTTGCATCCTTCTCATAAAACGTAAACCAATTTCTTTCGGTTGGTTCTCTAGTAATAGTTTTCAGTACTTTTGCAGAAAGGACATTAAGGACAGAAGAAATTTTGCTGAAAAAGTTTGACAGACCATAGTGGTCACCTGGTCTCCCTTGTATACCCAGAAAACTTGACCCTGATATTGTTTTGAAAATTTTCCTATGTTATAATTTATACTTATCAAATTTACCTGAATGTAAAACCACTCTAAATCTAAAACCTATTAATTTTGAAAATGCATCCTCAGAATTTTTTGAAAATTTAACAAATTCTTATTCAGACAAAATAAAATTGAAAATCCCGGCTAGAAAATTGTCTTGTAGGATGAGAATGTTAAAACTATTTGCTACAGCTATCCTTTTCTTCTACCTTACAATCATAATCATGATACTTGTCACTGCTCCTTTTTATCTTCATATGTATCATTGTTTCTTTCTTTTTGGTCCTCCTCTCACACTGTCATCGTTTTCTGACTTTTTGAGTCACTCTAAAAGTTTTGCATTGAATTAATATTCTGTCTTTAATCTCATGCCACCTTAGAGCATTCCATTCATTGTCACGAGATTTTCTTCCTAGCCTGCTCTTGTTCATGTTCTGATTCTTTATCAGAATATAATTGAAATTTGAATCATTTAATTTATGTAATTAGGTTGTGAACTGAACTCTCACATCTTTGTTCCTCCAGTTCAAAGGTAACGTGAGAGATAGCGGCAAGTTTCCAAGTTTGGGAAGAAAGCTAAGAAAATATTTATCATTTTCTTTCTGTGGATTGCTGTAGAATGTGAACTTATATCAGTGTAAATGTTTTAATTTCCATCTCATGCAAAATGCAGTTTCACACTTGATGGGCATTGAACCAAAAATCTGTGCGGCCTCATAGACCAGTGGTATTTCTCTATACAAGTAGTAACAAAATCTCTGAAATAATTTTTATTCATTTTCATGCCGAGTTTCACTCAGTACAATCCCATTTACTTGAGATTCTCTCTCTACCAGCCCATTTGAAAACATTGATCTGAATCCTCTGGCAAATTTTGAGTGGATACCGAAAATATATCTATGAATAAAATAATTAGGTATAAAACGTGCGACATTTTTGCAGCTGACATCAATATTTTCAAGATACTTGACATGGAAAGGCAATGTAAAAACATAAATCCCAACCAACCAGGGTTAATCTGTGAATATGACAACCTAGAATTTTTTAATTGATGTTGATGAACGAATGCTTTCAGTTCCCAAAGATAAACCTTTTCTTATATTCAGGTAAATACAGTATTTATAAGGTTTATTATAAAACGTGTATATCAACATTTTGAGTTTAGTGTAAACATCAATACTTATACCAATAAACACAATAATTAGAGAATTATTAGAAGGCCTGAACTCCACCTAAGCGTACCGAGAAAGTTATATCTATGAAATTAATTGACACAGGCTTTTCCAAAGCCCTGAACTCAGCCACATCAAACATCATTAGCATACCATAAATAGTATAAATTTTGATAATAGAAGATTCCAATAATTCCTAGAGTTCTCTCTTTCATTGTCCAATATATCTTCTTTTTGACAGGACTTTTACATACTAATTAGAAAAATGAGGTAATATCCTTTCTGAACTTCTCTATCACAATAAGATGAAGTTGAAGAAGATGATCTTTTCTTCAAAAAGATTACTTTGTTGGGGATAAAATATCCCCAGTCACTTTCTGCAACATGTTCTTTTGAAAACTGCAAAACTCAGGGTGGGCTTAGTCTCACTAACATAAGAATCATCAGTTTAACCTTGATCATCATATCATTTCACAGTTGATGCAGAATCTGATTTGCAGAAGCATCATCATTACAACTGTTTATTATGTAAATAAACATGAACAGGAAGAATAAATTTAGAAAAAAACTAATAACAATATTTAGAGAAATATTTCTTTATCTAAACTTCAAAATGAATTATAACATTTTTTATTAGTTCAATACTTTGAAGCTTAAACTTCAAATGAACAAAAGGAACATTCTTTCACAACAGGTCACCCACAGAATTAACAACTTTCTTTCACATCTTAACTTCAACAGTTAACTTCTAAAGGTCACAAAAAAGTTGAAAAAGCAAACGAAATATACAAACCTTAAGAAGCTTTAACAGCTCCTTCATAATTTGATGCTGAGTAATTTTGTACACCCATGTTGGCCGTCTTCTCACAATATGACCCAATAAAGTTAAAGCCTGAAGTTTTAAAGGGCCTTTCAATGTATCAGTAATCCTGTATGAGACACAAATGATTGGTTCACAAAGCGTATGCTTTGAATTTCAAATAAATCAGTGGTAAATGATGCGTTAAGAATTTCTGTATATCTTACTTGTCAAAAAGATGTTTATCATGAGGTTCTCTCACGCCAACTAGAATTTCAACAGAACGCATAGAACTGGTTGATACATAGTAATCGAATAATCCATTGACAAGCCATGATTCTTTGGCTGAAACAAGATACATTGCACCACTAACAGTTTCATAAACACAAAGGAATGAAAGCACTGTAATTTAACTAAAATACCTGAAAAATTTACAAACACAAAAAATATTCTTTAAAATCAAAATCATTAATAAGATTTAAATCAAAACATTCTGGATTCTAAATTGCAGATTTACAGTCCCACCAAACTACTTCAAAAACTTCCTTTCACATTCATAAATCACAATCCTTATCACTAATAATACTCCTTACTTGCATTAAAATTCTCATGAAAGGTTTTTTTGATCTCTTCAACGGTATGAGGCTGATTTGATTCAAGCTGATTAAACAGTTCGGCAATTTCCATTGTGTTAAAGGTTTCATCAAGCCAAAGAAGAGGAGCTCTTAGCTACAGACCTCAATTTAAATTTTAATTTTTGATGTAAGTAATTTCATGGTTGCATTTCCAATAACATCTGCAAAAGATCAAAATTCATATATACTTCTTTAGTTACTATTAATATAAATATATTTTGCTCAACATAAATATATATCTATATAAATTGCTATCATAGCTTACAGTTAAAGAAAAAAGGTACTACTAATGTTCACCACAGGCATATTATTTTCACAATAATATTTAAATGTAATTTAAAAAAGGTGACAATTTTTTCATCAATTCTACACAGCGTACAAAACTCAAGTTGAAAACTTTATCTAATATAATAGTTTTTAAGCAATGAGATTCCTAAATAAAAATTACAAAATTATAGCAGACTAAAAAAATTTGAAGTGACATATTTATTTTCTGAGATTTCTTATATTTTCTTAACAAATTTATTCTCTGAAAGCATCCACAAAATTATAACTCCCAAAATCATTTAAGTTTCATAATTTTTCTGCCTTCTCACCCAGCTCAAATAATTTCTCATAAAAGTAAGAATTAGACCATTCTCATATTTAAAACATGAGTATACAAAAAATCAAAAATTAATAAAAAATTATTAATATAAAATTGTTATTGACTGACAGACAAATTGTTAATATTTTATAGTTCAAAATAAAAACTCCTTCCCCACGAGAAATGTCTGCACTCAAACGTTATTCAAATATCATTATTGGTAAGATGACACCTCAACAACACTCCTTGACAATTTTTAATTTCTTGATTTAAAGCACATGGAATACTGGTTCATTGCCCAATAATAGGACTGGAAACTTATTCCTAAACCAAAGGTGGTATTGATGATTACTTACAGTTTGCATAGGTTAATCCTTTAAACTTTGGTAAATTAGAAAAGTTATTCTTTTATTAATAATGTTTTTTGTTTTTTCTCAAGATTTCTACTACGTAAATCTTAGCCAACTAAGTAGTACCAATGTCAAAAGTTAGTAACAATAATTAGTATCTAATGTTGAAGTTTATCTTTCCAAATGATGAATAGATACTAATTTGGCACGATACATTTTTCAGTACTATCTCTCGAATTACTTTGAAATCATCAACATTCACAATTAAATTTTGATATTTTCCACAAACTGGTTCAAAAGCACGATAATAAATGTCAATCGGCAGTAACCCAACATTAGCACCATTCGTAAGATGTCAAGAAGAGGCTTATCTACAGAAAGATCATTCCACCTTACATGCATATCATTTTCGTGCGTGCCGGTGACAATCTCTAATTCAGTAACGCATAGCAAGGGGAAAATAGTCAATAACCGAATCCTAGGAAGAGCACGAATAAGGTCTTTGGATTCCATTGCAGTTCGCTTGTTTCTTGTTGGAGAACGAGTTTGTAACTCCATAGATTCCAATAGTACACTACAATTAATATCAAACTAGCTAAGTAAATTACCATTTCATCCTTTCTATTGTAGTAATCCTATCGCTTGCTATGTTGCTACTGAACAATCATTTGGATTTCAGTGAACACTGGCGAACACCTGGGAATAAAAAGTACTTCAAGTCTTTCGCGTGAGCCTGACTAATCACCGTACCAAAAGTCCCTAAAACTAAGTCTCCAGTGGAAGAACATTCCTCCTAGAAAAGATGAAAAGCAAGAAATATTAAATAGTAAAACAAAAATCTTGTATGACATTATTTCTCTTTCTAAGTTAATTTATTGATAAACCAACAAACTAATAGAAAATCTTTAGTTCCTTTTTTGGAATCATGGTGGCGATACTTTACGCGCCTCCTTCAAAATAGATGTATACATTTTATTGTTGTTCCTTAATAATGTCGTGCAATATTTTGGACTTTCTATTGTTTATATTGAATTTTGCTTTATAGAGTCATATTTTCATTCGTATCTCTCCTTATTTTCCGAGAATAATTTGAGCATTTGAGTTAAGGACGAAGAAAAGCTCTTGTGGAAAAAAATATATTTTCTTTAAACTGCTATTTGCCGATTATATCTAGGTTCTGAAACCATATCATCTTGAATAAGTTTATTCATTTCATGCATCATATAATTCTGAAATATCTGGTACTCATTTAATACTTGGTGAGTAACCTTAACACAAAATTAGACTGTGCCTACAGAGAAAATGGTGTCTCAAGGCAAAGTTATTGTTAATTCTGTATCTTCATGTATATTTCACATTGCAATTTGATTTTATCTTAATCTCCTTATAAGAAATATCATAATGTATCAAGAGCTAAGCATGTATAATAGAGAACCGATTACAAAATCTTGAGGCACCTTACGAAGGTGGGAAAGTACTCTTTTGATAGCTGAGGATTGATATTTAAATTGGAACCCCACAACATGCTGTGGGAAGGGGGGGGGGATACTCGCCCAAAATTTGGTATCTATTGTAAAGCCCCTTGACCACATAGAAAAATGGTTCAGGGCTCATTTAAAAGTTTGGGGAGCAGTTAAATCTTCAAATTGGGCTGTTAATATCTATGATGTACTGGTTTGTGTTTAGTTTGATTTCTTCACAGATTATTTGCAAATTTTGGTTCTCAATTAGTGTGCAATATAATTACAATTAATGTTGTTACAAATCACTGTTGTTTGTTGTTTCAGGTATCATAATGTGAAATAAACAACTGTTCATTTAAATTACTGGCAGGTAGAGAAAAATTGTAGTGAGAGTCATATAACAATGAAGGTATACAACATTCCATAAACTTATACATAGGTGTATGCAATCTAAATCAAGAGGGGAACAACTACATTTCTGAGCCCCTCAGGCCCCCTTTTACTTCTAGCTTTTTATTTCCTCATGACTTATTAGGAAGTAAATGAAGCAAACAAGGATGATGAAATTATAACTTTAATTGTACAATTAATAATAATACAGATAATTTTATGAAGCACAATTTACAGGGTTGATACAGGTCTCTTTGCCAAAAGCCACATATAAATATTCCAAATTGTCAATTTAATAATGGGGAAGATGAGGAAATTATCATATTAATGGGTAACAAATATTTTAGTATACACAGTTGCAGGGTCCCTTTAGAAAAGCTCAAGGGCACCATCCGCCTCTCCCTCACTCCCTCTGTGTGCACACCTATGAAAATACATAAATGTATTATATGATGAAATAATATAATTTAACTTCTAATTTTTGCAGAGAAGAAGAATTATTAACCAAGAACAAAGTAAAGGTGGTAATCTTTCAGAAAATCAGAAAGGTACCCCTAATATGGCAAGTACTGGAGGAAACCAATTGAATGAACCACCATGCATGTTGAATACTGTATTCGAAGTACTACTTCCTTTAGAACCCAAAATATCTGGAAATCATTCATTTGATTGCAATAGAATAGGGAATGAAAACACTTTGACCAGCATGATGCTCGGAAAAGCACAATTTAACTTCTGTAAGAATTGTGGAGGTCTTGAAGATTATTGCAAATGTGCAGGATCTGGTGATTTTGAGAAAGCTGTAACTTATAAAGAGTCTATTAAAAGTAAACTGGGACAAAAAATATCAGACAATGTTGCAACAAAAGATGTAGTTAGTGACAGAGAATATGAATTGAGTTCTCAGGATGAAAATTTAGAACAAAAAAACTCATCCAAACAGGAAGAAAGATATTTTACACCTTCAAGCTCAGTAGAAAGTAATCACATTCAAGATTTAGATACAAAACAAAACAACAAAATGCCCACTTTTGTTGAGGATTTGCACAAAACTGATATTGAAGTAGATTCCAGGATTGATGAAACATTTGAAGAAAAAAGTGATAATGAAACAATGCATGTACCAAATACAGAAAGTTCCATCGAATTAGAAAACTTCACAGAAAATGAAAATGTAAGATATTTTTTGAAAAATACAAATGATTTAAAAAAGTATTCAATTTATCAGCAGAAAGTGATAGAGAATTTGTGAGTTTGAGTGTATGCAAAACTTGAAAAGTTATTGTATTCAAAATCCATCCATGGTATTATTTTATTATGCTATTTAATATTTGTGTAGCCAAAGGTACTCTCATAAATTTTTGTTTTAGACTAGAACATTTGATTTTGTATTAAAGCAGACTGCAAAATCCCAAAAAGTAGTTCATCAGACTTTTGAAAAGCAAGAATGTTCCAGCATGTTCCAGCAATAGTGTATTCTAATTTACAGCTATTAATGAATACAACAGACAATCAAGTGGTCATTCTCTTTCAGTAATAGTGGAAAGAAGTGGTGATCAGATAATATATTCAAATGGTTGAAAACTGAAAACAAATAGAAAATTATTTTTCATTATTGTCAACTCTAAAGAATACATTTGCTTGTGATTTTAATATTAAGTTTAATATTGCATTACATTGAGGAGGTAGAAATCAAAGGAAATACATTTTTAATTATGTATCTTCATAGATCTTTGTCATTGCTATCAAAATTTTATATCATGGCATAGGAAACAGTCTCAATATTGTTTTGATTTTTTTTAAATCTGCCTATTTTAGATAACCTAGGTATTATCTATGAATTATTTCTGAAGAATCTTTTCTTTTTTTATCACTTCAGCCAGAGCAGCCATTAGTAACTGAAGTTCTTAGATGGTCTTAACTTCTGTGACTTCAAGGAGCATATTTAAGCAATTTGGCTAACAACACCAGCTATTCTATATTCAATACTATTTTTTTGATCTATTTAACTGATTTTCAACAACTTTTAATATATTTTGCACCTTTTTGTTACATAATTTACATCTAATCCAAATGTTATTTCTCCTCTCTACTCATTTTCCCTGTTTTTCCCTCTCTCCCTTCCTATTTTTTCTCATATAAAATTAAGTTTTAAAGCTCCTGTCAGAATCATTTGCTTATACATAAAAGTAATTTGTATAAACCATGTTGACCTTTGTTACAGACAGAAGGAATAATAGGAAGTGAATTAGTCTCCAAAATTGAGGAAGTATCATGGGCAGATGAACAGAAAAGTGAGGTACGTTTGTTTTGATAAACATAAATACATTACAAAATATTGTATAAAAGTCAAATATATTCACATAAAACTGTACGATATACTGAGTCCTATTTATTAAACACTAATAAATCCTAAAATGGCATTAACATTACCTATGTTGGGTCCGGCAGTATTCCAATGCAGTGTATTGTTATTGGTAGAATACACTATTGCTGGCAGTGTATTGGTATTGCCTTGTTGATCGGTCAAGTCATAAGTCATTGCCTTTTATTCCTACCAGCCAGGATCTAAACGCCTTTAGTATCCACAGTTTCCAAACGGTTACGCATCCAGGGATGTGTGGTGTCTTGAGCTCCTTAACTTCCGTGACTTCACAAAGCTTGATTAAGAAGTTTGGCTACCGATGAAAGTTAAGGGATGGGAGCTGCATGTTGCATCATCATGGTTGTAGGTAGTGAGGTGGGTGCACTGCTAAAATGACCCTGTGTGTCTAGAAAGCAACCTGCCTCAGAGCAGAAAATTTCTTGGTATGTAGTTGTAGATGCACACAAATAGAGGTAAAAGAATGTGATGAACATAAACACCTACCTGCATTAAAAGCTCTACAAAGAATTACAAGGAAGAACTACAGATATTTGCTAGTAATTAATTTTTCAGTCTTGAGTTGATACACACTTTAATGAAGAAATCTACCCATTGAGATAAAAAATGTGAAAGGCAATACTGTTTTCAGTAACATTTCTGAAAATCGTGTATCATGATTATCAAAATGACTTCATTAATATGAAATTATATGGGGTTTTTACCCTTTATTTCCTTACAGCATTAATACATCTTTTAAGCAAGTGTGGTGGAGGAACAGTATTTATTGTTAATGCACTTCAAGGGGAGCGGATGTATTTGACTGTTGGCCACACTATAAAACTGAAGTGAACATTTCACATAATACAAAAGGGCTCTTATTCACTTATGGTTATTCTTTTATTATATAAATGAATATTTTAATTTTTTAGATAAATACTTCTACAAGAGTACCTTCAGAAGATGGAGACAACCTAGGAAATGATGGTTTGCAGGTCTTTGAACAAATGGATCTGGATGATATTCACCTAGAAATTTCTCCTAAATTAGATTTACCTCTATTAGAAGAACTCAAGGAAGCTGACAAAAAATCAAAAAGAACAGCACACTTAATTAACCAGATCAAAGAGTCTATAAAAAAATTTCAATCTGTAAGTTGTTATCTTTTGTACAAATTTCAGCAAAAACATTCCCCTACTATTTAGAAAGCTTGAATGCTTCAAACATTAAACAAACTATGGACTGCTCAGAGGTCAATTCAAGTAAGTCATTCAATCTTGAGACTGAGAAATTGACGGTTTTATTCACCATCATCAACAACATCATGAACTATTAAGGTTGTAGGCCTGTTCCTTTGATCCCTTATTCCCTGCTGAGTCACTGCTGAGGTGTTCCAGGTTGTCCTATTGTTTCCTTAGCCTCTCTGGTTCTCTTTTTCCTCTTGGCTTCAGGATATGTTTAGGAAATCTGTCTGGTTTGTTCTGTTTGGCTCTACATGATCTTTGGTATCTTTCAATTTCTTAACAATGATTTTAATTTTCAGACTTTTTCTTACTTCTAATTTTTTTCTTTTCTTGACACTTCTGTAAGTGTATCTTAGGCATTCTGTCTGGGCTGCTTATTTCTGGCTTTTTGTTTTAAGATCCATATTTCACTTCCATATGGGTTGGTTTTGCTGCAATGTTGTGGAGTCTTTTTTGTTTCTTAGTCAGAAGGTTTTACAGTATACTGACAGTTACAGTTTTTAGTGAAACAAACTATGCTGGTAGCAGAAACTATGCTAGTGAGCACTTTTGTAAATATAGACTTGTGTGATTGTGCCTCTGAAAGATAACATCATTTAGCATTGCAATCATCATGTAAGTCAAAATTAAAAATCAAGTGGCTTACTGGATATGGCTCTGTGCTGTCCATACATGAAGTAAATAATTATTTTGTCACTCACAAACAGATTTTCAAGGAAAAACATGAATTAACTACAATAATGTGATAATGCTAGCTCCCTTAAATGGATGCTTTATTAGAGCAAAAGTTCGCTAATGGATTTATTTGCATTATGGCTTTATAATAAGACAAAAGGAAGGTGTTTTAAACAAATGAGTAATATTGTTTTAACTAAGATTTTCATGTAAAATAATCAGAAATAAATAGCACACAGATAATAAAAATAATAACTTTTTGCAATTGTAACATACAGTCTGAATGATACACATCACCAAAAATTCATGTTGCTTTTGAACCACTTGGCTAACACTTGATGCAAAAGCAATTCTACTCATTTCCCTATGATGTCCATATCAATCTCCTTTCATTAATCTATATTATTTCATGACTTATCATACACCTTAATGAAAATAATTGATGTATCATAAAATTTTGTTGAATTCATTTCTGCCTTCTATATTTCAGAAAGAAAATTTAACTGAGGAGGATACATTGGTAATTAAAATTAAACAAGTTGAGCTAGCAAAAAAGCTTGCAGAATTTGAAGAGATTACCAGACGAGTGCAAAACCTTGTGGGCTTAGCAGAGTTGAACAACATTGAACATTCTGTAACAGTATCAAAAATTGATGATCAAACAGAAATATCTAAAAGTATATCGTTAACTGAATCAATGAGTACAGATTTACCAACTGCTGAAGTAAATGAAGAAAAAAGTAAAGATGAATCACCTGAACCAAGTGAAGCTGAACATAATTTTGTTTCTGAAGATAGAAATGAGGATTCTGCTAAAGTTGAAGAAATGGAAATTATTCACACAAAAAATAGTTTTTCCCCACTCATAAGTGAGGATAAAATATCTTTCTTGGGAAAAGACAATGAAGTGACAAATTTTTTAATGATGGACAAGATCATTCCAAAAGTAATTGTATGTGGATCACAAGATAGTATGCCAAGAGTGATTGTTTGTGAAAAACCAAATACTCAGCCAGCTTCTTCAACAAGCTACATTCAATCTCCAATATATCCTGAGTTTGTTCCTCCCTTTCCATTTAAGGAAGCTCCTCTCTTTGACAAGAAGACAGAGGTCCCAGTAAGTGTTCCCAAATTAATTTTAATGTTCAAGATTCAAAATGATCATTATGTTAAATGAAAATTGTCCTAAATTTCAGGAAATGATGATTTCTCTTAGTGGCCGTTTGAGTGAAAGTTATATACTGCAGGAGAAACTGGCAACAGAAAATGCAGTGCTTGAGGATGGAAGGTAGGTCACTTACAGAAGGTATACAAATTGGAAAAAATTATAGAGCAAGAGAAACTTATTTTGATGTAATTTTTTTTTTTAAAATTTCCAGAACTTGTTTTTTGTATCTCTTTATGAGAACCAATACTGTATTACATTGTTTGAGATGAAAGTTCATTCTTGATTGTTGCTATGAAACAATACTTGAAATAATTGATTATTCCTGTTATTGGCCTTTTCATGCTTTTAAGCATACACATTTTGTATCAATATTTCTCAAAATGTGAAAAAAAATCATTTACAACAAACCAAAATATTTTCTTGAGTAAAATCCACAGAGAACAATGAAATTGGTAAAATGCAATGTCCATCTAATTTCCTTTTTTAAACATTCGCTTCTTCAAAGATTTATTAATTAATTTATTTTTATTAATGTTGTATAGTACCACCTTAATTCTGACATTTAGAAGGGAAAGACAAAATTTACATTTAATTGAATTTGACTTTGTTAGAACATTTCATACATTTTTCTAGAACTATATTACTATTTCTATAAGGTACTTTTTGCAAGAAGAGTTATTGAAACGAGATAATATTGTGGATGCCCTACAAAAAAAAGTAGGATGTCTGCAGAGTGAGATGCGAATAATTGCTAAAGAAAATATAGCATTACAAGAAAAGTTAGAAGAATTTAACAACATGGTAAGTATTAAAATAGAACAAGGACATTTTTTTAAAATTTGTTGCGTTGTAATTATTTACAAAACAGCGTATTATGAAATTAGATAATTAATTTAGCCAAGAAGTTAGCAGAAATACATTAATGAAGTGGTGGGAAAATTATTAAACAGAAAAGCAGATATCTGCAGAATAATTAGTTTTGTCCACTTTGCACCTCAAGTGGTATAGTGTCATGATAGTTCAGGCTTCTGGTAGTTTGTTTATCGTGGGATGAATCATGAATCAGCACTGATATAAAAAGTTCTAGAAATACAAATTTTATTTCAATTACAGCAATGGTTCATTAAAGATTATTTTGTCTTTATGTACAATTGACCATCGTATCATTAAACCAAATCAACTAAAAAATATTGGATGAAATCATTGTGAATACATTGTAATAGTCTGAAAACAATGAACTCTATAAAGAATCTGAGGTAAATTATGAAACTGAAATTGAACATATTCAAAATTACAACTGGGGATAACTAGTCAACCAGATTAATAGAATATAGCAAAATGATCCAAGGATTTTAGACAATTGTCCACAGTTTATCTATTTCAGAGAATGTTAAATTGTGAGGAACGGTTTACAGAAGATGCATCAAAAATATTAGTTTGTCTTGAAACATACAAAGAACAAAACGCAATGTGTACTTGTTACAAGATTGGTTAACTACAGATACATAAAATTAGTGAAGTTTCTTGTATATAATCCCCAAGTATACAATATTATCTGCTATCTATCTACCTATCTAAGTATTGGTAGTGTTTATTAAGGTGTTATATATTGGATTGCATCAGGATTTGGAAAACAATTTACTGGTTTAAACTACGGGAACCAACCAAATTTTTCACCCTGTGTAAAGCGGAATGCATTGACCCTTAATGGGATCTACATAGGCTATAATAATAACAATAACAAGATATGTCCATAACACCTCTGTGGTTGGTGAAACTGATGGGCCAAAAAGAATACAGGAAATCAAGAGAGAAATGTTTCTTCACATACAATTGTTTTACCCTTGTAATGAGCACTTTTATTACATTTTGTCAATTGTTTGTTGACCATGACATTATAATTCTACTTTGTCAAATCTCTAATAATGCTCCCCTCATTAAAGATGGTCACAATTTCAAAGAAACTACTTCCAAGTATTAAAAATTAGTTCTTACTCCATGCTTTTGAAAAGTACTACAACTTAGTATGTACAACTGATGTATGTAGGAAAATAATTTTCACCTATCAGTAGAATAGAAGGTTCTATCAGATAGAGTCCATGTATTTATCCTTGCTCTCAAGGAGATGCCATATCTGAGGCTGAAAATCACTTTAAGGATGCATCATTTTCCTGTCAAGAAAGACAAACACTGAGTCAAATAACTATTTCTTCTGAAATTTTGAAAATAATTCTTCTGAAAAACTTGATGTTTTTGAATTGTGGCTTTGAGGGTGTAATAAACTGGGACATGTATTCCAAAAATGTGGAGAATATTCACAATTGATTTCTTAAAATGTAAAATTTTGAAAATTTTTTCATTCATTTTGTTTCTCTTTGCATGAGGATTGTGGCTGCAATAAGAAGACAAAAGCAACTGGGAGGCCAATGCCTCCTTGCTGTCCTCCATATCCGAATAACAATCTGGTAACTTTTTTTTACTAATAGTACATAGGTTCTTTGTTCTCTAAATCATTATGTATGCTTCTAAGCTGACACTATTGTGTATATTTTTAAATAGGAAAGACAATTAAACATGATTGAAGGTGAGGTGAGGAACATGCAAACTGAATTACAACAGGTTCAAAAGGAGCGACAGCAATTAGAACAACAGAGAAAACAACTTAAACCAGGTGGAGGTCAGAAACCAAAGCTTCCATGTATACCTCAGACATGCACATGTGGTCCTAATGCAGGAGTAAGTGGAATACAACAACTCACTCTTTCAAAATTTTTTACATATTACTTTATTAATGTAGACACAGTGTTATAAATATTTCCTTTTGTTGTGAGAGAGGGGAGAATGCAGAACAAAGTCTGCGTGAACTGAGAGAACAATATGCAAGATTGGAGGACGATTTTAAAAACAAAGTAGCAGAAGTGTCATCTTTGCGCCATGAATTAGAAAAGTGCAGATGTAAATGTCAAGCAGCTGAAGAAGCTCAAGAAGCTGCTGAAGCAGAATGCAGATGTTACCAAACTCAGTTGAAATCTGCTGAACAAGAAGCAAAGAAAGTAATGCAAAAATGTTAATCCGTTTAAAAATAAATGTTATAATAAGTTGTGAGTGAAATTTTTTTATTATGTTGCAGATGTTAAGTGCGAAAGAGCAAATGATGGAACAAGACCAACAATTATGTGTTTGTAAACAGAGATTTCGAGAAGCACAAGATGAGTTGGAAGAGCTTCGAGCTCTGATCCAAGATCAGACAACACAACTTGAGGACTATAGAAATAAAGTTAATTCATATTCCCTTTTTAATAAATTTAGTCACGTTTTATATTCTATGAATAATTTGAAATCTTATTTTCTTTTTTCAGTATTTACAAGCTCAGCAGCAAGTAGAAGAACAAAGAAGGCAGATTGATGTCATGGAGATGGAGAACAGTCGAATTAGTGACCAAGTTAACTTAGAAATACAGAGAGTAAAGGTAAAATTCATCACTAATAGCAAGCTTTGGTTTAACAATCCTGTTATTTAATATATTATATAACATGAACTTCTTTGTAGAAGTTAATAATTCTATGAACCTGGCAGGTGAAAGAAAGAACTTTATCCTCTTTTTTTTTATCTTGGTCTTGATTATTTTAATAAGTAAAAATAATTTTTTGTGCATAAATTGAATAAATTAATATTCATAGTTTTATTTATTGTAAAATAAAATTTAAAAATTAATTATGAACAAATTTCAATAGTTTTTAAAATTAGTGTTTGATTTTCCTTTTAAGGAAAGAATAAAGTTGAATCAAATACTTTGAAAATAGTTTGTTTCTTAGGGTTCTTTTTTTTTATGAATAACTTGTAAAGTAGTACACTGGATGGTTCTCAGTTCAAGTCTTGACAGTGGCATATTTAAGATATCAGCTATCTGTGTCAAAGTCAATTATAATAATAATAATAATAATAATAATAATAATAATAATAATAATAATTAAATTAATAATAATATAATAATAATAATAATAATAGATAATAATAATTAATATAATAATAATAATAATACATAATAATAATAATAATAAAATAAAATAATAAATAATTAATAATAATAATAATAATAATAATAATATAATAATAATAATAATAATAATAATTATAATAATTAATAATTAATAATAATAAATAATAATAATAATAATAATAAAATAAATAATTAATAATAATAATATAATAATAATAATAATAATAATAAATAATAATAATAATAATATAATAATAATAATTAATAATAATAATATTAAATAATAATAATAATAATAATTAAAATAATAATAATAATATAATAATAATAATTCCCCGTGTGTCGGGATTTTAGTAGGATTAGCACCACCTGACCTCCCGCCTGTCGTAGAAGCGGACTAATCTGAGCAAGCGTCGCTGTCAACTCCCCTAAACATCCGTCATTCCCACAAAACTCTGTGTGTCAGTGCTTTCCACTACTTGTGGCACACCATTGTTTTTCGTCCAGTAGGCCAATCTTGTAGCGGCCAAACTCTTGTTGTTCCGCCCGACGCTATTAGTTGCGGAGGGCTAGGATCGTTTCCATTCTACCCTTCTATTTCTAACTCTTGCTTCTCTGTCCCCCCTTGTTCCTTCCATTTCCTTTAAAGCTGGCCGGTAGCTCAAAAACGCTAGGGAAGGTGACCCTGAGAAAAAACCAAGATGGGGATCTGTCGGATCGCAGGTTACGGTGCAGGGGATCGGAGCCCCAGTACCGGCGGTCGGTTGGTGCGCAGCAGGCCCACGGGCGTTTCGTCACCCAGCGACTTGCAATGCCGAGGGGCGGATCACTCGCACCCACTGCAAGATAGTGCTACGAGTGATAGCAAGCTTCCGGGACTCGTATGGAAGTCTGCGAAACTAGGGTGAGGGAAACCCGTTAAAAAACCCTCGTCCAGAAAAAGGCCCGGAGTTCAAGCCAAAGAATGAAAGTTGGAAAATCAACAAAACTCATGGATAGACCTGTTCAAGAACACCGCAGCAATACTAAAGGTACCTTACAGTAAAAAGAACTGAAGGAATTTCAGATAAAGTAAGCCCGTTATAATAGAGGGAGTATTAGCACCTGCGCTGGATCTGCCGTAAAAGACATACAGAAAAAACCTTATCTGACTCTTGGTAGAAACAGTTAATGACAATCAAGGTAAAAATTACTAGAATTGAAGAAAATAGGCACTATAGATGTTGAAGTAAGTTGCTCACGGCACACTGAATACCTTCAAAGGTTGTGTAGTTTGCAGTTGACTTACTAAACTGCATGAAGAGAAATAGTTCAAGAAACTAGCTTCTTCAGGAGTCATTGCCTGTCGTAGGCTAACGAATGAGGGCGGTATGGACATATAATTCCTTCAGCGTCCCATGTCCTGACGTTCAAGCGTTGTACGTTACCAGAGAAGATTAAAGCAGGCATTCATTCGTCTAACCGTACGATATGCTTCATTCCCTCAACCCAATTGCCAGTGTTTCCAATGGTTTACGAATTTGGACACCCAGTATCTAGATGGCGAGAATGAAAGTATGTCATTTGTTGTTAAGCCATTTCATAGTGATGATCCATGCCTAGATCTATCAAATGCGATTTAATTGCATGGACAACAGTCATCGAGGTCAGAGACTGCCCTATATATAAGCAGGGAGGCAGCAATTCAACAAGTTAAAGCCAGACAAAAGATCAGCTATACTGAAGCAAAAAACTTTGGGTGGCAGTTTTTTTTCTTTGGGAAAAAAAAAAATTTTAAAAATGGTATATTACATACGGGGAAGCAGTTTTACTTAAAAACAACAAATTTACGCCTTCTTTTATAGTGAAATGAAACTAATGCCTGCAATAACCCGATTGCATTAGAAAGTACTTCAACGAAATTCACAGAGAATAAAATCAACACAGAAGAAAACTTAACTCAAACCGACTCAAAAGTGAAATGTAAATGAAAAAGAATCTTCAAGACCCCCACCCAAGATGAGGCAGAAAAGTAATCCAGTAGCTGCGGCTGCAGCCATACCCTGCAAAGAAGTATCGACAACAGGCTATCGAAGTTGCGACCGCCTCATTCTCCTAAGAACCCACCGAGGACAAAACTTCCTCAAAACAAAAAATGAAAATCGATGACCATATGATCAAGGACACAAACCACTGGTCTGAGACAGTTCGATGTAGCAGTGCTGAAAATAATTGATACCATATCCATCGATCTTATGCAAAAACTCGCGTAGAAGAGAAACAAAAGGATGCCATAAAGGAAAACCAAGAAAAATAAACAAGATCTACGTATTCTTATCAGCAGAAAAACGCCATCCAAACCATGGAAAATATAATTTCAGTGAATACAACGGCTGTTTTCTCGCTTTACTGTTGAGCTGAAATTGCTACTGGCCAATCACACACCAATGTGTGATGTGCTTACAAGAAACTCATTTAAACCAGAAGACCGTTTCAATCTTTAGAGGATATAAAACTTTCGCGATGACGTAGAACCTTGAATTAGACGAGCTGAGAGGTGGTGGTTGCCATATTGATCGCAATACTCATCTGCTAGTCGTCTTGATCTCGACACACCTCTACAAGCGTAGCTGTACCCTACACAAGCCATTGAGATTGACCGGTATGGTTGATATACTTACCGATGCCTCATGGCGAAATTGAAGATCTATACAAAGACCTGATCCATCAACGTTACAAGACTCCATTTCTAATTCTAGGCGACTCAATTGGCTCACAGTACCACATGGGGCTGTTGCTAGGACAAATGATGTCCGGTCGCAGATCGATGAACCTGCTAACTTAACAACGAATACGTACTTTAAACACAGAGCAAAAGCACTCATTTTAATGCTAGAAATGGCTCATTCTCAGCCATAGATCTCTCAATATGTAGTCCAAATCTTGCAACTCGGCTGACGTGGAAACCACTGCCAGATCTTCATCAGATGATCACTTTCCTCTGTTGATATATTCAAAACATGCCAAAAAAACAGTACACTTACCAAAACGTTGGTGTACAACCGCGCAGACTTGGCCCAGCTTCACCAGACAGGATATACAACAATAAATGTCAGTTTGGAAACTCAGAGGAAGAGCGTTACCGATTTCACCAACACTGTCTATCTTCCGCTGTTAAAATACATTCCACAGACTATGGCCGCTCATCTTGAGTATTCCAGTTACCATGGGAATACGGAGACCAAAGAAGCAATAAGGTGAAAAGAAAAGCCCTCAATTAGATATAGACGTGCACCAGACCCAAGACAATCTTATTGCTTTCAAGGCGTTCTGCGTGCGCGCGCTCGCAGAAAAATACTAACAGCAAAACGATCAAGCTGGGAAAAGTACGTTAACAACCATAACTCGGAACGACCAAAGTCACGGAAATTATGGCAGAAAAATCCGCTCAATAGCTGGGAAAAGTTTTCAGTCGAATAGACATGCCAGTGAAACAGAGAAGGACAACTATATGCAAACCCTGAAACGAAATAGCCAGTGCATCTAGCGACCCAAACTCCAAAGCCAGTGACACAAGTAGCTATCCAAAGACTTCTCGACAAAAAAGAAAAGGGGGGAAAGGAAAAGGGAAGGAAAAAAAACCCCCCAAAAATTACTTTGGGACTTTACAACCGAAGATAGCGTATAACGCTCTTTTTCACCATGGAGAGAAATTGCAAAGACGCATAAATGCAGCTGGAGACACCGCAGCAGGACAGACAATATCCCTTACAGCATTATACAGTCGATTACCCGAAGAAAAATACTTGTCCACTTTGTAAATTATATACAATAACATTTGTACACAAAGTAATACCCCAAAGTCTGGAAAGAAGCGATAATTTAATTCCAATTTTAAAAGCAGGCAGATGAATGAAATCCTGAAAAATTATTCGCCCGGTATCGCTGACATGCTGTCTAGGAAAAATATTGGAGAAAAAATGGTCAACACCGCGCTAAACATGGTGTCTCGGAGAAACAAACTTCTTAAATACGATCAGTGCGGATACAGACAACAATCACTCACAATCGACCAGCCAATATATCTGAAAAACGCAATTCTGAATACCTTCATCAAAAGAAAACATATGGTTACCGTATTTTTTGACCTGGAAAAATCTTTCGATAAGACCTGGCACATAACATTCTGCAGAAGCTATTATAACCTGGCAAATAAAGAGTATCTACCAAAATTTCATTATCAGCTGCCTTAGTACCAGATCTTTCCCAGTTCGCGTTGGCAGTCCATCTCGAAAAGCTACGAACTAGGAGAACGGTGTACCGCAAGGTTCTCCATTGAGTGCCACGCTCTTTATCATAGCGATTAACGGATGTTTGACCGGCATAGAAGCGTCAATAGAAAATGCATGTATGTAGTGACATTGCGATATTTTACCTCAGCCAAATCACTTGGGATGGTCAATTTCAAAAATGCGAAAATGCCAATCAATAAATTAGTACAGAACGCAGAAAAACATTGGTTTCTCATTTACAGCAGCGAAACGAATTGCGTCCACTTCAAGTCGGAAAAGAAAAGTTAAGAGATCCTGAGCTTGACGCTTGAATCGTGTTTCAACTGGCATACAATGAACGTTCAAAATTCCTTGGCTTGATTTTTGATAGGCAGTTACATGGAAACACATATAAGAATATACCTTGCGTAGAGCAAAAACTTCTGAATGTAATAAGATGCATTGCCCATATTAAATTGGGGAGCAGATAGAGACATCTTATGCGGCCTGTACGAAAAATCCATAGTGGATGTCCAAAATAGATTATGGATGTGCACGTGTAACTCCTCAGCCAGAAAATCAAGTTTAAGGAAACTGACCCCGTCCACAATGCAGGTCTCCGATATTGCATCTGGCGCGTTTCCGCACTATCCTTCCTCAAGCCTCTATGTGAAAACCAGCACCATGTCGCTTACATCACGCGACGACAAACCAAGCCTAGCTGAATTATAGATCAAAATTGCATGCCTCTACCGAAACACTTTAAATCACTCATTGATGACTCGACCTAAGCTTAGTTAAATATTTACGATCAAAGACCTTCGGCAACTCGTCCAGCCACAATCCGCGCAATCGAGATAGCCAAAGTCATACAACAGGCGTCCTACACCAGTTTGAAACACCCAAACCATCATGAAATTCCAGTTTGGCATGTTGAAATGCCCAGAAGTAAGACTCGATACTACCAGTATAAAGAAAAACGCAAAATGCCTCCCCATAGATTTAAAGTTCAGATTTCAATCAGTTCTTCGAAGAATACATGACAAATCACATCATAATCTACAGCAGATGTTCAAAAACAAACATCAGAGTCGGAAGCACATTTTGTAACTGAGAACTGCGTCGAAGGGCTTGGGCCAACTTCCACCTGAAGCAAGTGTGTTTACACCTGCCGATTATACGCCAGTATTGCCAGTCTTTGCGACACTGTGAAAACTCTCGATTCAGGAAGGAGAGCATTGCATCTGCACAGACTCTCTAAGTCTTCTCACTGCAGTAGGAAGGCGCCAAACTGTAGATCCACTGCCTACAAATGATTCTCATAGCATGCCATAAATTAGAGCAGCGAGGAGCATCAGTTACGTTCATCTGGTGCCTGGACACGTGGTATCCTAGGCAATGAAGAAAAGCCATTCTGACAGCACGAAATGCCGGGAATATCCAATCAGAAATGGATTATTGAAATACGACCTCATGGTCTGCAAGAAATGCTGTCTCGAAGTTTGCATCCTCACAGAATGGCAGACCTCGTGGAACAGTCTTCACCACGAAACTACACCCCATTAAACAAAATATCCAGTAAATTTGGCACCAAATGTCAGCTACCTCGACGGAAACCAAGTGTGTTTAACCCGACCAGAATAGGCCATGCAAGAATGACTTCATACATGTAAAGAAATGAAAGAAACTAAACCCATCTGCACTGCGAAGACTTCTGACAGTGAAACATATTCTGACAGGACTGCGTAGATCTCTCTAAGACTTAGAAACAGATTAGCTGCATGAGAGCAACATGAAGATAGATCTCGCACCGACAAGACAGCAATCTGACAAAACAATATAGTTCTTGAAAGAAGCCAAAACTTTCTTTCAAAATTTACATTTATATATGATTAATTCATACATCGATCGAGGTAAAAAGGCTTAAAGGCCTTAGATCTAACTTCAAAACTAACAAAATAATAATAATTAATAATAATAATAATAATAATAATAATTAAACAACAACAACAACAACAACAACAATATAATAATAAATATTAATAATAATAATAATAATAATAATCAATAATAATAATCAATATTTATTGAGTCAATAAACAATTACCAATCGTGTATGACGAGTCAATATGATGCCTTGGTGGAGAGAGCGAAGTTTATATTTACTGTTCAGGAGCAAACAAGGGCCATCTTCAGCATTTGCTCAAAGATCAGGGAAACTGAACAAACCTGCATTCAAGATGGGGTCATTGGCTTAAAATACAATGCTTTTACAGTTAGATTTTAAGATATTATACAGTAGATAAAATTATCTGCCTAATAATAATCATTTCAATATATATTTTAATGCTACTACTTATGAATAATAATTACATTAATAATATTACATCAATAAATAATAATTACATTAATATAATAATTTACATTAGTTATAATAATTACATTGTCAAGTAATACAATACAATTATGTTTGCAACTACATCAAATTTAACAATAGTAGTACATCTATTAATTTATAACTTGAAAATGCGTGAGGAGGCAGAGTTTACAGTTATTCTTCTTCTATTTCAAGGTATGTGATATGCAGTTCTTTTTCTTTGCCTTCCAGCTTAAACAGTTACATGAAACAAAAGTCTAATGAATAAGAATTCTTATCTTATTTATATTTTAAGGGAAATGTAAATTTGAAAAATTCCTTTCACTGTGCGTAGTAGAACATGTTGTAAGCAGGAAAGCTTTCAATTTACTTTAAATGAATTAATTGTGTTTATGTCTTTGTAGTCATTGTTTAGATTTGTTGTAAAGCTGTTTAATGCCCTCTGTAGGTACTTTTTTTTTTATTTAAAAGTGTAGTTTCAGAGATGGGGAACGTGGTAGGTATCCTTTGAGGGGTGTTGTGTTATGTACATCAGAATTTAAAAGTAAAAAGGTCTTTGTTTTCATGAGAATTTCTTGTGAAGACCACTATTTTCAAATATGTACATGCATGCGTAGAGGAAGAATCCTAGTTTATTAAAGAAAGGTTTGCAAGACTCCACTTATGAGTGCTGGTTCATTGTTCGCAGTATTCTTTTTTGGATAATGAATGTGCGAGTGCTTTCAGGGGCATTTCCCCAGAATTACTACCTGGATGAGAATTCTAGGACCAACAGTTCTGATCAGTTCTATTCAGAGCCAATTCCAGGCAGATGTCTGAGTAATATCTTAAATAATGGGTCACAGACTGAACATGATCCACCCTTCTCTCTTGTTCCCCCTTTCAAATAATCTGGTTAACAGGCTAACTCCCATTCTCATACAGGCCATCATCCACCTAGAAAAGATGACAGTTGTGCAAGTATGTGGAAATAAATTAAAAAACCCATAAGGGTTATAACACCTCTGAAAGAAAAAAATATAATGTAGTAAATCCCTTTTAAATGTTGTAATGACTTTATTTGTATGTATGTCTGAATTTTTTTTCTTTTTATCCATTCTTATTATTCTTATTTCTAAAGGCTCAATTCCAAGAAAAGCTTCAAGAGTTAACTCCACTACCTGACATTCTTAAAGCAACTCAATTGAAACTTCAAGAGTGTCAACAAGCTCGCATCTTAGCTGAACATAATGTTGAAGAATTATCTGCTGAACTACAAGCCCAGAAAGATCAGGTATAAAATTGGTTCACGCTCTTGGCCCAGTTTGTCTCAGATACAACCTTTGTTATTTTTTAAATTTTCCCATTTAAATTCAAATCTATTGCATGTTTACAGTTGGATACATTAAAAAGAGAAATGGATGACAATATTACTAGCAGGGCTGCTCTAGGAAATGATGTATTAGAAAAACTTAAAGAATTAGAAGCAAAATGTAATGATTTGAGAGATGAAAATTCCAGATTAAGGTGAGATAAGAACATTCACACTTTTCTGTGACTTGATGTTTAGGCAGATTTTCTCTTCTTGAATAATGCGTTAATGGGAAATTTTAAATAGATCGGAGTTAATACGTTTGGATGAAATTGCTGCCCAAGCCCAGAGAAGACTGGAGGAAAAATCACATGACGCAGCTCAGTTAGCAGCTCAGTTGGACACAGTGCGAGAGGAGTCAGCCAGACAAGTTGCTCGAACTAAAGATCGAGCTGAAACAATGAGGCGTTCACTTCAATGTCAAATATCAGAAATGGAGCGCCAATTAGCTCAGAGTCGAGCTACAGCTAGATCTGCTCAAAAGGACAGAGATGAGGTGCCACTATCATGATCATCACCTCCACCACCATCACATTATTAATTTTATTATTATTATTATTATTATTATTATTATTATTATTATTATTATGATGATGATGATGATGATGATGATGATGATGATTCCGATTTTTTCCTTCTCTTTACAGATAAGGCAACGAATGCAATGCCAAATTAACAATTTGAATGAAAGTTTTGAACAAGCTCAAATGAGAATTAGGAGTCTTCAGTCACATGTCAATTTCCTGAAATCATCCTACAGCAACATCTTTGAACCAAACACCAATACTGCAATTGAATGTGCATGTCCAAATTATGCACAAGAGTTCAATTATTGAAATCTCAAAATCTGTGTTTAAATTCATTCTAGTGTCATTGTTCAGTGAAAGTCTAACCAATGTTTATGTGACATCATTTATTTTCTTATAAATACTCTACTATACATTTGAAATTTTCCTATTTAATTGTGCCAATTTGTTAAAGAAAAGCACGTGATATGTGCAATGTGTATGCTTAAGAAAAAAAGTATAATATGAAACAATTCAATCTGCTACCAACACATGTATTCATTTGTAGAGTCAAACCAAAAGTTTTAATGCCTTGTTTCAAAGTAATGAGGCAGAGAATCAAAAAAAATTTTTAACATTAGTTGTTTTGGATTTGTGATAATAGTACACACATTTTATAGAAATTATTAATATTATAGATAATTCAATTGATATTTTCTTTTCTATTGAACTACATTTAAAAAAATTATTTTGACAAAATTGTTCATTGTGTTCTGGATCAAATGATGCCATCTACTGACAAATTCCCTACATTGTTATCATATACTACTCTAGCCAATTCTTCTTCCACAGAACTAAAGTACTATGTTTGACTTTACTGTGCTTTAGTAGGAATCATCAATCCAAATGGCTAAACTACAACACATCCTTTAATTTACAATTACTGTATCAAATGTCAATAGAAATTTGTCATTCAACTTTCTTTCATTACATCAAACATTTGTGTGCATTTCACTTACATGTGTGGAAATCTATCATGTGTTAGAATGCAAATTATTACTTCATATTGCAATATTAGTTGTTAGGTTTATGTATTATTAAAAAGAAAGTGTGAGAGTAGTGGAATTTTTAATTTTCTATGAAATATTAAGTACGATTTCATAACACTCAAGACAAATCAGACACAAAAATTGACAAAGGATTCCACATGACAAAATTTAAACTGTGTTTTGAATCTCAACACTTGTTACAGAGGTACATTTTTAATAAATGCATTCCATTCTGGTATTTTTACTTTCTCGTTAAAGAGAAGAGAGAAATCTATGTAATGTGTACGCTGCTCGAAAAAACGGAGAATTTTCGGCAGAAAAAAATATTTCAGGGACCTGGTAATAAAAAAGAGGAGAAATCCAGTTGCTAAATTTAGAAGAAAAAAAATCCTCTAATACGTGGTGTAGGTAGAATCCATGTTTTGCGGGTCATTGATGCCGAAAAATCGAATGACGGCGAAACGTCAGTCTCGTCTGTCCGTCCGTCTGCGATCAACGCTAGCAACTAAACCGTTCAGCCGATTTTCTCCAAAATTGATATTCCGCACTCGATCTGGCTGATGTCGCTGCCCCTTGAATTTGAAACCGATATTTTAATTTTGGGAGATACTTTACACGAACTCTTGGGATATTTTCCAATAAAAAAAATTATAAAAAGGCTCCATCCTTTTTGATTAATTTTTTGTTGTTGGACAGGGTGAAGGACGTTTAAGAGAATGGTGCAGGTCTCCTTATCGTTGAAATTCCCAATTTTTCGAAAATTGCAAAAGTTCAAAATTTTTTCAAAAGCTTCCTACAACTTAAATATTACAGATAAAGATTTTTCCCTTAATAAAATATATTTCTTTAAGACAGATTTTGAAATAAGATCTTGTACAATTTTTCGAAAAATTGAGTACTTTTCGTATAATTTTGTGTGAAAATACGAGGGAGAAAGTAGGCTACGTGCTGGTTTAGCACCACTAGTTCGTTACCCCAAATTGCTTTTTATTGAGACCAATATAATCTCACATACTAATATGCAAAGAAGTTTAAATGGTTTTGTCAAATCTGAAATAAACAATTTTTTTCACTAATAGGACCTTATCCCAATGCAGAAAATGCTTAGTGTTTTTTCCTTTATTATTTTGGCTAAAGGAAGTAACTCAGCATTTGCCAGGCGTTTAGCTATGACAATCTTCTGTTTATGAGGAGCAAGTTTGACTTCGATCAATCGTGTAAAGTGGAAATAATTCCATTTACATCACCACAATGCCCCGCCCCACTTCTTCTCTCCACCTACCTCCACTCCTGCCTCTTACTCCCCCCCCCCTCCAGCACTTTTTTTATTTATTTGTTTTGGTTTTTTATTTTATTTTTTTCGCGCGGAGGAGACAATCTTAAAAACAGATTGCAGTGTCCGTATTCTGCACCATGTAGGACTCTTACCACATTAAAAACAACACCGACCTTTTTCCGACCCATAAGTGAAGAAATGTAATTTCTTTTTCAAAATATTTACTATATAATCCTCTATTAATTGCTACTTTTACTTTGTTTCGAGCATATGATCTGCCATATTTGTGTCATGGACAACCGTTGCTAATCTTTGATTTAGCGTGTGTTTCTCGTCCCATGCGACGCAGCCGAAACGAGTATGGTGTGCGTCGTCGTTTCCGCACTCGCGAAGGGCGCAGTTAGCGCTTTCTCATTTTACAATACATTTGTATTTGTTTTATTTCTTATCTCTTTTTCGCCCAAAGGTTCTTTTGCTGCTTGGTGTATATTGATCTTCATGGTTTCATACATTTGTTCAGGATTTCCGTTATGTGTACTCTTCATTTTCACATTCAATCTTGTTTTGTAGAGAAATACCGTTGGTTATCTTTAAGACGATCTAAGTTATATTTTGGATCCATCCTGTGATCTTGCTTTCCTTCATTTTCCTTTTTTGTATAATGACGGTACGTTGAATGTACACTAGCTTTCAGTAGAAGGTGGCCTGATCCACAAATGTCACCTCATTTTACTCTTACGTTGATGATTTTTATTGAAGTACGTTGTCTGGAGTTTAGAGTCTATTACAGGATTCAATGTCTTTGAATCTTAAAACCAAGTAAATTATGTATTTCCTTATGCTGGAAAATACATTTTGTACATTTAAGGAGTATTGCTGACACATTTCCATTAATATAAAGCCATTGTCATTTAATATATCCTCTTCATATTTTCCTATCACATTTTCATTTTCTTTAGTCCCCTCTTGTCCATTAAAATCTCCCAAGAGTTCAATTTCTTTCCCATTTCCTACTCTATCAATGTTTCTGTCATACAATTGAAGCAATTTTATTTTATTTCACTGGTTGAATTATTCATAGGTGCGTATATCGTAATTATTACCAAAATATGCCCAAGTATCTGCATTTCTAGGGTAACACTTCTTTCATTTATGTATGCCCAGTCTATTACATTATTTTTTCATTTCTTTTTAAGTTTCTGTAGCTGTGTGATGAATAAAAGTCCAGGCAGGAGGATGCCAGCCAGTACGTCACACA